TTGTCTTTTTTCTAAAAAGTGCCACTAATGCTTTCTCCTAAGTAGATCCCTCTTCAATGTGCTGTGAAATGTTCTGAATTTGTGACTCAGTGTAAATGTGAGTTTTTTTATTATTGAGAAAACTGCGGGGTGGAAGAAACTGTAGGAGTAATGGTGTATTATAGCACAGAAGCAGTTCAGCCTGGAATTAAAATTGCCAAAAACAAGTGATGTCGGGCAGATATGTTTCTTAAAACATTGTTAGATGCATTGGTGGCAGTGCATTTTAGTCTTTTTTTATTAGTTTTTTCCATGTATAGAGGAAGTAGGAGAAACACCACTGACTAGAAACAGAATAGTAATGCTATTAGTGTGAGGTATTGTATCTTGGCAATGTCCGTCCGATATGGGTTTATCTAGTTTTCTGAGCACACCTACTGTAGGTCAAAAGGCTACCACTGCAGTAGCTTATGAGACTCACAGCTGTCAAGAGTCAAAAAGCATTGCTTAGTTGCACATTGTAAGAGTGCTGCAGAAGGTGTAGCACAGTGGATATTCCACTTAAAAGTGCTCATATAGAGCCTTTCCAAAATCACCCCCCAAAATATGCAGCTCTCCCATTTGTCCTTCAGAAACTCTGCAGCTGTGGTCCATATATTTTAGCCTTGTGAATCATAATTATTAAATATCAACCTTGTGAGTAAGGCCCCGTATACTGCACAGGACTAAGCTGTCAGAATTGGATGTTCCCCTTCATTTGTGCATGATGGTTTATTATTTATTGCTGAGAAAAAGTACAGCATGTTACTCTGTGTCAAAGCCATTTAATAGGGTGGAGCTTATGGATGAATTTCATCACCACTTTTGTCAACCTATCTCAAATGGCGTTGAAAACATCCTGACCATTTCATGTCTTTAGCTGAGAGTACAGCAATGCCCAAGCAGTGAATGTAATACATTTATTTTTTTAGAGAGATGTTGAAAAGAGACCAGCAGTTTTGTGTCCCCTGGATTTGTCATGTTCAAGTGACTTTGAGATTCTGTAAATGATGCCTAGCAGGGATCAAGCTGATATATTAGTAGATGCTTAAAACTCTTTCTATACAAGTGCTCTCGTAGAAGGACAAGTGTTAGTCTTAGCTGAGCTAATGTGTTTGTGTTCTTGGCTTTCCTTTCTGCAGCGCTGACTTTCTCTGCCCAATTGTCTCTCCATTGCAAGAACATTAACTCCTTTTGCAGCAGTAAAAGGTTTTTAAAAACTTTTCTTTGCCAGGCCTGTCCCATTGATTTTGCACAGGCTCTCTGCAGGAAATAAACAGTAAATTAATAACTTACTGGCAAGCAAGCATTGGGATTATTTCTTCTTATGTGAGTTTCTCTCATAAGAAAAATATAAAAGGCTGAGGAATCTGCAGAAGTCACAAAACATTTGACAAATTCTTATATGCATTTTCTGGGAATGTGCACATTTTTATAAGATTATATTCATCCATTGGATCAGGTTGGCCATAAATCTTCACAGAGATTTCCTTTGACATCACTTGATCACAACTCTGCTAGACATGTGGGATACTTGCAGGAATTGTGTTGTCCTGTTCTGTGAGTCCAAAGAGAAGAGTGTAGGATAGACCAGGAATTAAAACATTCTTAATTATATTACATACATTGTCACTGTCATAACCTCTACAAATTAGTGTGACTACAGCACAGTTTGTAAAGTAATATATCCTTGCTTTAAGGAGGCCAGAAAGCTACAGACCTCATTTGTCTAGAGTAGAGGTTGGCGATTAACATATTTTATAAACACTATACTAGTCTAGATCCCCTTAAACTATATGGCAGACCAACAAATCACAGCACACCTAGTAACACACATCAAACTTTGGCTGTACAGAATTGCCACTAAATGCCAGCATAGCCTGTCATCTTCACTTCATCTTCTCTGTTTGTGAATTTTATTTTGTTACTGGCAGTGTATACAGAGCTGTATTTCTTTTGTTTTATTGCTAATAATAAAAATCTGTGATTGTTTATATCACTGGCTGAGGCACGAAATCTTTTGTAGTTTCAGCTAACCGAATTGGTTGAACAACAAACTTTCTTTTGTCGTGCAAATTGAGTTTTTAGTCATATGGTCAACTTTTGGCTGATGTTGAGTTAATTATCACTGAGTTTCAGAAAGAAAAGTAATAGAACATCAAATATTCAAGAATGAGCCAGTTTCTCTGAAATGGGTGTGACCTTTTGTTTTTTTGGGGGTTCTGCTACTCATTATTTTGCCACTATTCTGCCCCAATGTTCCATGGAATAATTCATAATAGCATCTTTCTCCTGTGCTTCTGCCTATAGGGCATCATCTCCAGGCTGTGGTACTTGCAGGGAAACGCTTGCTTTCACCATGTAGTGTACACTGAACAGAAAATCAGATGGGATTCTTGGGGACTCATGTAAATGTCACATTTCTCTCAGCTGAATGCTTAGTGATTACGGGTCTTTACCAGGCGGGTATCAGACGGAAATAGATGGTGCTAATCTGTCTCTATCTGGGAGTGTGGAGCAGCAGTGGCCTGTGTGTGACTCTGTTGGAAAGACCTTAGTGGATGCTGAGAGGACTTGAATAATCATACAGGATGTACAACACGGAGAGAGTGTGTTGCATTGATTTTCACTTTATAATGGCTTTCCTGAGTTAGGGGAACTAGCAAAGCAATCATGTAATGTAAGCTGACCTAAGAAAAATAAGAGGGTACATTCCAATTGCACAAAATTTTGATCTTTCAAGCCAACTAAATCCAACTTTTTCATATTGTATTAAAAGGTGACATTTTTCTGCCACTTTGGTTGTTAAATCAAGATTTCATTTATTTTCTTATTTATGTATGCTAGGTTTAATTAAAAAAAAAAACAGTGATACAATTCAACAGCATACTACAATGAACCAGACCTTCTAGCTTTCTAGCCATCTCTCATCACACCAGTAACTTGCCTTCTTGGCGCTGTGTGTTTCCCATACCTCTGATCCCGTTAACCCATTTGCTGTCTTCTCTCCCCCCCCCCTCCCAGTGAACCGACACAACCACCTAAAGGATTTCATGCTGGTGGTATCCATTGTCATCGGGATGGGTGGTTGCTGGTTTGCTTACATCCAGAACCGCTACTCCAAGGACCACATGAAGAAGATGATGAAGGATCTGGAGGGACTACAGAGAGCAGAGCAGAGCCTGCATGACTTACAGCAAAAGTGAGTCTGTTGGGTCCTAAGGGAGAGAGCTGAGGACTACTGGGGAATGACTGTATAATTAAAACAAAGTAAATTGATTTTTGTCCAACTGGGAAGGATCCTCTTTCCTTGAAGTGAAGGTAAATCTGTGATTACAGCTTCTCCTTTAAAATCACAGCAAGACTGCATTTTTCAGCTGTTTGTGGGCAAGACAGGCTTGTGGTAAATTTGACGTTGGGAATGCTCGTATGATATACCCTGCGCTGCTAGTTTACAGATTGAATTTAGGCTGTAAGTAGCACACCTTAGTAAAAGCAAACTGAATCTCTGTGGTCAGTGGTCTTTCAAGAGAGACGGGTATATGTTCTTCAAGTTTTTGAAAGCAGTGCTTTCACCAATTAAATATGATTTTTTCCAAATGGAAAAGGAATATGGAAGTTTTGAAACTGGAATGATCACTTTTATAATCACTATGCTTTTATCTTCCCAATGCGAGAACCTCTTTGCTTTTAAATTGTATCCATCTCAGGTATACTTGTCATCGACACCCTTCTTTCCTTGTCTGGACTACAGTGCTCTTGTTAGGATTCCTCTCTTTGTCTGGGTTAGGATCTTGTTGTTTTTTTATTTCACAAAGCCCTGCTTTTTTGTTTTCCTGCAATAATAATCTTTCCACTGAAACGGATGACGGTGATAAACGTAGTCCATCTTCCCACACAAAGGGAGTGTTCTCTGTAGTGTAGGCATGTTTTCAAGGTAACAGAAGCTTGCTTTTCACTTGAATCCTGAAATGGAAACATGCCAAATGTGACCGACAGTAACACGTCTCTCACTTTCTGATACGATTTTCTAAATTAGGCATCTTGCTTCCTCTCTACGTATTACAATAGGAGAAGTTTTTAGTTTGCATCTAGGAAACAGTTTGTCAAGTCTAAAATTAAAAGTTATGTTGTTCTTACAGGAAGCTACAAACTATCCCCATTTACGGTTAGTTGTCATGGTTTAAGAGAATGCTTTGGCAGTTTCTTAGCTAACTGTTGTCATAAAACAAGTGTTCAAGGCCTCACTGCCTCTTCAGCTTTGCATATCCTCAGTGATATGTTCCCCATATATAGGCTGTTGAGGAAGTTGAAGTTCACTCCCTTCCAACAATGACTTATTTTGTTAAATCATAAATCAGTTTTTTAAATCAAAACTTGAATACTCAACTTGAAAAATTTCTTGGGTGAAGGAAGTTAAATGTTTAGAAAATCCTACCCAAACAAAATCAAAAACTAGAATGTTAATTCCATAAGTATTCACCTCTTTTGCTACAGCTGACCTAAATTAGTTCAGGTGCTGAACATTACTTTTACAAGTCACACAATTGTTTTTTTTCAGTGCGATATACGTTGCAGTACATATGAAACATATTCATTTTTAACAGCAGAGTGAAGAGTTATTGCTGTCTTGTACTCCAACATCTCTATAGAAACCTGTGCTCTCATTTACTCTTAATGCCTTTCTGTCAGCTGTTCGTTGCTCTTCACTTGAGTGACCTGCAGAACGCTGGAGCGCTGGGCTGTAACTGTGGTTGCTACACTGGCTTTGCAGTAGGAAGGCTAGGAGTGGAAAGTATGTTTTGCTGCCAGGGCACTCAGCCTGTTGAAGACAGATCAAAAATCTTGGTCCCAATCCTGCACTGCCGGACAAGGGAGAAACACAGCTAATTCCATTCAACAATGAATGGGAATTACAGTTCTTCATTTTGATTTTCAGTGGATGGGGCCTTTATAGTTATTAGGCTATTTGAAATAACTGGCTGAGTGCTTTTCTAGCATCTTTTTCATGCAAAAGGGTAGAACTTTGTGAGGCTGCTGTGCTGTCCCCCAACAGCACTAGTTGGGGGGGACAGTATCATTGGGGGAAAAATAGCCCCCAATGATAAAACATAGTTTTCAAACAAATAGCAAGAGAAGAGTATAGGAAAACATTTAGAGGAAGAAGTCTTAAAAAATTGAAACTTGGGCAAACCCCAAGTATAATGGTACACCCAAATACACCGCAAGGTCAGAACACCTTTATTAATGTTTCTGTGACTAAATATTTGGGGACAAGTGCCAATTCTTCACACACCCACACACAACTAGCACATTTATTGGCAATTTAGTTTGAACAGTTCATTAATATTTTAATCAGGATTGAAGTTCCAGTTTTATTAAGAAAAATTAGACTATTACTTACTGTGTAAAGTGTTCCCTGGAAAAAGTGTTGTCGTATTTGCATTAACATTTTACATTTTTATTGGGAAGGCAAAATGAAATTCCAGCTGACAGATTTGCAACCAGGACTGCGTGGATATACTGTAGTACTCTGCTTTGCCGGAGAGCTCTCTCATGTGGAAGAAGGGGAAGTGTAAAGAGAGCAAAACAAGTGTATTAATTCCTTGCCAACCACGAGGGCTACATTCCTGAAAACCCTTGGGGCTGGTAAATTCGTGGTTGGTAAACGTAAGACCTTGTGGAAAAAAGGGGTTAGAGGAACGGAAGTCTCAATTCAACCTACTGAAATCCTTTAATAAGTGATTAATTTGAAATCGCCTCTAACACGTCAACCAACATTGGTCATTCAACAGATTGAAGAAGAACAATATATGTAGGAAATAATATTGCAAAGATAGTTTTTAAATAGGACTCTGGCATAAGTCTTAGCTTTATTGCTGTGACGATGCCCATGTAGATGGTGTGATATACTGTATACAAGACCTTAAGTAATGTTGCTGTTTTATTTGTTATACTTGCTCCGATAGTTCCTCACTTTTCTTTGAATGAATTGTAGATTAGTATACACCAAACACATTGTGTGACGTAATCAGTCATAGTGCTGTTGGCCGATTATCAAGTACTTTTTTTTCCCAATTTTTTTTCTTCTAAGCTCATCACAGATCTAGATCACTTTGCAAAACTGGACCCTTTCATCCTTTCTCATACACTTACAAGCTGTTTCAATTGATTAACATCCTTCAGACCTGTAAATTTAAAATTAACATGTAACTTCAGAGCTTTTTAGAAAGCCATTGCATATCTTTGGTGGTAACGGTAAAGAAAGAGAATATAAATGCCGTTCTAGCACTTGATAGCAGCCCGTTTAGCCTGGTCCTCTCACGTCTCTGAATCTAAGCAGAGCTTGGTCCGGTTAGGACTGGGATGATAGACCTCCAGGGAAAATCTGGTTACTGGTATAAGTGGTGTTGGTATACCAGTAGAAGTTACTCTTTAATTACTCTACTATTGGGCCAGATATAGTGCCATATGACCTAGTATGGTCACTGGGAACCCTAAACTATAGGAAGTTCCATTCTTCAGGTGAGTTATTAAGCTGAAGTTCTGACTGCTTGATCACTAAAGGTCCAATAGCAGCATTCATAAGAGTGGGGATGTTGTGTGCTATCTCCCTGCATAATTACACTCAACGCTTGCACAGCATGTCCGCCCTGAATTTCTCCCTTAATTCAGTTAGTGAAGTAAATTCTCATCTTTCCAAATCTGCTGTGTATTGGGTCTACTGGTGCATAATGGCTGACACATGTCACACAAGTGGTTGCTGCATTTCAAAGACAGAGGAAATGAATTCCAATTAATTCGCTTCCATCTCTCTATTTTCTAATGGCTTCGTCCAGTTCAAGGTCTTGGGGGAGCAGGAGCCTGTCTCAGCAAGCAGGGGGTGCAAGGCAGGGTGCCCCCAGGACAGGACACCTGTCCATCATAATTAGCTTCTCTTACAATCAACACGTAAAAGCAGTCCCAATGAGTAACTGATGTCACAAGTAAATTATCATACACAGTTGCACTTTTATCTGCAAGGAGTCTAATTTGTGATAGGCTTTCTTTGAAATGGGGAAACAAATGTTTCATCCCCATGTACAGAAATTCTGTGTCTGTGCTTTGAGCTCCATTGCAGTAGCTTCACTGCCCCAGGAATGTCACTTTATTCTACCCTGCAGCTCACGGTATGCACTTCCTGATGACTCCTGCCAACTGTTGCTCCTCCTGGACTGTCGTCAGATCAGGTCCCATTTCAGCTTTTCTCTTCAACAGCTGGAAGACCAGAATAAGAAATGCAGGAGAGACTATACTTTCTGAAATTGGACCATTTATTCCAAGAAAATGTGGATTCTTGAGGCATTTTATTTGAAAAAGCAACATTTTATTTTAATATTGAGGTAATATTTGAAAAAATGCTTACAAAGCATTATCGTTTTGGTTAGTATAAATTGGTTAATTTCACTTCCGTGGAAAATGCTTTGGCTGCATAATATGAAAACTCGTGTGTGGTTAGTTACTGGGGGGATTTTTCTGTTAAACCTGCTTTTATCTCCAGTTTTCTCAGAAATGTAAAATAGAGTAGAATAAATACTTTTATATTTAGGTAGCACTTGAAATACAGCAGTATTTTGGATGTGCTATATAATCTCAGCTTCTCCACTGAGGAAATCTCCTTTCAGTCCTTTCAGGCAGTGAGACCCTGTGTTGCTGTACGAGTGTTGTCCTCAGTCCCAGATATCGGAGAATATCTATCTCTCTGCTTGAGCCTGTGAATGGCAGGGGTCAGGGTCGAGTGCCTAAGCACGGATAGCTGGCAGCTAACATTTTCCACTAGCAGCCTCCAGATCACCTTACAGAGGGCCTCCGAGTTGTCAGTCCTACAGTAGGTTACTGTCTAGAGAGTTCAGTGAAAATAGAGCCCACTGGTGGATTGATTTGAGCAATGCATGTTGCTGTGCTTTTTCTTTTGCAGGCTTTGATCTTATTCTTTGAGTGTCTGTCAGGAACAGGACAAAAACTGCTGCTGTTTTTAACATTTAAATTAAAGTCCGTGCAAGCAGGAATACAAATTGTTTTTTTTTTACATCAGTGAGACGCAAACTGAAGTTATAAACTAGCATCCCTAGACCTGGAGGGGCCAGTTTATCTTTAGGTTTTCTAAGTCTTGTTAAACGAAGAGCTGACAGCTGATTTGACAGCTGGGAGATGCTGTCACATACTCCAGATAAGCAAATAATTAAGTGATTGAAGTTTAGCTGGACTTAAAAACCCAGACAGGCCAGCCCTCCATAACCAGGATTGGGGACCCCTGTTCTAAACTAAACTTATCTCAAGATCATGTCATTTCAGTTCTGTTTTGCATTTTCATGTCATGTTTTAAGCATTCAATACCGCAAGTGGTTTAGCCTTAACAAAAGGAATGATATGCTCTTTATCAAGAGTTTAAACATGAAAAAAGAAAGTCTAACTTCGAGAGATGTGAAAGTGCTACTGCCTATGACTATGTTTTAAAGTTTGATGATCCCACCAAAGCACTTCAAACTCTTAAGAGATACTTGTCAGGCTCGATGGCTCGGCCAGGATGAAACTAGTGTTGTAACTTGCACACGTGATGGAGTTGTGGGCTCGAGGTTGTCTGACACCACAGAATGCCTCACTCTCTCAGGAGTGCTTCTCCAAACTTCAGCGAACAAGGCTCTTTATATAGTAATGTATGAGAGGTGACAAGTATCGGGTGTCCAGTGTGTTACGCAGTAGAGAGAGTGCAGTGCATTTGTGCCTAATCCCATGATTTTACAGAAATGGTATACTATCCTGTGTCACCGTGTCCTCGTTTTTATTCCCCTCTCTATTCATATTCATCTTTCAGGCAGCTGCCCAACACGTGCTCAGTGGTCATAATCCATTGTATCCTGCTTGGCTTTGATGTTATGAGGTCTTTATCCCTCATTATCTGCAGAGGTCTTTACTGCCACACAGTGTCTGCCATCTTCTGTGCGGTCAGAATGAGAAGGCACTTCCTTCCTGAGTATACACTTGTAACTAATATCCTGTGGCCTGTGTATGTTTGAGGACTGTAACGTTTTTAATTTTTGGATGATATTATGAAGGTGTGCCGATTTGTTTCTGTTTTCCATTATATCGAGAACTAGAATTTCCTGTGCAATTTTGTTTCTGTGTTCCATTATTTTGAGAACTAGCAGTTCCTGCACTTTCAACTGCACTGTCCTGCACTAGCATTTCCTGTACTTGGAAGAGCCTAGGAACATTAAACATACCGCAGCTTAGAGGAGGCTTGTCTGTTAAGTTGTTGCTCATTTGGTTGCTAGTATCTTAATTATCCTAGAATGCCACTACATAAATTAAAGTATCTCTCAACAAACAACATGGTTAATGAGTTTGTTCCAGATTCCTGCAATACTTTTTCCAAAGAAGCATTCCCTGTTTTTTTTGCTTCTAAACTTAATTTCTACTTGTATCCTCGGGTTCTTGTATGATTGTTGACCTTGGATAAAGGCTGCTGATTTAACTTGGCCAATCCGCTTTGGTGTTCCAGAATTACAAAATCCTTTATAATCTTCTGTATTTCTAGCTAAAAAGATTAAGTTCCTTCTCATGGTTGAACAGAATCTTATATGTTTTATTGAGATAGGTGTCCTCAGCCATTGTGAAATTACAAGAGATTTCTTTCCAAGTTGCCTCAGAACACACAAAATAAATAATTTTGACAGTCAATTTGGTCACTTCCTTTGCTAGTGGAGTTTGTATTGAGCACTGTCTGTGTGTCCCTGTCACTTCTTCTCTGGCCAGGTTACAAATTGCACAGGAGGAGCACCGCACAGTGGAGGTGGAGAAGGTTCACCTGGAGCAAAAGCTGAGAGATGAGATAAACTCTGCCAAGCAGGAAGCACAGAGGCTGAAGGAGCTGAGGGAGGGCACTGAGAATGAGCTGAGCCGGCAGAAGTACGCCGAGGAAGAGCTTGAACAGGTATGAGCATTGAGGACGAGGTATGACCCCTGGCAAGAGAGCAGTGCATCTAGAGCTCAGATTGGCAAGCTCAGAAGTCAGGCGGGAAAGCTCTTAAATTTGTATCTAGGGAGGGCATGTACAATGCTTTTCAATCAGGATAGTGGTGGAGTGTTATATTGGTACAACATGATTCTGGCATCTGAAAGCCTTTTGAAAACTTATTTCTAGCATGCAAACAGCACTAAAATCTAAACTTTTGAGTGGTATAACAAATATTACTGTTATTTTTTTTCCAGTTTAATTCAGAAAAGTTTGAAGGAAGTAGCAATTTTTCCTGTCCTGAAATCTTTAAAGCATCAGCGGGATTTTGAAGCTGGATCTCAAGGCAGTAGTGTTTAGAGTGGAATGAAAACTGTGTTGGCTTGATTTGATGTCAGCTCTTTCTGCTAAATAGTTTAGAAAAACATTGGGCTTCTCCAAATTATTCCAGGCATGTGGCTTGACAAGAAACTGTGAGTATAATGTCAGCCCCCGACATGTACGAAGAAGGCGCACATAATTTTTCATTTATGAAATATTTGTGTCCCCCTAAGCAATTTTATGTTGCCAAGAATTGAATGTGTATGACTATTGCAACACAGACCTACAAAAATCTTATGTGAACCTTATTTTGTATGCAGGATTGAAGTGCTGAATAAACTCTTCCCAGATTGTTCAGGTTCCAGTTATATATCTAACAAACCCTAAAGAAATGTTGGGGTCAAAAATGCCATAATGTGTTCATAATTGGAACAGAAGAACACATTAGGAAAACAGGAAAGGTCTTTTGTTCTGTTTTTGTGATACATATTCCCAAGCCTTTTTTAATCCTTAATTGTTTGATATCAATTAGTTGCTTTGAATAGGAAACCTCACTGAAGCTGTAGAGCTTAATTTTCTTTTACTTGTCTGAAAACTTTCAGTGTTTATAGTTTCTTTATGTGGACAAAGAGAACAAACACACTTCTACATTCAATGATAAAAATGGTTTCTTTGTATTACGTGATACATGGTCTAGGTTTGTTAAATGACATTTTTGATCTACAGTACAGATGAAAGTCTTTTCTAGTGTCTTTTATATATCCTTGATTATCAGTTTTCAGTATTTATCAGGTATTCATATTATACAGTGCATAGAAATACGGTTAATATAGATCATAAGAAGACTTAAGCAATTTTTTCAGTCCGTCTGTGAAACAGAGTGGGAAAGGTTAATTAAAAAGTCTAACAGATTTAATTTCTCTGGAAATTTAAGCATTTATTCAAGAATAGAGCTTAAAACCACCCTTGTAATGAGCTGGTAGTCAATGGAGAGAAATCAGAAGTTACAGTTTGTGACAGCTTCATTAGCTAGTGACCTGGCTCTAGGCCTTTGATATCAGCATATCAGTCGTTTTCATAGCCCAGGTAACAATAACTCCTATTACTTTTCCAGAACTACTTGTGCAATTATGAATCTAGGATGGGTGAGTAAGTACTTCTGTCAGAGCTGCACAGACAAACTAAAACAGCACTAAGACTCCAGCACAAGAACTGAATGACGTAAATAGGTCACAACATGGGCACTAACACACATGACTGCAGAATGGAGACAATCTCAGTGATTTGGAACTGGTCTGATTTTGGAGAGGAAAGTCCCTCAGTGATTTTCACCAGCGTGCGGGATGACTTCCTCTCTCTACTTAATTCAACATCTTTCAATAATTAACAGCCACTGCCTCTTGGATCCCCTGTTCACGCAGTCTTCCCAGTTAGTCCCGTCTTCTGAGATCCTCTTGTGCACTGGACCCTTTCAGAGTGTTTCATACTTCAGTGTTTTGTTTCTTATCTTGAGTTATTCCAGTTTGGAGAAAAATCTGCTGGTAGGAAATATCAGTGATGTGAAGAAAGATAAATGTGCTGTTAAACCATAATGTATTCCATATTAGGACTACAGTTCTCTGTGGGGTTTACCAGCATTTGCTTAAGCATCCTTGTTAGTTAGTATTTAATTAAACATTATTATTATCATAGTGCGACCCAGAAGTGATACGTTTAGTACCAGTTTCTGTCGTTGCCTTTTGTTTTTCCACAGGAAGAAATAGTATTACTAAGAGTTTCACAAAGGTCAGGTGATTTTCAGTAAACACCCTGAAGCAAAGACCTCTTTTCCCTAATTATTTAATTGCATTAATACTTAACCCAATGGGAGCAGTCATAGACAATGACATGACCTGCACTTCTTAGCCTTTTCTGTGTAGTGTACTCTCACACTCCTGTCCTGTGTCTTACCTTGTGTCCCCCACAAGAATGTACATATACTGTACAATTGTATGTTCTCAAGTCCCCCCCCGTTATGTGTCTCCATGTTGTGAGCAGTGCCCCGACTATCTTGCTGTGTGCTTTGTAGGTGCGTATGGCCTTGAAGAAAGCCGAGAAGGAGCTGGAGTCTCGGTCTGGCTGGAATCCCCCTGATGCTCTTCAGAAGTGGCTACAGCTCACTCATGAGGTGGAAGTGCAGTACTACAACATCAAGAAGCAGAATGCTGAGAAACAGCTACTCATTGCCAAGGAAGGAGTGAGTGTTTATGTTGAATCGTGGCATCACGGGCTGAAGCTCTTGTCAGTTTTTAATTGTTTGGACTAAGGCATTTATTTAAGTATTCATTTTTTGGTTATGTTGCAAAAATTGTTCTGAAGTACTGTACAGTAGCTGCCTGACTTTGTGCTGTACTTGCTTTGTATCAGATGTGAAGGGTGTCAGATACCTGGATCAATCGAAGAAGAATGTGTCACATGCACATCTGTGAACTTTCACTTTCAACTTTCATGTGGTTTAGAATTTTGAGTTGCCCAACCATATTAAAGAGTCTGTTTCCCAAAATGGGAAAGTATTTCTACTGTATTTTCAGGAAAATCTTAAATTCAGTAGCTGATATGCCACTGTGTGAGCAATTGTCTTTATTTCATAAAGGATGGACATCTTAGCATGCAGTATTGAAAGGAGCCTGCTATTAGGTCTGGGAATTTCCTGTGATTATTCCTGAAACTAATACTTAAGACCTTCAGCAATACTTCAGACAAATAATCCTTAAAATGCAGTAAAAATAGCCAAATCAATATTTTAATAGATCAAATATTTTATAATTATTTTTTGCATAAAAAGAAATAACTTAAAATTAAAGCGACACCTGCACAGCTATAATCTGTTCTACACTCTCCTCAAAGGCGGAGAAGATTAAAAAGAAGAGGAATACACTCTTTGGGACCTTCCATGTTGCTCACAGCTCCTCACTAGATGATGTGGATCACAAAATCCTGTCAGCAAAGTAAGTGTTTAAAAATACTATCTTGGATGTTGAAGGACTGCGAGTGGCAAAAATATGAAGTATTAATCATACCTGAAGTAGATCTTTGGTGTTAGAATCGCAAATCTTCTCATTGTGCAAATTAGAACAAGCCTTATGGTTTTTAAAATGAGAATTCACCCTCTTCAAAAAATAAGATCTGGAAAAGCACATACAGTGCATAATACTGTACACTGGCGGGCCACCATAACTGCACTTTGTCCTCCCCGTCTGTGTCCAAAGACAAGCCCTGGGCGAGGTCACGGCCGCTCTCCGGGAGCGACTGCATCGCTGGCAGCAGATCGAGATCCTGACGGGCTTCACCATCGTCAATAACCCTGGACTACCCTCTCTGGCCAATGCCCTCAACCTTGACCCCAGCTTCATGGGCGGCCGCCCCACACCCCAGCACTTCATCATGACTGATGATGTGGACGATATGGATGAGGAAATGATGTCACCGGGCACTCTGCAATGTAAGGGATCGCCTGTAGAAACCGGTCTAAACCAGACGTTCCGAGGTCCTCAGAAACAGGGCAGAGAAATCTCTGGAAACTCGAGCAGCTTTATCTCCAAAAACAAGTAGAGTGTGCACAGCTGATATGTAAAACCTAGGTGGATGTTTGTTTTTTTTTTCGTTAAAAAAATTTATTTCGATAAATGTTTTGAAATTTTAGTATACTGACACTTAATTAGACAGCATGCAGTTTCCTTTCAAAATGTGCAGGTTAAGGTTCACATAATAAAGAGAGCATGCATCCATCCTTCATATGAATTCTATAAATTATTCATTATAGACTTTAAAATAATTCTAATACTTCGGTACAATCCTGAATATCACAGGCTTTCTCTGAGTTTGAAGGCTTACGTTTGTGCAGCTCTGACAGCTTTCGAAATGTGCGCACTAGTATGGTCTGTTCAGTTTTTGCAGATCAAGTGAGGAAGAAGAAGGTGAACAGCTTCACTGCAAGATCCACAGAGATGCTACAGTGTTAGACATTTTTCCCTCTTGCATACTCATGTACTATTGTACTTTATTTTTTTTCAGATTTCCTAATTAAATTATTTCTTAACACAATTTGTATGCTGATTGTATTTTAGCATTTTAGTTGCTTCAAAATACAGTAGGAAATATGACAATTGAAATTTGTGTTAATCTATCTAATGCAAAAAAAGTAGCCACATTTTTTTACATTTGATTTGCCAAGAATATCACTGTGGCTCTGCACGATACTTTCAAACAGAAGCTATGGAATTATCCAACCTGGCACATTCTTGAAGATTTTCCAAGGTCTCTTATGGAGTATAAGACACGTCTGACAATTTGCCAGGAGCTCTTTGAATTTCATCTCGGGACCACGTTTAAGAGGTTGAGAATATAGATGTTGCAGTGACTTGTTTGTCTCATGAGATGTTTTCTAGATTTTTACTAACTAGAAGAAATGGATGACTGGTGAAACAAATGCAAACAAATACTCCCAATATTTCATGTTCAGAGTTTATTTGCCATTTTTAACAAGTACTTTGGAATTCGTATTTATGCTTATTCTCTCAAAATAAAAAGGTACAAGTGTACAAAAACGTAAAGACAACAGTAACTTTTTGTGTGACGGTGTTTAAAATGTAATTTTTTAATGATCTGAAAAGGTCATTGAAAATACCACAGTTGTATCAGTCAAATTCCATGACGTTAAAACACGACAGAATTGTTGTTCCATTCATGTCACCCATCGATGACCTATAATTTCACTTGTGTCCCACGTCATGCTGCGTAATAAAAAGTGTTATTTTTTTTCAATCAATGCTCTTTTATACTGGGGTTTTCAAAGTATTTTTTCTATTAATCCAATCAAAAATGAACTGTGATCTGCACTAATTCATCTGAGACCAGACTAACTGCAATTGCATTGACTTGTTAGGCTTGCCTGTCACTACGGCTGCGTCAGGTGTTTGATCTTCCTCATGTGGACCAAGAGATGTCAAGAGTTCTCCCATTCCTAGAAGGGCATGGTTGCAAAAAAATCAGCCTTCTGAATGCTGCTTGTTGAGTGTGGGGTTTCGGATTAGAAAAGCTGGAACATCTGCCTGCTTTCAACATAAAAACTTTCAGTATGTTGATAATACTTTAGAACTGTAACATCAAGGCATCCCTAACTGGAGTAGCTAAATGGAGACGAGCTACCACGCAACAAAAGGACTTCAGAAAACTACAGTTGTTACGCAGGACTAGTGACTGCAGTGCTGTATGACCCTGAGGGGTTTCAACCCACCACATTAACAAAAACCCTCTCTCCTCCTGCCTCCCATCCCTCCTGCCCTGTGATTGGCTGAATCCAGATGCCGCCTGGCTAATGAACCATCAAGCGAGCGACCCCTGGTCCGTCAGCTCGGACAACCACTCCCTGTGGAAATATTCCGGTTCGCTCGTCGTTCTTGTCTTTCACTCCACCCCTAAGCAAGCATCACCTCTTTTATTTTTCCTGGCGACACTCCTGCGCAGACTCAAAAGAGCACGTAGTCCGTTGGAGTCTGGAAGGTCCTAGTAGTTCTGAGAGCTCTTGCGGTTGGGGTGGGGAGGCAGGCTTTTCGGCTCGGCCTACTAATCAGTGGAGATGGCCTTTTTCTTTCCAGCTCTGAAACTCACCAGAGCATGCCTTGTTTTTCAGCTCTGCAACTAACCATCATGGCTGCGGTCTTCTCTAAAAACATGGGCACTGTCTGGTTTTTATTAGCTTACTGGGTTGGCAAGACTGACTGGGTTTGGGGCAATCCTTTCTCCTTTCCTTTGCATTGGGGCTTCCTGTGAGAACTGAGCTCTATTTTCGTTCTGGCCTAGAGAATGTCACTGACTAGTCACACAATGTAGATTTTAAAGCATTGATCTAAATACTGTATATACAGTTGACTCGTAATTTACTCTGGGTTTAGGGATTAGTAAAGCCAAATTCTCGTGTAATCACATTTTACCCTATAAACCTTATAAAAAAAAAAGCCTCCTAACCTCTTACAGTAATGCAAGATATTAAATAAAAGTATAAAAACAGTAAATAAAAATAAGATGCCAGTATACGCTCACTAATTAGCATTCATAGGTGTGCTTGATATTTTTTCAAAGAGTACAGCATTTTTTAAATCGTTTTTATTTGCCGGAGCCGACCGTGTAACTTGAGAGCACACTCAAGTTTGCGGGTCAACTGTAAATTGATTCGTCAAGGTGTTATTATGATGTCTTTCAGGAAAAAAAAGATATGGTTGTAATTGAAGCAGGAAGTCATAAGCAATATGTGTTGGATATATACATGACTTCACTTGGTGATTCCAGCAGCTGTAACTGTACCAATTCACCTTGCATTCTTTGTGATGTTCACTTAACGATTGTGATAATGTGGACAGCGATGTACCCAGTAATGTTGACGTGAACCATAGCAGTGCCCATTACTCTTGCTTTATATTAGACGTCTGTATGCCAATACCAACAATTCACTCAAAGCTAAGAATTTTGGGGTGGACATTTTTGATAAGATTACTTTGAACACGCCTTCGAGTTCTTGCCACATCTTTGCGTAATATTTGCATAAGGAACTGCGCATTACCATAATGTTGTAAATGTCACCAGTTCTGGTTTTAAACTGAGATTAACAATTCATTTTGCATCAGTACTATTTCAAGGGTTGACAGATCACTTTAGGTAGCTACAAAACACATTACTTAAACAATTTGCTCTGTTATATGTTTTCCCAAAATAAAGCCCATCAATTAGCACTTTTTAAAAATTTTAATTCATATACCTTGTGACGTAATCAATTAGATAACATTATCTTACAACAGCTCTTATACTGTATGTGTTGTATGTTCTGAATATCGATGTTCCCATCATATTCCAATCTAAAAACAGTACCAAAATAAGGGCATCTTGATGTTTTTCTGGTAAACATCCTGAAAACACAGCATAAGCCTTGGGTTTGTTATTAAATCTTCAAAGTATCAGCACAACCATTCAATTATTTAGGTTAAGCTCTGTTTCTCATATACTTTCTGACAGGATATCTGAATTAAAATATCAGACTAATACATATAACTCTGTGAACGATATTTGTGATGAATAGATTAGGCTGTCCTGAAATGTTTTGATTCCTCTTTTGGGTTAGGTTTCTGATCACACTAATGCTGGTTTGAGAACCCTTTGGAGGTAAAACATTTGTCTTGGTACCTAGGCGCTCATTTTAAATTGTCTTTCTAATTCTCAGTCACATCCCCAGATAACACAAGACCTATTGACTGTGCACCTCTCTGTCTGCAGCTCCCAGTATGATGTCGCTACGGCAACGCCACATTGATCCTCAGCTGGCCATGGGCTCTCAGAGGTTGGTAGAGGGCAGTTTTGTGGCAGGGCACCAGGGAGAGGGCAGCTCCTACCCCGTGAAATCGAAGGCAGCCCTGAGGCAGGGGCGCAGTCTCTCCTTCGGGCAGTTTGAGGCTTTCGGAGGCGCTGCCCCTCTGTCGTCTGCCGTTTCTCACCCTTCCATCATTTGCTCCTCCTCTTCCTCGTCTTCTGGTGGCTCGTCTGCCCCTCACTCCACATTGCTCCATCACTCCCCTCATTTCCAGCCCATGGACACCATCCCTGACCTCCCTCCTCCGGACGTCACCTCGGGGTTGCGCCAGCGATCTGGGAGCTTCGGGTAGCCCTGCACTTTGTCTCCGTCTCTACACGCGCGTGCTGGGTGCTGCTTCCTTCTGCTTTTTGTTCACTGCTTGTGTGTGCCTTTTCTTTTGACCAGTTTTTTTTATTCCACCCTGTCCTCTAATCACATTTTTCTTCTTCTGGCTTTTTTTGTAGTGCTTAATCACCTTTTGTGTGTGAATTCTGTATTGCTCTGTTGCCCTGATTACTCAGCCTTTAAATGACCGATTTACTGAACATCTTGTATCCCCCCATTGCCACACTCATTACCGATTTGCACTACTGCTTCCCACTTTCTAAAAGCTCCTGTTCTGTACCTCCTCTCTCTGTTGTGTTCCCACCCACCCCCCAAACTGCCTGACGTACTAACTAGTGTGGAGTTACAAATATCTATGCTGCCTGCAAGAAAAGCATGCCGATCTTTAAATAGTCCTTAATCGTCGTGCCATTTCTATTTGTAGCAGTATTGCTACTTCTGCTTTTCTAAACTAAACTATCAACAGATCTTTAAGTATATTTCATAAGAGCATCTTTATGGCACTTTGAGTTTTATATTGTACTTCTATCTTTTAACCTAAACTCCACTGAGAGTTTGTCCATGCTTTCCTGCCAACTTGCTTTCACAATTACAGTAATTTGGCAATACTGTACCTGGAATGGGAATCCTGTAGCATAATGTTCTTACCAAAGCAATTAAAATTCAGTGTGCTTTGACACGTGTATAAAATTAGAGGTGGTTGTGATATGGCCACTTTTTTTCCCAACCTGCTCTGCTTGCTTTGACTGGGCTAAATATCCCCTTTGAAAAAGCACTATGAATTGCTTCTGACCCCTCCAATACTAAGTTGCCCTGATGGCTTTGTCTTGCCATGTTTTGTTGGCATATCATTCGCTTTGAGAATTGAGATGGTTCCCTTTTCATTTCATAAATATTGAAACCCACGGAACTGAAACTCTTTTGAAACCATCCTTTTTCCCCCAACAAACATCAGTTTACATTGTCTTACCATACCGCGAATGTGAACAGCTGAGTTTCCGCAATCCAGAGATGACTCGCTGTCACTTTCTTTCCCAGGGATCTTAATCGGTCGGACTCCGATTCGTCCCTGTCCCTGTCTCAGCCGAGCGAGCAGCAGCAGCGGCTGTCCATGTCTTATGGCTCGAAGGGCCACCCCTTGAAGCCTACATCCCTCCTCCACGGCGGCAGCGGCGGCGGCGGCGGCCCCCGCGGGGACGAGCCGGCCGCCCTGCACGGCCTCACTCCCAACGGGGGGAACCGCCTCCAGGAGGGAGTGCAGTGGGCGGAGTGCCTGGGGGACAGCCCCCTGGTGATGAAGAAGATGTACGCCCACGGCATGGAGAAGTCGGCCAGCCTGGGGGAGATCAACAGCGCGCTCGCCGGGCTGTCGCAGTCCGAGTCCTCGCGCTCGCTCAGCCCCACCTCCACCGACCCCGACACACCCTCCCCGTCGGCGGATACGAGGCCCGGGAGCGGAGCAGGCAAAAGCAGCCGCATCCCTCAGCTCTCCAGCAAAAAGAGCCCCCTAGAGGAAGACAGTGGTTCCACGGGCGAAGAGACCGACTCCACCGCCAGCCGCAAGAAACACACCTTCAAGATCTTCAAGAAGCAGAAGAAGTAACGTCCTGCTGGCACATGGCAACACGGAGGAGGGGTTTTTGGTTTTTGTCTTTGTTTTATTAGTGTTTTTTTTTTTCAAAGAGCGGGAATGTCTCATTTTTTTTTAAAGACCTGTGTGCCGATTTCTAATGGCACTGACAGTTGTCTTTTACAGGTACTTCTTTTTCCGAGGAACTGTGGGAGCAACCAGCAATTTAAGGATATATTTTTTTTTGTTATTTCTTGTTTTGTAATTAAAAAGATAGGGGTCAAGTGGGTTGCACATGTAAAGCGCTATTTATTCTGCAGGAAACGGTGCCAGTCTTTTAATGAAAATCCTACTCTGTGATTTAATTTTTTATTAAATGTTTTTAGTTTGCATGTCTTCATATTTGTTTGATTGAAATTTTAACGCTATTCGATGTTTGCTAGGTTCTTGTCCTTTTTCCGCTTTGCAATCAGCACGAGATCTTGCAATGATTTTCTTCCCTTTAGTATATGTTTTAATTACCGAGAAGCAAACATGATGGTGGCTTAGGCAATCCATTAATCAGTGAAGAAGAGTGCTAACCGAGCTACTAAATTTTTAAAAGATGAGGAAAATCACATTTCAAAGGGCTGAATGTTGCTGTTAAAATAGCTCCTTGAATGTCCCAGTGCTGAATTCTGATGAATCTGCTCATCACTATGGACCATAATCTCTCTGTCCTGGAATGACTTGTATTTGGAAAGAATGTGGGACTGCTTAAAAAAGTTCCAGGGGATCACTTTCAAGTCAAGACAGGTCTTCAAATGATGATGGTCTTCTCATTATGAACAACAGGCAGTGTTTCTTTGTCTTCAAAAACTGGACTCTTTCCTGTCCCTCTGGCTGAAAACTACTGCCTGAATTTACCACCAAGCCCTACTGATAGCACTCCTGACCACAGCAGCTCTATCCAGTCAAAGCCCAGGGGTCCGTGATGCAGGAACTTATTAACAACTGAAACTGCTCCGCTGTTTGCTCTTAACTCTTCTATGCATGCCTGAAATCTAACTCCTAAATCATGCGCTTTTGAGTACCTCTTGCTTTCAAAGAGTGATGCAAAGTTTGAGGTTAACATGGTCAGAAGAAGCTCATCTCCTTCATGAAAAGCAAGAGCACTTTTGGAAACATTTTTATTTCTCCCCTCTCCTCAAACACAGAAACCATTCTTTGGAAAGGTTTGAGAATTCACTGCTGCCTTTTTGAAACCAGTAGCAAAGAAACTATTATTGGGATCAGAGTTGGGATTAGAGCTCTGTTGTGAAAAGAGACTGTTCTGTCAATCTTTAACCCATTAGGTTTAAGACTCTGTACTGGGATATACTGAAGTACTGTGCGGTGTTGACTGGGCTCCTTCCAGCAAGTATAGAACAGCTACTGCTCATGCTTGGTCTTTAGATAATTCTGCATCTTCCTGCAGTCAACATTATTGGACCTCACAGATGAATCACGACGTGTTTCTTGCCAAGGGCTCAGATGACAAGTGCAGTGAGAAGGGTGATCATTGAAAACCCTCTTCAGTCCATTAAATAATTCCGATGTGTGATTGAGCAGCAGCCTATTCTCTGCTGGCATTGAGTTCAAAAGTGCCTCTCAATGGAGCTGTGTTTTCTTGAGTATTTTTGAAAGCCCAAACCTTGTTCAGTATCAATGTTGACTATTACTTTAATGATTACCTGATGGTATTTCACCTGATTGTAATGGAGTGGAGTATGTCTATGTACTCAATATAGGAAACATGATTTGAAATTGAGTAATGCTGTAACTGGGAATTTAAATTTTGGGGAATTAGTTACAACTGGGATTTTTTTTTTTGGTTCATGTTAAATGCCTCCATCTTTTAGTGATGACGACCCGACTAAATTGTCTAGCAGTCCTATGATAGATCTATAAAGATTCAGATCATTTGTACAGGACAAAAAGTGAAAAAAAATATCCTGGAAAAGCATGCCCACACAAAAGCAGTCAACTCTGCCAATATACATATATCTTATGTATATGCAAGCTGTATCAATAAAAGTATAATTGCTTATAGAAAATCGAAGGTGTTAAAAAACTTCCAGAATTAATACAAAAGTCTTTCTTTTAAAATGTTTCAAGTAAGTTCCCCTAAAAGAAAAAAATAATCTGTTAACATAGCCCATGGTTGGCCACATATTTGTTTTTTCTTGAAATCAAAACAAAGATTGCTGTGGTCAAAACAATTAGAGCTTCATAACATATTTCATTGTGGATATAAACACACAAAGGGATACCAGAGAGGAAACTATTTTTCTCAGTCTGGGTTCAGCGGCTTGAAAGAACTAACAAATAAGGGAAGGGGGAGGAAAATGTGGGTACTTCTATAAACAAGGGTGATATAAAGGAGTTGGAACTAGGCTAAATATTGTTCACAATGTAGTAAAGTTTTATACTTCAGATACTGATTTTAATCGTACATCTCCATGTTCTCCGAGTTCTGTCACCTGTATCCTACACTGAGTGGATCTAGAACCAGCCTGCTGGGTTCCAGAGGGATTGATAATGAGGTGCTTTTTGTTTGTAGTATGCTTCCTTTCTCTTCTATAAGCTTTCCAGGGTACAATCAAATCCTAAAACACATTTTCTCTAATGACTCTCTTCAGGTAGCGCGGGTCAAGATGAATCAGGGGCCAGATGGCCACTCAAAAGTTGTTAGATCTGAGATCATTAAGTGAATGCATGCTGAGTGGAGGCAGCATTACTCGAATGTCTTTTCACTCACGTAGCTTTGAAGTCTGTCATGGTGCGTATTTGACCCCAGTGTTACATGCACTAGGTGGTGTGGGGAAAATGAAAATAGTCATGAATTTGCTAACATTTCTTTGGATTAATAGTCCTTGTAACTGCAGCTGATGTCCCTGCCCTACATGAAAAGCGTGTTGTGTAAAAGAAATGTGCATAGTTTAAATGTGCGTCACTGTTGCAGAGCTGCCCAGTAACTCGATCGGTACGTTTGCAGCTGTACCAATTAAGCCTGTCGGCACCTGAACTTGATCTTGGCTGTTCTGAAGTGCTAAATTAGGGGCAGACTGAGTAGACAGTCAGCAGTGTGCGAACAAGGGAGTGGGTGTACTACTAATTAAACTCAGCTCACCCTCTCCGCTTTCTAACAGATTTGTCGTAAGATATGTAAAATTGTACCTGTTTGCCATTAACTCACAAACTGGAACACAAGCTGACAATTACTATAGAGAAAAAGTGAGCATATGGCCCATGGTGTGACTAAAGGCTTGGTCATAACACGCCTTTTTTGGTCTTTTCATAAAAGAATGTCCTGGGCGTTTTGATTGTGACCCAGACCAAGACTCTCTTTTGTAAACACTTCAAGAAGCTTTCCAAGTCTCTTTCCAGAGATGGACACAAGCACAGAAATGTACCCTGGACATGCTCGTATACAGTATGCCATGTCTTGCACATCGAGCTGCTGCAATTGGATTCTCAAATGTGGGGCTAGAATGCCTCTGATTTACCGACTGAGATTCCTCTGGCAATCCGACACACACAGTGAGTTGCATGTCTATATATACACATACTTATGGCAGATCCTTTACATTAAGCGCATTGCACTGACTACAGTATACAGGCCCTGACAGGAAATGGTCATTTCTAACATACACTTAAGCAAGGGGTGGTACTGTGCCTTTTGAGTTCATGAAGTTCCTCAAATGTTGCCTTCAGTGCTAACTTGCACTCCATTTAAATGTGGAAACCAAAGCAGGGTTCTTCACTGGGCACGACCTGTTTGCTGAAAAGAGATTTTCTGCACAGTGCTTAACTGTGGAGTCGTAACAAAAAGTGACCATTTTTCATCTGGATGATCATGGTTTCTGGTGAAAGGCAAAACAAAAAATTGCTCATATTTTTAATTAATATCTTCCTGTTTTTACAAAGGTATAAACTGTAACAGTGGCAATTTATAAAATGTAATTTGTACCACTTTTGCACGAAGAACCTGTAACATGATAATGCTGTCAGATGGTCTTTGTCCATCTGTCTGTCCCGTTAACTGTTGATGCTCTTTGTCCATGCATGCAGCCTCTGTGACAGCTGGACGGGTTAGGGGGGGAGACCAATAGGAGGATAAGACCTATTCTTCCCCTCTTGCCCCTCTCGACAAAAACGGGGAAAAAAAACCCTTTAAAAACACTTTTTCAGCTTCTGTTAATGAGAAACTATATCTTTGTACAGAAAAAAAAAAGTTTTGCATCTTCTTGTAAGATTCTGGACTTCTCTTCTCCAGATCCTCATGGCACTCCTGCATGAAAGCAATAAACTATTTTGAATGAAATTGTGCTTTTTATTTTGCTTTGCGCTACTGAAATATTCAAATGAAGTGTCGATTGACAAATAGGTACAAACATAGAGTAATGCCGAAAGCGGGTTCTGAAGTTCTTGCAGTTTTATGCTTTTCAAGTAGTTGGCTAGTACATTCTTTAATCCTGTTGTCAGTATAGATTGCTCCAGCAGCTTGCTATGAATTTTGCTGACCAGAACTAAGGACAACTTGAAAAATGTTTTATTGCTTTAGCTGTAAAAGGTGTTTAAGATTAGGTGCTCCTAATCATGAAAACATTGGAGACTGAGAAAAACTGCTCTCTGGTTACTGGCCCAGGTTCATAAAGGATGAAAACAGTAAAACTGTACGTAGAAATAACAAAATTCTCTCAGGCCCATAGACAATTTAAAACATTTTAATAGTTAAGCCTACAGCCATACCTTGGTTGTATTTTGTCTAACACTCGTATGACAAAACGTAGTGTCTGAGATCTGTTGAATATAATTAAAATGGACGAGTTGAGCTTAATTTTTATTAAATACCGAATTCTCGGAAGATGTGCAGATCTAACATTTGTAAATTGCGAGACACTGGAGCAGTTCAACCCTACCTCTTCAACAAAAAAGTGTTGCCATCCCGCAACTAAAAACACTGACCTGAAAACCATCAAACATTGTATTCATGGTGCCTAGAAAGTTTTTTGCGTGACCATTTGCTTTTTAATTAATATGCTTATTCATATAAAAAATATGATCTAGCACTGCCTTGTCGTTAGGTTGTAGTTTATAAATTCAAATTCATTTCTTTCAAATTCTGATCAACAAATTATAGCAATACAATGTACTGCCTATATTTAAGCATCACTTCATAGTTAACACTTTATTGGGAAGTATATAAAGTTACATTATAACAATTTTATTTTCTCACAAAACATTGTCATATCACCGAAGTGTGCAGATAATAATCATTTAAATACAGAAATGTCAAAGTGTTGACTGGTTTATCATTTTTAGCATGATAAACTGCAACTCTGCACCAATGACATTGTTAGTTTTCCAGCTAAAGCAATCCACCCATGATATCTAACTGGCCTGTGACATGATGATAGTCTAAAGCATAACAGCATTTCCTGTTCAATACAGCTTTGAATCTTTCAACCTTTGATGGATTGTTTGTGCTTAGCTTTTTGTCTATGAATTGCATCAAGCTCATCTTAAAAATTAACCAAATCCTTTGTGCAACAGCAACTATTGTGCATAATGGGACCTGTTGGGTAAAATCATTAATGTTACTAAAGCCTTATCCTGTTTCATTCCTCTTGAAAAAGAAGCTATGCCTCAAACTAAAAACATAGCCTTCAGATAGATGTTTATAAAATTCAACATGGACCCCTGCAGCTGACCAGAAGACAAATACTGTTTCAGGTTAATATGATTTACTACTTGTGCTAACCCACACCAAATCTGGACAAAACTAGAGTGCATGTAGAATTTCTGACTCATCTCTCTTATCTGCTCTCAACTTGTACTCACTCTAAACCATTTTCTTCCTAATCTGGTCACTCTGCTAAATCCTGGAAATTACCCATCCTGCTGAAACCCCTCTTTACAAAGTAGTCTTTCTACACACCTTTCAGACCTCCTCCGTGCAACATTGTAACAGGGTAAGACTAGCTTAAATATCACACTGCAAGATGTCAGAAATGCATTTTCCATTGCACTAGATCGAACAAAAACGAACCCGTATGCTTGCGTTTCAGCTTCATTTCATGAGATGTATCCAGCTGCTACAGATACAATTTGTTTTAATTCAGGAACTGTAAGAGCATTTAAAAAAAAAATAACAAAAACCTTTTACTCTGGTGTCCTTAGTAACATTTCACTTACAGGGCTTTTCTCAGCAAGTTCCAGTGAGTCAGGATCTTGGTAATTGGCTGCCAATATACTGTAAATACTGGCTGCTAGCTTCTGAAGTCCTTTCCCTGTTGTAGCTAAAGGAGTTGTGTTGTTACCATGATCGTGGTTTCTCTTGTTTCCATCTAATCCAGCTGCAAACTATTTTTTCCAGTCATATCCTCCAACATTTCTGTGTCAATTGGATACAACTCTTATTCTTTTTAATAAAAGCTAGGTGTGACCCAGACATGTCTAACTGATGAATATGAAGACCATGACTGCCAACTGAAAGTAGCGAGAGGTTAGTGACTTTTTCTCTCAAACCACAAACAGCTTAACATACCCCCGATTAACCAGTTTTATGATAGCATAAACTGAAGTTTAAAAACAGAACAGCAAAAATACAGAAATAGACACATCCCTTTGAAAATGCAAGAACGCCTGATCCAATCATTCTTCCCTGATGAGAGTTCTTTTCTGATGAGACACGGGTAGCTTTTATATCAGAACAGTATCAGGTAAACTGGAGCAAAAGCCTGAGGAGCTTTTTCCTTTGTCAAGTTACATGAGTGGAGCAAGGCCAGTGTGCCTCCTGGGCACATTGAGAGCCAATCCTTTGTCCTTAACTCCTTCCGCCACACGGTGGCAGTATAATAAGCATTATGCCTCGCTTGTCCGTCTTTCCCATGTCTGGGCAGTGAAGTCAGCGTCCGTGAGGTTGACCGTGAACGGCGCCTCCACCATCTCCGGCATCACCCGCTGCCCGGTGTTCAGGTTATTCACCCTCCAGGAGTTGAGTGGCCGGATAGCTTTCCTGAACCTCTGAAGCAGGACAGAAAGAAACCGTCAGTAACAATGGCTCCGGGAAAGCAGGCTTGGCACAGAGCAAAAACAAGAATATCACTGGGAACCTAATTTTTTCCCCCAGAACTACTGAAACCCAAAGAGGTGTAGGTGGGCAAAGCTAAACTAAGTTTTTGCCCACGTACTAAACATATGATAGATAAGACTTTATTGATCCCAAAGGGAAATTGTAAAAAATTGTGTAAAGCTTCCTCCTAAATTGATCAGCTTTGGCAAACGCATTTGTGACATTTGTGATGTTTAGCAGCTGCCAGGACACCAATGGCTGAAACAACTAAAACATTTCAGTCAGAAAGCCTCACGGCTCTCCCCCCACCACCCTGCCAGAGATGAAGATCACAGCTTGACTCACATCCCGCAGGGTTCCCGACTCCTTGGCGATGGCCACAACAGCCCAGATAGGGATCTGGAAGCAGCAGGCTGCCCCCATGCACACCCCCAAGGCTTTGCCCCAGCGCGGGTAAAGGTAGTCACCGTAGTGGAGAGGCGTGTTGTACATCTCAATGAAAATGTACGTCAGGATAAACTGAAATCACAACATGGGGGTTAAATGAGCAAAAATCTGCAAACATCTGTAAATGTGTTCTCAAGCTATTGTCTAATCAACAGATTTTTTGAGAGCAAACTTTGGATTCTGATTCTGATTGCAGAAAGGGAACTGATATTCCTGAACAAAACACTAAATCAATCTGACAAGAAGAGAAGAACAAGGCCACAGGAACCTGTGTTACAGCTCTTACCAGTAAGAGAAAGGGTGTGCAGAATACCCAGCATGCCTTGAAGTAGAAGAGTACTTTACTGCACCATGGAGGACAGCGGCAGATCATATCAATAATGTCCTGGCAGAACTGGTTCACACCTGCAAAGGCAAAGAAAGTCTTCAAACGCCTCCTTCCTATATGGAATAGCATACAGACGGCAGAAACAGGCACTGGAGTCTGAGAAGGGAGCTAGTCTGGGCTTCATCACGTGTTTGCCAAACCACATAAAAAACACGAATTCAGACGCTTGAAATTCTTTATCTGCCTATCATTTCCATTTAACCGTGCCACCAGCTTTAATGATTATTACCAATAACTGCATTGAAAATCTGGACTCCTAAACAAAATGATTTTTGAAAATTACGAATGACACCCAGCTGGAACCAATGTGATTTTAATTATACATCAGAGATCTATAGCTACGTTTCCTCGAATGCTATTTTGTAATCTAGGAATGGAGCGTTTGAGAAAAAAAAAGATCTAGGTCAGGATTCTGCTTTAACTACCGGTTTATTCATGGATGTAACCCATCCAAGTTTGTCTCTTTGTTGCATCAATTAGGAATTGGCTGAACTGCTAGGGATTAGTTGGATATATACTGTAACTGGAAGTGAAAGCTGTGTCTCAGTATACTTCAGTGAGTATACAGATGGCAAACACACTGAAAGACTGTGGTCATCCACCCGAAGAAGAAACTGGCATCGAAAAGGAAAAGCCACAGTTGAGAGGCAAGTTCAGATCGAGAAGGAGAGCTGGGAGAGGAGTCAGCGGGGCTCACCGTAGAAAAACGAGATGCCGATGCACATGAAGAGAGTGATGATAATGAGGCCGAAGCTGGTGCTGAAGGAGTCGATGAGGGTGAACCAATAAATACCTCCCTGAGGACAACAAGCAACACAAGAACCATCAGACACATAGAAACACCTGATCCTCATTAGGCACAAGAGATAGAAAGACATTCTATAGCACAAGACATGAGCAAAATATTTTAGTATCTCTCCACATGAGAAAGCATAGGGCAGGCCGCTAGTATCCTAAGGGTAGAACTGCAAAGGCATACATTTTAGGAGATATAATCATAGTCGTAGACTACCACTTGCATGAGAAACTTTGAAAGCAATTTTGAGAGTGGAATTTTAGTAACACAGTAGTTTCCCAGGAACATCAAGATATTGATTCCACATGAAAAAGTAAAGATTCTTACAATTTTTCAGCGTGAAACTAATCTTTACTTGATCCTCTGCAGCCCGCAAACGCTGACACAGATCCCTTCTTGAACCTACTAAGGTACTGATGACTTGCAAAACATGCTTGATCCATAGACCATGAACAAAGCAAAACCACCCCAAAACTGGGCTATCGAATCTAGTAAATCTACATTTTTCCTGTAGAAAATACAAAAGCTGTAGAAAGTATGGCTTTTGTTCCTTTGGTCCATGATTTAGGGTTAAAGATACCATATATTACCTCAGCATGTGGGACATTCACTCCAGTAATAGAACTACATATTACTCTCAATATTCAAAATAATTGTAATGGCTCAGGCGGCTTGTTTTGAAATCAGTTGTGGACTATAAATAGAGCTAAAAGGATATACCTCCAAGCAATCTCTTAGGAAACTGATGAAAGCAAAATGTAACACAAAATGGCTTAGAACTGGTTTTCACCTCCAGATAATTCAGTACAAGAACAAAGATTCCGCGGAATGTAACTGTGGCGAAGCAAATCCTTTCAGATATATTTGTTTCATCCCAAACACAATTCCCTTCAGCCATCCGTTACACTCACATCTGTGATCAGCAGCAGCCCCATCAGGTAGAATCCAAAGCAGAGCGCAGCCAGGAAGAGAGTCTTGTACTTCACACTTCCCCTCAGCTTTGGAAATTCATCTAGGATCGCAGTGGTGATGCCCTCCATGTTCCCAAACTGCAATAGACAGTTGCTAGCAATGTGAGCTGGCTATTTAACAAATGGCACAACAGCACTGAGTGGGCAGCATGGAGCAGTAGTCAGGGTTTGGGAGTCAAGGTTAGAAGGCTGAAGTCCTTCTTTGAACAGGTTTGTTGTTCCTTTGACCATGATTCTTAAGTTATATTGCTCTACTCCATCTAGCTGTTAAAATGGTCGCCAGTTTAGACGTGCCTCTGCAAATATTACCTCATCTGCCTTCATCTGCTTAGTGCTACCAAAACTGGGACAGGTGTGGACTTTTACTTACTACTGCACTGAAAGCAGACCAAGATAAAGCACCTAAAGCAAGAATCCACAAATAAAAGTGTAGAACCTATTCACATTGTATCCCAGATAATCCACTAAAACTGTGGATTATAGACCTTCCTCAGACTCTATGAGAGACAACTTCTTTGACTCATTTCAAATATAAACTTAAAACTTTCCTTTTTAGCAAGGTCTACGTAGATCTTTGTAGATGTAGGTTGCCCCATATCTGAAAAACCATGTATGCTCTTGTTTATTTTTTTCTCCTTTTACTTTTTATTGTACTTTTATTTACTTGTATTATTATTATTATTATTATTATTATTATTATTATTATTATTATTATTATTATGGCAGTAAGAGTACTTCTTGTAACCTCAAGAAGGATATCCTCATCTTTAGTGAAAACTGTATGACACTGGTTATTTCCCATTTCCACTTTTCCCAGTGATATACACAATAAATTACATGCATCCAGCTTGAAGAATGTGATAAACTCTACGGGGAGAGACAAGACACGACTGAAAACCAAGACTCCTATGTAAGTGGAATGTGGTCATCTTACCAGAGTGTCCACGCCCAACATAAACAGCATGAGGAAGAAGAGAATGGACCAGAAGACGGAGCCAGGCAGAAGCGCAAGGGCTTCTGGGTAGGCCACAAATGCCAACCCTGGGCCTGCAGAATAAAAATTGAGGAAAATGTGAGTTACACCCAATTAAAAAAAAAAATCTTAAAATCTGGTTTTCAGTAAAGATATTACATGAATATCAGATTAATAGATATCTGGGCTCATAGTATTTATGGCGATTTTTCTGTCATTACAACAGACAGTTAAGCTTTATGTTTTAAAAGAGGAGTCTGTGATCTTTATGATGGATTAAACTAAGAGAAACCTGAAACCCTTGTACCCAACAGTGATGTTGACTGTGATGCTTACAGTTATGCAGTTATGTTGAAGTGAACATAGCTGAACCATACATGATTTCATTATTCCAGCACCCGTAGGTTTATATTTTTAAAGCATTATATTTGCCCTGAAAAGCCTGATCTGTGTTAAAATAGGGCCACGAGTTTTCTTTCCCCTGAAGACAACCATATATTTGTGGGGGAAATTGCCTCAAAAAAAATATTTGCCTTCTCTGCCTTCCAGCTCCTTTACAAAACATTAACCACTGCTTTACTATGTGGGGGGTTAAAAATAACATGAATTCTTCCACACTTACCTGTATCTGCCACTTTTCCAACTGGCACATTCTTCCTCCAGGCCATGTGTCCCAGAATGGAAAATATTGCAAAGCCAGCAAAGAAACTGGTGCTGCAGTTTCCAATGGTAATGACCAGAGTGTCCCTGGAACAAGACAGCCATTGACACATTGAAACAGGGCAGGTCTGCAGGGTGTGAGCCCCGGCATGCTGGGAAGGATGTCGTTGTCCATATTGTTTTTGTTTACTTCCTTATACGTTTATAAAATTGGGATAATAACATTAAAACTATGGTTTATTTTTAGAATCCGTTTTTAGATCATTGTACTTTCCAGTTTACTTAAATAACTTGGAGAAATATTAACTCATTACATTCGAATGTAAGCCCGCTTAGCTGAAAGACGTTTGAAGAAGGAAAGAAAGCAATCCACTTATTTCAATTCAAAGATTTATACCCGCAAGCACGCGCAACTGGAAATGTTCATGGGTTTTGCCAAACAATCTGAAGAAACAAATCTTATAATGTTATCGGTTAAAGGCGATAAGATTTACTTCTGAGAATGTTAACCTTAGGCACTCATCTTTTTATGTCATTTTTTTTTGCTAAATAATTTTTCTTGCATTTGAAAAAAAAACAACTACTTACCTGATGACGTTGTTATCAAACTTGTTGTAGGATGCCATGGAGAGAAGCCCTCCCACACCTATCCCCAGTGAATAGAAAATCTGTGACGCCGCATCATTCCACACCTGTCAGGTCAAAGATCAGACAATCTGTATTCTTTTATAGTATTGACAGCAAAATAAACCCATGGCAATACTGTTACTTGTGTGCAGGCAGATCTTAATCTAGGTAACCCTGTTGTCCCAATCCTTCTCACAAACTAAATCACTGGATGCAGATTTATTAAATGAAAATAAAGAGTTGTTTGTTAGTTATGCAGGAGAAGAGGCAACAAAATAAGCACAATTATAAACAAGTGTTTTGAATGCAGAAGAGGGTGACAGAACCAATTAAGTAAATGCCATTCCTAACAGGAAGTTTTTCAGCCTGGGTTTGAAAGTACTCAGGGAAAGCGACTCTCTGATATCCTTGGGGATAAAATTCCAGAGTGTAAGTGAACCTAGGGGTCAAGCAGAATCAGGTGAATGAGGGTTGCAAGATGGGAAGGAGGAAGATAAGTCAGATATGTACTGAATAGCCAAGCCTTGTAGAGCCTTATAGGCGAGCAAGAGGATTTTGAAGTCGACACAAAACCTGATAGGAAGCCAGTGCAAGGACTCCAGGACAGGAGTAATGTGATGTTCCCAACCGGGTCAGGATTCTGGCTGATGAATTGCAGACATACTGAAATTTGTTTGGTGTGGATTAAGATACCCCAGCAAGTCGAGATTTGCAGAAATCAATTCGGGAAAAGACAAATGTGTTGAGCAGCTTTTCAGCTACAGTCAGAGACAACAAACCTGTGCGCTGGCAAGGCGCTCCCAGTCGGGTGTGAGGTAGAAGGCCACCCCTTGCAGGGAACCCTCCAGCGTGGCACCACGGATAATCAACACGATCAACACAAAGTAGGGGAAAGTGGCCGTCACATACACAACCTGCCATTTAAGAGCAACAGGAAATAATGTCATCAATATGACATGCATTATATGTATATATCCATCTTTCCAATACCATGTATTACATTCAAGTGTATTGTGTAGTGTGCAGCACTACCAAACTAAACTGGGCAAATTACCACTCTGCCCACACTTTTTGGAAGGCTGCGGTGTAGTCAGGTACAATGCGTAAAACGTGAATACTTGGGCCCGCTGCCCTTACCTTGCCCGAGCTACGGATGCCCTTCAGCATGCAGAGGAAGATGATGAACCAGGCGACCAGCAGACAGATGGCCAGCTGCCACCTCACCGGCCCGGGATCGTGCAGGCCCTCGCTATTCGACACCCCCAGCACTTGTTCACTGCAAAGCCAGAACAGGCAACGATCAGCCAGGGCCTTAGCATTTACGACATCTGAAGTTTTACTGACACACAAAGTTGCATACCTGGAAAAGCTTGCTTTGGTAAAGATGCCGTTCTTACATACCCAGGCACGTTTGGGGAATACTTCAGCTATAAACCAATATAACACTAATTGTATTTCTACTCATATTTATTGAGAGACAAAGCATGCTAGTGATTCTTGCGCTGTGCAGTAATCTGTGATCATCAGAAAGAGAAGGACACAAACATGCAGAACTCACTTCCAGAACACTTCTGTGGCGCTCAAGGTACTGCCGTTTCTCGTCCCATTCACACTTGTTTCGTTCTGTTGAGAGGGGAGAGAAAGGCCTTATCTTCTCACACATGGTCACTCTTCACACAGTAGTGTGTATGCTCACCAGCTTAAGGTAGAAGTTTCAAACCAGATTCTGATTTTTGACATTAATCATCCTTTAAGTGCCACTGCTGGCCAATCAGGCAGAATAATGGAACTGGGAAAACAGCACTGAGTGCAAGTGAGCAAGGGGCTTGAACGAGTAGTCATTCGTTTCACAGTGTGGGCTTCAGTGCACCTTCTTCTTCTCCACATGATCGCAACAGAGTACTATACACTGAATTTGACGTATTCTGTCAGTTTTATGACCTAAATCATATATTCCAGTTAACCTACCTATAGTCACCACTGCAAAAGGACACCCAGATATGAAACAAAATTGTAACTCAAACCTCAAACCAAACCAGTCCTTGGCTCTTTGGGTTTGTTTTTTTTAAATTTAGACAATTTAGAAAGTTTCAAGAACTTAGCCCATTTCACTTATGGCCTAAGGGAATTCAAATTTCCAATTGCCCAGAAACGGCAACCTTCAAAGTACAGTATAAGACACATCTGACTTACACCACAAAGGCCAGCATTTGAAATGGCGTCGCAGGACCAGGGCAGGGGACTCTGGAAGGACATGCCCAGGTAGTAGAAGGTCCAAGCAATGATCACATTGTAATACAGACAGACTAGGGTGGAGACGCACAGCATTCCAATGCCAATACCTGCAGCAGAGAGTCAAGTGGTGAAGAACACAGCCATCAGAGTACCACTGATGAATGAGGAACAGACACAGTAGAGCCTAAACAGACAGACACGGTCCCTGCTGAAGAGGCCTTTTATGACTTTCGCTGGCGTGCCTAGCTTTCAGAATAATCCATGTGTTATTAAAGGCCATACATGTGAACTGTGAAAATGTAAGCTTCGTCAACAAAAAAGGGAAGACAGCGAATACCAGGAAAGGTAGCTTTGGCCCTGCTTTTACAAACATGAAACCAGGGGATGCTTTTGATATACAAACTACAGTGTGATTATGAAAAGGTTCTAATAATTTTTAAACTAAGCAGTTTAAGGAAGACAGTTACGCCACATAAGAAAACTAATCAAATAAGCCCCCCAATTCTTAAATAATGGATCCTACCTTTGAGTAGGGGACAGCATTTCCACACGGTAATGGGTCCTGCTGCTCCATACTGCCCCAGGCTGAGCTCCATGAGAAACAGAGGCACTCCAGTGAACAGCAGCATGATAAAATAGGGGATGAGAAATACACCTGGAACAAGACCAATACATACAGTGGGTTAACTGACAATTCAATGTGTCCCACAGAAAAATGCACAGGAGGAAATACACAGAAAGCTAAAGTCAGTGTTACCATCTTTTTCACAGTTGTCTCTCATACAACGAGTGTCCTACTTGGATATTTCTCAAATCAGGGGATCTCATTCCCTGGACTTTGTCAAATTTGGAAACATTTCCCTGAAACATACTCAAAATCAGTCAGAAGGAACACCTGCCGAATGAAATACAAATATAAATATAGTGTAGAATTATCAATGGTAGTGATGTTGATTATTTCAATAATTAACATCACATTTACATGCCACACATGCATGAGGTGAAAGATTATGTTTTTTTTTTGCTTTCCAGAAATAAATATTTTCTATAAGGATTTAGTAATAAAGGTGTTGTAATTACTTGTGACTCAGAGGATTAAAGAGTGATTTTTAAAAAATCTGAATAATAAAAAACAGAAGTGATCTGTCCTTCAAACGCTTAGAATGAAATACATTTGTGTGAAAAATGTCATCCTTGATTCTTAATCTGAAAAGAAATCTCAGAAGTATCTTTAAAAGAAAACAGTAAACTGCCTCGACTTGCATTATATTGCAGTTTCAAAGTTTTGGGATGGGCTCCCTATAGCAGGAAAGATACCTTATGTACATGTACTGCTTGGTACACTATGTCGAATGGTCACACCTACTGTATTCTCCTTGTCAAGGTAGAATGTAGGACAAGCACGCCAGACATGTTTAAACACATCATGGAATCTAGCGCCAACACTGCTCTGAAACAGCAGCACACTAATTATGGCATAAGAGCATAATTCAGTGGTGAGTATGTTTTAATTGCAGATATAACACACCAGAACTGGTGTCAGAGTAGAGAATTACAAAAATAAGTGCTGTAAAACTAAGTAGCAAGTCATTTATTTAAAAACATTCCAAATATTTTAAATACGTTAAAGTGAAGTCAGTTTTGTCTTTTATCGTTAAAATGCTGTTTTAGTATTTCAAATATCACCACACTACATTTCCAACAGCCTTATTTAACTTTATTTTTACTGAAACCTTGGTTCTACAAAGGGAAAACATAAATCAAAAGAGTATCAGAATTTCTAGTTCATTGTCTGATTTACACATTTCTTGTCTTGGTCGTTTTTGATTTTTTGAGAGAGTGTCTTGAACATTTTTTCAAAGAAAACTAAGAATAACAGTGAACTGTTCCAATTGTTTTTTCCCAAGGGGAGATGTTTTAAAATTAGTTCTTCTTTAAGTGCATACCTGTGGAGTAACATTCAGCACACACAGAACAGGTGTGTCTGGAAGGCCTAGGGCCTCAAAAACACTGTTGTTGCCATGGCAACTGAAGCTCGCCACACAAAACAAAACAATCCCTCTGGAGTTCATGAGTAAGCTATGCAGGTGCTGCAGTGTTGTGCTGGTTATATTACTGACAAAAGAGGAATAGCTTGAACCTAAACCTGATCAATGCCAGTCCTAACAAATGCTTTAAATTGTAGCTCTGGTAGAGTTCTGGTAGTGTTTCTGTGTCCATTGAATATTGAGTCAAATTATTGTAGGCAGGCACAGCACTCTAAAACATTTTCAAGTACAAGTACAATGGGTTTTTGTGCGTCACTACCAGGCATTATGAAAGCTATAATTGGAATTTAGCTCTCCAACCCTCACCTCCTCCATTGCGGTAGCAGAGGTAGGGGAACCTCCAGACATTGCCAAGCCCAACACAGTAGCCGATACAGGAGAGCAAGAACTCGTATTTCCCTCCCCACTGCTCCCTAGGAGGTTGGAGATCAGGGGGTGGAAATGGAGAGGGGGGCCGAGACTCAAACTGAGGCTGGGATGAAGGGTCAACAACATCATGCACCAGTGACACACCATTCAGCAGCACCGGGCTCTGAAATGCAGAGAAGAGCAAAAACAGCAAATCAGGAAAGTAGTGGACAAGATTTGGTCAATCTAGGGCAGTAGAAACAGCATTTTTTAAATTACAGGTGTTATAGTAAGCTTCTTAACTCCACTACATGACTGACAAAATCCACTTCCATAAACACCCTGTTTGGGTTTCAAAGGTTATGAGCCATTGAAACACAGCCTTGTTCATTAAAATGTATAAACCTTTACTATTTACCAACAGACTATGTTTACACTTCTTGTCTTCCTAATAAGAAAAACACACAATTAACTTTTCACAGGTCTTTCAAAATGCTAATGTAAGGGTTCCTGTAAGTGATTTAGGTGCATTGAACACTGTATAATTAATTAGACAATTGCTATTCTTTCAAAAAGGCGTGGTGAACCATACAATGATACACAGTGGAAAAAGTAATATACATTTCCTGTTCTTATTGCAAATCTAGATGACACTTGTACAGACTTATTTTATATTTCATGTTCCCCAAGAGGTTTCACAAGCTATTTTTGACATAGGAAGTACTAATTTCTGTTTTGGTTTTATCCAAATGTTAGACATTGTATCTAAGTGACATAATGGGTGCTAATAGAAGAAAGGGAAACTTGGACAGGATGCTACATCCATTATAGGACACACATACTGAACACAACACTCGGTGACAGTTCAGACACCTATTAACCTGCATGGCTTTGGGAGATGAGATGAAACCTGAGCACCTGGAACAAAAAAAACTTAAGTGTTCACATGTAACCATGTACAGTATGATTCGGTACTATTGAATAATATCGCATCACAAGAAATCATGGGGAAAAAAAAACAAAAGCAGGAACTACTCAATCACCTTTCCTGTCCTGAGATCCTAAATTGAATGTTTTTGTTTGCCTGGGTACAGTACAGAGACTGAGACCAGCACATTCCACTAAGGTGCTCGCAATAATCCAAGCACTGAAAGGGTTCAGAATATCTGAGCTATTCTAAAGACTGAGACTTGGGGAATAACAGCAGACAAGAAAAAACCTGAAGTTAATTCCATGTTAAAAAGCAGAAAGAAGAAGAAAAAAATGGTTTAGCTGCTGAACCTTCTTCAGGTGTGTGGAATTAACCTCTGCTTATCTATGGCTCACACACTGACTCAAACTCACTCTCCACTCAAACCAGCAGCAATGGCAGACATTTCAAAAACTGGAACGTAATATACAGTACAAAGCGTTGTATTTTGTCACAGGGCCCAGTTACACAATCTGCTAAACTTCAGAGACATTCTTTTTGACATATCCAGTCCTTGCATTAAATTCCTTGGAGATATAATGTAACTATTTCATCAATGGATTGTTCTACTAGAACTGTTTTGGGTATTTTTTATCTCCTGTGTGTACCTGACATAAAACTGAAGTCTGACTCTCTACAACATACTGATCACTTTCTTCTCTGAGGTCCTCGATTGATCACATTTTGGTATGCTACCTACTGTAGATACGTACAATATAGGGAGTTTAGTGTAAATATACAGTATTTTATATAGCACACTTCCTAAATCGTGTCATGAATTCAAGTGTTTTGTTCTCAAGAGAATCTACAGTTACTCCAGGGTCTGTATTAATAACATTTAATGATGCTTAATTGCGCAACTTAATTAAAGGACTTTTTGGAGTACATATCAATTCAGGCCTATAAGCAGGCCCTTGTTTATAGTTACAAACTGCCTGTGTTCGTCAAGAAAAATTATGAAAATGTATGGTAATGCTTTGTTCTGAGGCAATGTAAGAAACCATAAATCAATGTCATATTCTGAATCTATAAAAGGCTTGGGACTGAATTCTGCTCCCACAGATGTTCCCCAGTATGAATTAAGTACAACTGTGTACCATACTAAAGAATCACCAAACAGAATACACAAAAACTCATTTACGGGAAAGAAACTGCATTTGTCCACTTTTTCTCGTGTACTGGTTGGTTCTAAAAAAAACAGAAAGAATCTTCTGGCAGCCATTTCACCACTGCAAAATCAGGTTCAACCCATTTAAAAAGTAACCATAAACCTCTCAATAACAGTGTATGCCCTGTTGCCGCCTTACAGTCAAATTTTAGCTTCTATGAATATCCAACGGTTTCCACACACACTCAGCCTGTAAATCAAAACGGGAAGTTTCACATTTAAAAAAAATCAGGAACTGAAGGTTTTGTACCTCACATGTTCTATTTGCATCAGAATCTTGAATTTCACCCTCTGAACAAAAGATATTACAGAGGAAGTTAGACAAACGTTTGGCAGTGAAGTAATTTCCCCATCTCATTTGCTGTGTAATAAGCCTTTGCTGCCACATGTTCCTAAGCAAAGGATCATTACTATTATCACAGATGAACAGAACATCACTAATCGCCAATACAAAATAACACTAGGACACACATTAGAAGCAGTGTAACAGCCATTTTCTCATTTCAAATCTACTGTGAGATTTTAAAAAAGTATACAAAATAAACACAAAGCAAACAGTAATTAGAAAGTGACCTGCGGTTGTGTTCTCTTTCCTTCTTGTACTTATTCATTTCATTCTGTTGATGCATGTTTTTGCACATCTGATGTTGTTTTTGAACATTACCTGTTACTTTTTTGTTGTTGTGCACATTGCCCGTTGTTATTTTTGCACACTGCCTGTTGTCTCTGTCTTTCTTTTATTATACAATTGTATTGTTGTTGTTTTTTGTACTACATATCATCTGAGAGCTAGCTAAATAGCATTTTGTTATACCATATACCTGTATGTGAGTATAATGACAATAAACTTGAACTTGAACTTGATTATGGTGACTGCAAGTGATCCCAATTGAAATTCCCAGTGTGTCATCTAAAAACATTTAACGGTGTTAAAAATAGCAAAGAATTGTCAAGCAGGCTTTCATTATAGAAATCAATCATTTCTAATTAACAATATTTTATATATATAATAATTGCCATAGCAGGAGTGTACCAAATAAGATGGGTTAAGTACTGTAGATGCTTCTGTGGATCTAGGACAGATAGTTTGTCTGTTGTCTGCCATGGCACTCTGGGTGCCGTTAGTTTACATGCATCGTTTCCTGTTGGTGAGAGACTGTGGGTCAGCACTTCTTTTCTGTGCCGAGTAGTGAAGGCAACCACATTTCCCTAAAACAAGTGCCAAAAACAAATCTGAAAAATATCATTTTGATGTTTGATTCTGATCAATTTAAAGTCATTAAGGGCCTGTATGGATACACAAGAAGATCATTGTCAAGTTGCCAGAAATTCCTACAATACTCAGGTAGTCCTTGACAATAGTTGTGACACTAGTGGGCATGAAATAATAGCAAAAAAAAAAAACCAAAGGGGTCAACAACCCGGTAAAAAAAAAGCAAAAGCAAATTTAATTTAATTTTTAAAAAAAACGTTTGCTTTATTAGCATTCCAAGCATGAGATTTCAAAGTTTTGTTCATTTCATTTGGGAATTACTGAAGGCAATAAGAAATACTGCACTAAAAAGAGGAAGCGCTGATAAGGGAACCTCACAGAAAGGAATCCATACTAAGCCACAAGCTAAAAAAATATTTTAAATCACCCAAACTATCAAAACACAATCAACAATTCAATCAGTTGATCAGATGCTGATTAGAATTAATTCAGATGGCATGATGGGATGATGGCCTACTCGATTAAGTCATGATAGGCTTCACCATTATAACATATACCAGTATGTTCAGTCATTGCTGTAAACTAGTGACCTGCAAAAATAACCATCCTGCGATTAAATTAACAAGATACGATTTTCTTGCAGTACCCGTTTCCAATTTTAAAAGTAAAAGCATAAGGGGATGAGAAAAGATTTGTTAAAAGCGTCTGTGTTTGCGTTTGGTTTTGCGGCATGAAGCTCAACAGGTTCTGTCAATCGCCGCCCGCAGCTTTTAAAAGAGGACATAAAAAAACAAGGAAACGCACCTCTTAACTACTGAGGTCATCGCATCGCTAAGTGGAAAAAAAAACAGAAGGGTTTTACATTTTTTTCTCAAAAGGAAAATCTGTCGCATTTCCATCTGACAATAGCACTCGTATTTTGAATGTACCGTAAGTGGGAATTCTTAGACCAAGTTACACTTAGCGATAACCTCCTTCAACATCTTCCACTATTTAAACTGTTTTAAAAGGTGTGAATTCACTGATTATCACCTGTAGTATGAAATATTAGATATAAACCCATGATTATTAGCAATATCCGTAATTATCTGGGTATTAATCAGCCTAAAAGGTGACCGATATTATATATTTATCCCTGGAGCACTACCAAATAAGTGTCTAAAAGACCCAAGAGCATGCCAGGTCACCTGTGGACGTGATGCTGTTGTTTTCTCCGTGTCGTTTCCTGGCGTCTGTTTCGGCTCCTTTTCCCGCATCTCCCCCGCTAAGGGATCAAGGCTCTTCTTCGGGTGATCGTTCCATTGCTCAGGTAGGGGTTTCATGAAGAAGAGAAATCGTAGTACAGTTCCAACGGGGACTAGAATGAATCCAATATCCAACTAATAGAGAATTTTGCTTTCGAAGTTTGAAATTGTGTTTAATTCTAAAGCCGACAGGTAGAAACAGGTATCATGTCTGCCCCAGTCAGGAACTACTCGGGCGAGCGTAGCGTGAGCTCTCCTGCTGCCTCTGTACAATAGCTCACCTTAAAGCACCCGAAACCACACCCCTGATCAGGTAACCTGTCTCTACTTTGTGCTTTAAAACCATGCACTCAGGAAATAAATGTTTGGTCCACCCGTCGGTTTTTTTTTTAAGGCTTACATGCTTGCCGATTCGCTCTGCTACGGGTTCCCCCGTTTAAAACGAAATTCCACGTAAAGACTAAAGCCACATAAAAAGTGGTAAATGTATTTTATTGCTGTATGGCAATTAAAGGTAAAGGTCTTTCGGTTGTTGATTTGAAAAATAACAAAAAAGGGATTATGAATCGAAGCTACATTTGTGTGTTGTAAAAAAGCACATCAGTTCATTTGTTCTCAGCTATACTGACTGAAATTCCATCATTAAAATTTAGTTTCTGACTTTCGTATGCTATTACATACAAGCATAGCCTAAACTGTCCAATCCAATTGGTCTGCTGGAGGTAGTTAATGTTTCACATATTATCAGAACAAATTGTCCTTCAGACCAAAAACGTATATAAAAGGGAATAAATCTGAATGAAAGTATTTTCTAACCTCCTATCCATTGTTTTAGTTTAAGATTAAATAAGCAGAACTTTCATTTTACTTCTGTGTTACTAACCACCTTTCGGTAGCATCAAAGAGAGTATCCTGCTGCGATGTTCTGTTTTCTATTAATGCAGAAAAAGTCCCAAATTCATGGAGCTTTCTTCTTTGCCGTTGTTACAGTAGATGAGCCTGAGGTAAGGGAGAAGCAGAAGCTCTGTGTGTGAGCACAAAGTTGGATTTGCCCTTGACAGTGTAATTTTAATTTAAAAAAATCTAAACTGGAAGTTCATTGTATTACACTGCAAAATCAGATATGATAGCCATAAAATGACACCGCAGGTGTTAAAAACCAGCATAACCTTCCCTTGTTACAATCACTGCTAATCTCCATTGCAGTCGTATGCATACAGTATGTCAGTACCATGACATTGGTTTGTTGCCAAACCAGTCTCTCGGTTTATGACTGAGTGCCACAAGGCGAAAGTACCAGATAGCCTGTCACCCCTGCCCCTGTTAAAAAAGTCCTCAATATGGTACAGTTTGACCCATCTGGACAAATTTATGTAGTTTTATTCACTAGGTAAAAAGTCAGCAAGGATTCAGTGTAAGGAATGGACAGCCAATTTGAGTACAATATTCAGTGGCACTGTGGTATACAAATTTAAATGCATGTGATGTTCTGTGCTGCCAAAGAGTGCTTTACAGACATTATCTCTGTCAAAATGCAGTTTTTGCTTTAGTCAAAACTAAGAATAATTTCTTTACTTTCTTTTCTTAAAGAGGTGGAAAATATACAGTACCCACATACAGTCTGTCTCTTGGTACAGCACAAACGAAAATCCAGTTGAAAATGTTAACATCATAAAAGTATTTGTGTAAGAAATATGAGGAAGCTCATCATTTTCTTTTCACGTATTTTAACGGCAACAGCTCTGATCATGGGCTTGACATTGACATTGGCGAAGGAGAGAATAATATGACAGGAGTGGAGTTCAAAACAAAGGTAGTCTAAGGTGTGGTCGAGGTATTTTTTTAAGTGCACTAACATGATGAATGGGAGTGTCCCAGAAGGAAGGTGGAGATGAATTTCAGTGGCTCTAGTGAAAATGGTCAGCTTACACAATTGTAGCAGTAACATCGACAGAAACACAAAATGTGCTGCACAGTGTTATCAAGAGTAAGTAAAAAAAAAAACTTTAATAACTTCACTGCTATTACAGGGTGCACTCCAGATAAAATCATGGCTGAGCTGATAGATCCAACCCCACCCTTTTTGTGGTTTAACAGCATGTTCACACAAAACACCAATAAATTTCTACCACCGCAGCTAGTTCTTTGGTGCACAGACAAAAATTACAAGCAAATTCCAAGGATGCAATTGGAGATCAGGACAAAGAGGTGGAACAAATATTCTTAAAGTAATAAGTTATTTACATTTCTTACTGCAATATTAAATTTGAAACACACACAATTAGTTGATTAATTATGAATTCGATTACTTTATTTTTTTAAGTCAGTATGTTCCATGTCCTGACCCAAACCTAAATGAAGTGTAAAATACATTTACTGAATATGCACATAATATATACTAAAGTACTTTAACCTTACTTTTGAAATATATGGAGGGATTTTAATTACTATAACATTTAAACAAATAATGACAGTAAGTGTAGATAAAGGATGACTTCTTTAAATGGAAGTTTTTCTAAAAAAAATACTGCAGGTAGATAACATAAATCAGCATTGTTTGTAATGTCCATTTGGGTTAATACAACTGATATAGCACAGAATGTGAATTTAAATGAATAAATTTGGTTTCTGTGTTTTCACTACAAGGCAAGAAGGACCTGTAGTTAAAGATACAGTATGGTGGAAGATGAAGATGCAGTCCATGTTCTTCTTCAAGTATTTGGCCAACTGGTAACATTTGTTATGGTAACATGACAAGACTCTGGGATTACTGATGTAATTACTATAGGCAGTACTGAATTACAGAATCATGTTCTGATGCTTTAATTACTGCAAGCACACTCTAGTCAGATGACCAAGTTTGTCATATTGTAAGATTGGATGAGGCCTTAACAACTCTTACACAAACCTTGTCAAAACATTAGCCACACAGCAAATGTAAATGAACTGTATTTGAAACATTTTCCACAGAGGGCAGTCTATATTTGAAACACTGACAATCTGGGTCTGGGCTATGTCATTAATCAACTCTTAATATGATTCCTTAATAATAATAATAATTGCTTACACTTATATAGCGCTTTTCTGGACACTCCACTCAAAGCGCTTTACAGGTAATGGGGACTCCCCTCCACCTGGATGATGCAACGGCAGCCATAGTGCGCCAGAACGCTCACCACACATCAGCTATCAGTGGGGAGGAGAGCAGAGTAATGAAGCCAATTCATAGATGGGGATAATTAGGAGGCCATGATTGGTAAGGGCCAAAGGACGCCTGGGTTACACCCCTACTCTTTTGCCCTGGGATTTTTAATGACCACAGAGAGTCAGGACCTCGGTTTTATGTCTCATCCGAAGGACGGCGCCTGTTTACAGTATAGTGTCCCCGTCACTATACTGGGGCATTAGGACCCACTTGGACAGTAGGGTGAGTGCCCCCTGCTGGCCCCACTAACACCTCTTCCAGCAGCAACCTTAGTTTTTCCCAGGAGGTCTCCCATCCAGGTACTGACCAGGCTCACACAGCTTCAGTGGGCTGCTAGTTGTGAGTTGCAGGGTGATATGACTGCTGGCAACATGCAACAAAACCATTGGCCAAGCACTGCTGGGGTAAGTGGGCTTGGGATGACCATCATTTTCTGCCTGTAACTTGCTAGGTGGCTATGAGCTTGCAGTAATATCAGAGACAGCAATCCAACAACAGATCTGTAAAGCACTGTTTGTTTGCAGTGTGTAAAATGGTGACTGGCTCAACACTGCAAGTTGAAGGATAGCATACAGTTCTTATTCTCCTTGGATATGTACAAGCGTTGTATTAACAATTAGCATTCCAAATTGGATTGGTATGAAAATAAGCATTATGAATTATGACAATGTTTTTTTTTAAAAGTCATCTGTGAAGAAAACCATTCCCTTAAAAGGTCCTCCAGACACACAATGAAGTGTCTTGATATGCCAGGATGTACATTCTCCTACTTCGTCTTCTTTGGAGTTATAGCATCAAGATCTTCAGTCTCAGATCAGGGATTGTGCTTATATCTATGTATTGAATAATTTAGCCCTTTAACACTAGCTGTTTCTGAGTTATAAGTTGATAGATGCTTTGAGTCCACACTCCAGGGATTTCAGCTTCCTCTTACCTTGGCAACTGAATTTATTTAACCTTAGCCTAAAAAATAAAGAAATACTGTTAATAATAGAAAGGGTTTCCACCCAAAGCACCCGAAGCACCAAACAAAATGAACCGTGATAAAACACTCACTCTATTGTACAAAGGCTCAAACAGTGTTTGGCGAGGCCTTGGAGTTCAGTAACTGACTGGTCAGTCAGGAGATTCATTGACAAGTCCAAAGTGATCAGAGAGGAGCTGCTGGTGAGAGCTTGTCGCAGGTCTTTACAGCAGGCTCCTTTCAGTCTGTTTTCCTGCAGTCTGGGGGGACAGAGGGGGCAATAGATGAGCCAGAGCTCTGCCTCTCCTGTAAATGTTACAGAGCACAGCTATACCTCAGGTACCAAACTGCAATGAGGACCTACAACCATAAAATATATATGTAAACTAAAAAAAGTGTAGGTACATCATCAAATGACATGATTGCTGTCTCCTTTCCTAGAGAAATCATGTACACTTTAACAGGTTTGACAACCAGTTGGCTGGCAGCAAGTATGTATCTTTACAGTTTTCTTGAGATTTTACAACAATTGTATCACGCATGTTTTCTTTCCAGTAGTCACCATCATATTTCATCATATTTTGTTATACATCTCTGTTTTGCAGTGCTTTTGTCATGGTCTTCCTTGCATTGCAACATTTTACTTGGTGTTTCTTATTGTATTTCACAGTAAAAAGGGGACAAGCTGATTGCTGGTTCAATTGGATTTGTTGCACAGAATATGCTGATATTTTTCTGTGTCTGTCACTATAATAAAAAATCACAGGATTCCAACAAGAGAACAGCAGAAGTCCAAAGTGGTCATCGTACTCACACAAGGGTCTGAAGGGCACAGCTGGGCTGTCTCAGTCCGAGGCTCAGCAAGGCCACACCCTTGTCTTCAAGATCATTGTCAGTCAGGATCAGAGTAGTCAGAGACAGATTGGAGGAGAGGACCTGGGCCAAGTTCTTACAGCAGCCAGCTGTCAACTCACAGCTTTCCAACCTGTACAAGAGACCGTTTTCAACCCACATTTCCCAAGCTGCACTGGGGTTCACATTCATGACATACTTTCCACAAACCAGTACAGTGCTACAGTACGTTTTGTCAGGGTGCTAATTTAACAGTCCCTATATGCAGTTTATATAAATAATCTTTTGCTTTTTGAATAGAAGTGGGTCAATTCAAGGGCCGTGCACACTGGATGAGACTTACACAAATGAAAAAAAATCAGAAACGTGATCATTGGAAAGTAGGAATGCACACGTGACGCAAGCAGCCCAAGGGAGCACATAAATCAAAAAGGATTTATTTCTGTTCATACTACATATTGCAGTGCCCCCATTGCAAAAAACTTCAGGGCCACAAATGTACTAATCTGGAGTACAAAGCCATCTTTCAGCTGGTCAGGTGGTTTTTGTATAATCTGTTTTTGTTTAGTGCCCAGTACTTCATATAGAATCCTGGATTGTTCTGCACTTGATGTCTTGTTGCTTAAGCTCTAGCCTCTACCGGGTGTTCCCCATAATTATTAGTGAGTGCTCCAGTTGTTCAATTTCCCCAATTTAAGTTTACTAATTCATCCTGAATTGGCTTGTTTCATTATCGGGAAAAATAATTATTTAGAAACACACACAGATGCTCGCAATGACAGTATGCTGCCTCAGTAATTGAATTACTACTGGTGGTTACAGATCTATTGGTTTCTCACTCTGCCAGAGAGCAGTATTATGATCCTCACTCACTCCAGTGTCTGTAGCACACAGCCGGGCGCCTGCAAGCCCCGACACAGCACCTTCATCCCGTCGTCCCCCAGCTCATTCCAGCCCAGACTCAGCTTGCTTAGGGAACGGCTGGTCTCCAGCACCGCAGCCAGGGGCCCACAGCACCTGCTGGTGAGTCTGCACCCCTCCAGCCTGTGAAAGAGGAGAGGAGTTGGGAACAGCAGACCATAAGGGGGGGAAACCACAAAAAAAAACATATCCAGTTGAATTCATAAACGTGTGAAGACATGATGACATAAGTCCATAGGTAAATCTGTAAAGGGTCAATCAAATATGCTCCACAGATGTGGAAGGCTGGAATAGAATATTGTTTCAATGCCACAATCGCACGTCTTCCATCGCTTCAGGCGTGATTAAGTGATGTTGGTGTAGGCGTTCCTGCTCTGTCACCGGGGTCAGTGTTGTCACCGTTGAAAGTTTGACCTCCAAAAGCTTTCTTCACTGGGTCAAGTTGGAAAATCAGGGGTGAAAATGTGGCACAACGACCTACCTTGCAGTCTGTATCTTGCGCAGTAAGGTAATTTCAATGAGATCGTCAACATTAAAGTCCCAGCAATGAAGCTTTCACAGATTCACTTTATTTACTGACTATTTTACTATTTTGTGTCTTGTAAGTATATTGTTAGCACATACAATGCATACATGTTTATACAGTAATTAGAGAGATGTAATGGAGAAGATGGCAAACTGGTTGCAAAAGTCAAAGTCCCTGGCTTTTATACGGCAAAGATACAGTATAGCTTTATATACTAGCTGTCTGCAGCATTTGGTTCTGGTGGGCAATCTTTTCTGTCAGCTTTTATTATTCTCGGGGCACAAATCCTGGATCAGACCCAATAAAAAGAATCACTAGAGTGGTTTTACAAGATACCATAAGAAGCTGTTGATGTTTTGTGTTCACCTATAAACTGATTGGGTTGTGTAAATTTATTGCAGCTAAATAAAATGCGAAGGATCAGTCTGGGGTCTTTTTTTTACTCACTGCAGCGTGTGCAGTACTGAATATGGCTGCTGGAGTGCGCTGCAGAGCTGCTCCACACCTCTGTCTTCCAGGTAGTTCCTTTGCAGAAAGAGCTTTGTGAGGGACCGGTTGGAGTGCAGATTGGCAGCCAGTTCCTCACAGCACTTGGCTGTAATTCCACAAATCTGCAGGCTGCACCCAGAACACAAGCTCAGGAACAGTCAGTTGGCAGTGTTTCTCTTATATCTTCCTTATGTTATGAAAAATATAATTCTCTCACACCTCCTTCATTTTGTACATGACTAAAAGCTATTATTTTCATATTGTGTTCCTGCAGTGAACAGTAAGAGTAATAAGATATTTAGGATATAATATTGGTGTATAATATTACCAGAACAATGCTTTGCATTGTGCCACTTAAATCATCTCTCCATCTCTTATTTAAAGAATAAACACTATGAGAATCACCCAAAACCTTCCCTGCAAAATTGATTTACCGTGCCATTCTCTGCATCATAGAACCAGCATTGTATATTTTACAAAAGCAAAGGGTTGTCCCTGTTTGCGTCTTAACTTCATTAACTTAACTTTGTTTCATATAGATTCATGCAGTCCGACACTCATGAGAAAGCTACAGTTTATGGCACATCTGACTTACTGAACTACAGAACACAGGCTATATGAAAATAAGATCAACTATAACATATGAACAGCTCTGTTTACACATTTCATCAACAGCTAATTCAATATTCCTACTGCCATAAGGACAAGGGCTGAATCTTCTAATCAATAAGAAATAATAATTACAATAGTGCATAATATGCTACTTCTCTTGCGCCTTCTTCTAATTAGGTATTAAAAAGTTCAGGTACAAGGATTTCAATGTCGTGGGGGCACTCTCCTTTAGTCTGTATTCTTGAAGTAAAAGTTAAGTAGCAGTTACAGTGATCTACAAGAAATAACTTTCTATCAGCATTGTAGAAGAATAAGAGTTTCTGACCGAGAAGTACTTGTTAAAGATAAGACACTCACTGCAGCTCTTTCAACTGGCAGTTAGGATGGCTTAATCCAGAGAACAGGAAGGGCAGTCCTGTGGCTATGTTTCTATTGTCATTCAGACAAAGATGCACTCTGGATTGCTTAGAGGTGAGAAAAGTGAGGAGGTCCTTGCAGCATTCATCTGACAGATCATTACCAGCGATCCTGAGGAGAAAGAAACAAACCCATACACCCCACCTTCATATCTCTGGATGAACCAAAAAATTGACCAGCTCAAGGCCTACAGAAATTGTATAATCTCCACCTCCATCTAGAATTGCACTGAAAATTAATATAAAATTGGACAAAACTATCTTCTGCAAACACCTCAGAGAATGGTTGGCTGTTCTATTGTTCATTCATTTTCTGAAGAAGATATTTCAGGTGAAAAAGAAGCAATTATATTTTCTATATTATCATCTGAAAATATGAGATTTGCATGGCTTGACTGTTTTGGACTTGACACACATTTTTGCAACAAACGACAGTGATAGTTGTAACCATAATGTATATACTACCTGAGCTTACTGACACTGCATGTTGCACTGTTGAGTCCTTCCATCAGTTGTTTCACTCCCAGATCTCCCCCGTAATTGAAGTTCAGATCCAGCTCATTTATGGGGGAGTTTGTGAGAAGTTTCCCAATTTCTTTAAAATGACGAGGCTGAAGTTTGCAGTTTTTCAGGCTAATATAACAAGATCATGATTATTAAAACTTGACGCTACTAATTTAGAGACAATGTAGCACAAACCTTTATCTTTAAAGCACCACAGACATAGAATGGAGGTTTTTTAATGTCATAATACAGCAAGCACCAGCATATTTTCTGATAAAGGGGAGCCATGACATGTATTGTGCAGACTGCAACAGAAGGCTTTCACAGAAATGTAAAAGACAGTAAAAACACCCCATAAAAAGAGATATTTCAAAATATACAAAGCAGAACTGCACTAGAAAATGTATTGCATATTAAATTCACTGTTGTCCATTTCTTTTCTGAAAACCAGAGGATATTATTATTCTAATTGTTTGTGCTGTTTTAGGGGTGCCAACTTCACAGAGCTCTTTTCTTTACCCTGTGGTCCCCCAGGGTTGTGTGCTTAGTCCAATGCTCTACTCGCTCTACACCCACAACTGCAAGACCAATAATAACACCAACTCCATCATCAAGTTTGCCAATGACACCACAATTGTAGGTCTGATCACAGACAATGATGAGAGGGCCTACAGGGAGGAGGTCAATCTCCTTACAACATGGTGTGAGGACAACAACCTCACCCTCAACGTCAGCAAAACCAAGGGGCTGATCGTTAATTTCAGAAAACTGCAAAACGGTCATGCCCCTATCCACATCAACAGGACTGAAGTGGAAAGAGTCAGTAACTTCTAATTCCTTGGCATCCATATCACTGAGGACCTCACATGGTCTCTCAACGCTGCTTATCTGATTAAGAAAGCACAACAGCGCCTGTACTTCCTAAGACTGTTGAAGAAGGCTAAGATATCTCCCCAGATCCTCACTAACTTTTACACATGCACTACAGAAAGCATACTGACAGGTTGCATCACAGTGTGGTATGGCAACTGCAGTATTGCTAACCCTACAGCCCTAGAGTGAGTGGTGAAAACTGCCCAGTCCATCACTGGGGTTGCTCTCCCATCCATCCAGGACATTTATTACAGACAGTGCTTGAGGAAAGCTTTAAGCATCATCAAAGACCCCACACACCCCAGATACAGACTGTTTGACCCTCTACCATCTGGAAAACGGTAATGAAGCATTCTGGTTTTTTACTGCACTATCAAACTATGACAATATAATGACAATAAACTTGAACTTGAACTTAATTATTCAGTGTTCAACATTGACCCACAGTCACTTTCATATTACACAATCATTAAGGAATTAAAAGTAATGGATATGTTGTACGTTAACTTCAAAGCAAGCTTTTCAAGATTCATTTCTTGCATTTATAAAACACTTCATCATGAAAGATCTAACAGTAAAACATTAAATACATATCTAAACTTTCTAAAGAGAATACTTTTTTACAAAGAACCACTTTGCTTTGAATAAAATGCTTTAGTTGCATATTCATTTGAGATGTTGACAAAAATGATAAGAAAACTTAAAAATGAGAGTGGGTCATTTGATCCTTCTATGTCATTTGGTTTTTAGCTACTAATTGATCAGAGAATTTCATCCTGGCATTATTTCAATGAAGCCCCCACAACTTTTGGCGTAAAAAGATCTCCTATTCTGAGATTGTAAGACAAAATGAAATTTAATCACATTTCAAATAAGATCTAAAAGTTTCTTTGTCAGTCATTTGAGAGGATTTTAAACACTTGGAATCAAGTCCTCTCATCAGCTGCTCTTTTCATGACTAAAATGATTCAACTCTTTTGGAAAAAAAAACATTGTACAGACAGGTTGAAAATACAATTCTACCTGAGGGTTTTCACCTTACAGTTGGGACTTTTCAAAGCAGTCCACAGCTTCTCCCACACAGAATCATCGAGATGTATGTATCTGAAGCTAGAAAAGAGCAGTTCAATTCAAGCAGTTTAATTTTTGTGTAGATGTTATTAAGAAATCACTTAGATAAACTCCCACTAAAGAAATCACACTTTAATTTAGATTTCTGTTATGACTGTCTATAAACAATCTATTAACATGTTAGAAAAAAACTTAGGGTTAGTGTTTGGGATATGGTTTTGGCTGCAGTCAGAATTAAGGTTTTGTTCCTATCAGTGCAATTAATTGAAAATAGAAGTCAGATATTACCTAATGTGCTGTAAGGGTTAATTCACATTTGTTAATAATTAACACTTTATTTATCTGTAATGTATAAATTGCATTTGCAAATCCTGATCCAAAGTGTTAGCACTGTATTCATATCAAAATTGAATGTACATACCCAATCATTAGAATAGAATTTTGAATTTGTAAAATTATAAACAATCAAGTTGTTCCTCATTTAATTCTAATCAAGCAATCTTCCCAGCAGCCATATCACCCTGCAACTCACAGCTGGTAGCCCACTGAAGCTAGGCAGGTGAGAGTCTGGTCAGTACCTGGGAGACCAACAGTATTGGGAAAAAGTAAGGTTGCTGCTGGAAGAGGTGTTAGTGGAACCAGTAGGGGGCGCTCACCCTGCGGTCTGTGGGAGTTCCTAATTCCCAACTATAGTGACGGGGACACTATACTGTAAAAAGGCGATGTCCTTTGGATGAGATGTAAAACCAAGGTCCTGACTCTCTGTGGTCATTAAAAATCCCATGGTGTTTCTTGAAAAGTGTAGGGGTGTAACCCTGGTGTCCTGGCTAAATTTCCCCATGGCCTTTACCAACAGCCTCCTAATAATCCCCATTTATGAAATGGCTTCATCACTCTGCTCTCCTCCCCACTGATAGGTGATGTGCGGTGAGCATTCTGGTGCACTATGGCTGCCATCCCATCATCCAGGTGGGGGCTGCAAATTGGTGGTGGTGGAGGGGAGTCCCCATTATCTGTTAAGTGCTTTGAGTGGAGTGTCCAGAAAAGCAGTATATAAGTGTGAGGAATTATTATTATTAATCAAATTTAAATGTAGTTTTAACTGGACGTGAGAATTGTATTCATGGGTGAATGTGACTGCCTTGGTTCTGGATGTGGCTAATGTAACCATGATGCTCAGCACCTGACAATTATTCTTGATTTTCAGACTCAATGACATGATTTTTTGCTGTTATTCCTTGCTCCACAAATTGCCTTATAAGGTTGGATGGAAGTTGAAATACCCTCAGATTGTTACTGTTTGCATTAAATTACACAAAGAAATATTGTTCACTGAAAGAAGTCATTAAAACTCCTTAATTAGCCTTTATTATTCGCTTTTTGCTTTCATGAACTACCTTTTTTTGAATTTGTGGGTGTTTTTGTCCAAGATTGTGCAAATAAAAAAATACCTTAATTCGGTTACTTGTGTCTTGAATGAGCTCAGGATGTTGTAAATGCATTCAGCTGCTTCTTGATTTATGGTGCCTCTTAAAAGCCTGCAGACAAATTATTAATTGAATTAAAATACTGTGTATTACTTTTATTTCTAAACAAAACTTTGACAAAGGCCTCAGGATTTCTGTAGATAACACACCTGTGGAGTCTGCCTTTCTGCTCCTCCACGTTATTGAGAAATTTTCCAATTTGTAATATTTTCTCAACCCAACCTGAATCCATCTCTTCCAAACAGAAGTCCCTGCCACTTCTGTAATCAGCAGCTCATATTTGATTCAGTACCACTGGACACAGATTTGATATTAGTGGGGCTGTGCTATCATGGTTCCCAGTGAAGCAGAGACTTCCTGAGTACCTGCCAGCTTATGGTGGCATCAATGATGGATGCAGCTCTCCACACTCAGCACTGACCCTATGTTGTTACAGGGCAAGTAGCATGTCAAAATATAGACTCGTCGGAGGAGTCTCCATTTCTTCACCCCTCCTGGCCCTGGACTTTTTTTTGCAAATTCGACAACTGCCAAGGCCCAGTGGCCTCAATGTGCAAGAACATTTTTTAACCAGCACATTCAAATGTGGGTCGAAACTTCTCTCCAGTGGATCTTCCCGTTGCTACTGTGGTAATCTAGGCTGTTAAAGTCTGTCTGTTATAAATTTTAATATTATTATTTGTAAATATAAGTGTGATGGTTTATTTCACAGTAAATGACTTTCAACTTCACCGTAAGATAACAATATCGCTGATGTACAGTAAATAAGCTTCTTGTTCTTGTTTGTTAGTTATTTATTTTGTGTTCTTCAAAGCGGGTTTAAAAGTGTTCTAGTTATATAATTCATTAATTTAATTGTTCTAAATAGTAAAATAAGGTTGGAGTGGGAACTGATAATAGTCGTATACAGTATGTGCAAATTGTGATCTGGAGGGGCCCCTTTCCAAGAACTTGCCTAGGGTCCCCACAAATCTAGGGCTGGGGTGCAGATTATAAGGGTACAGGGGTTGTCACAAAAGGGGTGGTCATAATAAAAACTAATAAAAATAAAAAAATTATAAAGAAAAAATCCCAGTGCCTGCTCAGTGCAATGTACTGCAATGCTCAGTGCTACAGTACTATGAAACTAATTATTAGGGCTTTCACTATAAAACAAATCACAACATTTCTTTTCTGGAAAACATCCCTACTACTTAAGCTGTGATGAAAGAATTAAAATTCAAATTAGATTCGATGTGTTAAATTTAACTTAAATTTAGTCCATGCATACATTGCAACAGATGCTGTCAAGTGAGGCTCAAAAGGATGTGATCAGATTTAACTTTACTTTATTTGGGTAATGTCAAGAGTTAGCTTTTCAGGACTTACTCAAGTCTTCTGTACAGCTTGGCAACAGGGGAGAGTCTTCTTAGCCCATCAGGAACAGATATATATGGATTCAGCTTGAACACATCCAAATTATCATCTGAAGTTTCCAATACAAAAGCCAAGGCTGAATACTCTGCTGAGGACAGAGAGCATGAGGATAAAGACCCAGTAGCCAAAAGATCTTTTATCTTCTGCACCAAAGAATTATCTCTCAACTCTTTGAGACAATACAGAAGATTCAGGCATCGATCTGGAGATAGGTCTGTTTCCAGGATCTTGTGAATGTACTTAACCATTTGTGGAGTAACATCATGTTTCTCCTTAACCTTTCCCAGTAATCCTTGAAGTAAACGCTGGTTACACTCCAACGCGAGCCCACAGAGAAAACGCAGAAATAGATCCAGGTGTCCCGAAGAGCTCTTGATGGCTTCCTGACAGGCCTTTTTGAAAGCAATGAAGAGCGCCTGCGGACAACCGCTTCCAAAACATTCTATCTGGAGAGAGAAGAGAGAGCTCTTGTTTGGGACAGAGCAAGAGATCAACACAAACAAAGCAGCAAAGTATTCCTGCACTGTCAAGTGCACAAAGCTATGGGCTTTTCGACAAAATGGTCCATTGTCCTCTGCAACAAACTCACTGATCAGTCCCTGATAGAGTTGTAACCTCTCCAAGTTATACTCCTTCAAGTCCTGCCGGGAAAAAACTAACTTTTGCACTATGAGGCCATCGTAAGCCAATCTGGATAAGTTTTGGATTGTGGCACTGTTGGACCTCAAGACTTCATTAGCATCCTCGACAGATCGCTGACTCCCATGGCCTCTGTGATGTTGATAAACCACAGCCAACATAAAGAATTTGGTGTAGACTTCTGTCAGATTTTGAGGCATGCATTTTTCTTCAATCATCACCGGAGAACGCTCCAAAATAATAGCCACCAGCCAGCAGAATGCTGGAATGTAGCACATGTTGTATAAGGTCCGTTGCTTCTTCAGCTGAGCAACAATGTCCATCCCACAGCTTCCTAGCCTTCTGCAGAAAAACTCTTTTTTCTGCCAGTCCAGAAAGCCTTGTATTTCTGTCATGCGGTCAATGCAATGGACAGGGAGGCAGGCTAAGGCTGCTGGTCTGCTGGTGATCCAGACTGAGGCACATGGCAAAAGATGTCCACGTATTAAATTGACAACCAGACAGACAGGTAGGGCGGGCTCTGAAAAAGAGCAGTGTTCTGGACAAGAAGTGAAATCCAGGGAGAACTGGCATTCGTCCAGTCCATCGAAAATAAATAGACACCTACTAGGAGAAGTGAGAATCTGCTCAAAACAGTCCAGGTAAGGGTAGTAACTGTGAAGCAGACTTGTGAGGTTATATAAATGCCCTGCTGGCAACAAGCTGAGCTCCCGGAAAGGCAGAGGGAAAATGAAGTCAAACTGAGTGAGGGAAGACCCACTGACCCAGCTGTGGATAAGCCAGTTGGTACAGGCAGTTTTACCTATTCCAGCGATCCCCCTGGTAACCACAACTCGTGGCCTGCAAGTCCCCAGTTGTTCTGTTGGAGTTGCATTGAAGATGTCAGCTAGTTGAATGGTCTTGCCTTCAGCTCTCTCATTAAAACCGTGAAAAGCTTCTAGAACTTCGTGGGTATGGCCAGCAGGGCCCAAAACTCCCTCCGTCAGCCAGGGATGTGTGAAGTTCTTATTGGTGGAGGCCCTCTGTCCACCCAGCCGGGAGGCATACTCAAACAGAGTGGAATACCTCCTTTGCAGCTCTTCCTGGTGAATGGACTTCAGGTGGGATATAGACATTTCTAAAGAAAATAAAACGGAAAAAGGAATTCAAAATTAGAGAAAAGCAAGCCATGGGCAGGAAGATTAGAGATTAGGATGAGACAGAATAAAATGGTACCAAAGACTTTATGAATGTAAAATACAGGTTTTCTTTGTACCTGGTGACTGATCAGAAGTAAAAATGTTCACTATATCAAAGTTATAAAGAGAATAGGAGTCAATATATCATGAGATTAATAATTAGATTATGGATTATGAACAACAGAGGAAGATGACGATGTAGTAAACATACTATTTAATATTTCACACAGGTTTAAGTGAAAGAGGATATCATTAATACACCCAAGAATAAGCTCCAGCATTATTGTTTAATTTTAGCGTACTGTAGCTAACACTGATGTTTTACAGGACCAGGGTGACTAATAATCAGTAAATCATTGGGCCCTAATAGTGTTTAAGTCACACTTTAAGTTATTGATAGACCTCTCTATGATATAGTTCAAGTAGGTAGCTGTGTCACATGCGTAGGCTGCAAAAGAACAAGTAAAGGTTTATTCCATGGTGAAAAGAGAATGAAACTTTTCGGCTGTGGAGCCTTCTTTGGGTGTAAGAAAGACAGGAAAGTCAGCAGGTATTAGGAGAATAAACCTTTACTTGTTCCTTTGCAGCCTACGCATGCTGACGCAGCTCCCTACTCGAACTACTTCGACCTACTTCTGCTGCGACCCACTATGCCTTCCACTAAATCTTTTCCTAGATCTCGTCGTCTTTCCTTCTCCTTTTAGCTGCTGACTTTCCTGTCTCTCACACCCAAAGAAGGCTCCACAGCCGAAACATTGCGCGTCTTTTCTTCTCTATTCAGCATGGAATAAACCTATTACTTGTTCCTCTATATGATATTTCAACATGCACTGAAAGTGGGATGTTAAAAACCTTTAAAAATTGCGAAACCACAAAGAACATGAGATCATACGGTGAAGTCAAGATAATTTAAAAAACATTTAAAGAAAATAATTTTTAAATTTTTAAAAGAACTGTGCAATGACTAGCAGAGATGGGGGAAGACACTTAACTAGAATATAAACTGGGTTCCAGCCTAAACTAGCAGAAACAAAATAGAACCCATTTCAAACATGCTGTGCAAAGAGGGGAGAATTGTAAATGTAACACCTACAGTATGTGTGAAAATGGAGACAATATGGAATCACAAAGTTTTGGAAATGTAAATGAGAGCTGAACTACAAGAAGAATTAGAACATGATGGCAACCTACAGTAAGAGTCCCCAACCATTGATTTCTAACAGGAAGGTTTTAACTTGCTACAATTTTTCCAAAAAGCAGTTAACACTAACACACCAAAACATGCTATATTTGGAACTCATCAAAACGTTTGACAAGGTTCCTTCTAGGAGGTAGATTCTCAAACTAATAGTCATAAGTTAATGAACGCACATGGATCAGGAACAGGAATGAGCAAGAAACAGCAAATCATCCAAAACAGTATAATTTCTAATAGGGGCAGATACAAACAGAGGTGTGTTACAGGCTTCCATTTTTGTCATGTCTATTTATATAAAGGATTTAGGTCTGAGTATAACTGGCAAAGTTCTACCAGGTTTTGGGGTTAGCAGCAAACTAACTCTGCAACAAAGGAATTATAAAAAGGCTTCAACAATCTTACGGAATGTCCAAACACATGCAGGAAGCTACATACTGTAGGTAAAGGATCTGAGCATTCATGTAGATTATCTTTATGCTCATTATGACAATATAGGCAAGCAAGGAATATAAACGCAGGGAAGTAATTCTTAAGTTTTACAAGACACCAGTAAGACTTCATTTACTGAGCATTGTGTTAAGTATTGCTCACCATCCCACAAAAAGGTTATATAGTATTCAAAGAAGAGCAACGAGAATGATTCCTGGTCATATTGGATTTTCATATACATAAAGGTGAAAGCAGTGAAATATCTTCTGTCTAGAACAAAAGTGAGTGGGTGGAGACTTGATTCAAGTATAGAAGATCTCAAGCACTATGGAGGTTAACCCAGAGACTACTTTACACTAAATAGCAAAACAGGATCACAGCAGGGAAATAAAAGGGAGTTAATTTAGGATTACGGATAGAAAAAGCTTCTTTGCACAAAGTGCTGTAGGTACAGTAGCTAGAATATGATACTCAGCCAGGTGGTTGAGTGAGACTAAAACTTTGGAAAGCCTACAAAATGGAGGAACGACCTTCCCTCAGTAGCAGCATTTCTTATTATTTTCGTATGTTCCTAATATCCCTTACTTCAATACCTTTCTGCAGTGCAGGTCCACTCTGAGCTGTGTTGAAGGTGACTGGGAGCTGGATGGTATTGTTGGAGCCCACAATCACTGGCACAACCTGGGTGGAACCTCCATCAGCCCTGGCCATGTTCCTCAAGGCTGGCTCACACCACGGCTTCTCCTCTCCTGCGTTTTCATGGGATTAAAAGGAACAACATGGTTAAATATTTAAAAACTGTTTATGAAGAAAAAATATTTCGTGTCATTGGCTCTGCCACATTTGCATAAGGATACCCATCCTTCTTAAATCCACTTTATTGATTGATTAATGCACATCCACTGAATGTGACTTGATACATTAAGATGTCCATAAATTGGGTATTAATGCAACAAGATTAATGGATTTAGGACACTAACACCCTGTACACTGCTTAATGCTTATCATAATCCTTTAAATGCTGATAGTTTTTATCAATTGCCAATAAGAAATATTTTGGCATACAGTTGCACACTATATGCTAAACTGTTATTTAAAGTGAAAGAAATTAATAAGACAAATACCTAAAATGGTTTAACCCCCCCCCTGCTGAGGCTTGCTTTATGTACTTTCATTACTTGGTTATAGTCTATAGACGTTTTATATAGAACATGCACGGTGTGGGAAGGTCTTTCAAAATAGAAAAAAGACGTGAAACTGGATTAAATTTCCACATCACAGGTACAGATTGTCAGGCTAATTTATTAATTTAAGTTTTTCAGCCTTACCGTTCTCCATTCTGGGTGTACTTTGACTTCTGTTTGTTACCAGGTTTCCAATGCAAAGCCACACTGCAAATCCTAACACATTAACAAAACATTTTTCAAGCCAGCGAGTTACAACAAGTTGATTTGGGAAAATTTCCTGCAGGTAGAAATCCAGCTCATTTTCACCAAAGAACATTGAAAGCCATCTTCTTAATTACTGAATGCAATGCATTAATGTCATGAGAGATAAATCACAGAAAATCACAGAAAATGATTACAGAACAGTGAGCTGTCATATATCCTATTCAGTGTTCACATACTGTATGTCATGTGGTGCACAACATTTGCTGCAGTGTATTGCTAAATCAAATCCTTAATTACATAAAAAAATCCATTTTTTTTTTAAAGGAAACAAGGCTTGACTTTTGAGGTTCAGATACATTCTTCTATTTGAATGCAAACAATGTTCGTTCTTTATCTATTCCTCTGCGGAGGCGATTGTTTCAAAATACCAGTCCTCAAACAGGAAATGTATAACGTATTTCAGACTTCTAAATTGTTGAACATGTTAGAGATTTTCATCCTGCAATGGACAAAAAAGGTTTGATAAATTTCCATCCAAAAGGCAGATTAAAATGCATTACCTTAATTTCTTTCACCGTCTTGAGAGGCACAAGCCATCCTTAAATCTGTGTTGATTCATGAGCGAAAAACTCAGGTTGTTCCTCACACACCATTTCTTCACTTAACAGTTTCAGGAACTGGGCAATGCTGCTTCCTATCCATGTAGCGGCTGTTTTAAAGTACGTTTGCATTGTACGATATCCTTCGTTTTGCGGTACAGACCCAAGCCTGGCATGAGAGTCAGTCTCAAACCCCAAGAACCTTTTCAGAGGGCCAAAAGCCTTAATAAATGTACATATACTTATTGTGTGTTCATTTCTTTTTAGAATGGATAACTATTTATGTCATGTTATTTTGTTATTTGGCATAATTATGTTGACTGGCATAGTGTATTAGGTGTATCCACAGTATATGTATGGTTTAAGAGAGCTTTTCCCAGTATAATAATTTTTCGTTGTGTGTGGACAATTCAGGAATGTATCTCAAATGAAGAAGGAGTACTGTATATGGCTGAAATTTCAGGGTAGAAATTCTGGTTTCTACCCTGCACTTGACCTGAATCCTCTTTTGATTGCTCTTTATTACCAGCGTTCGCAGGTCTGTACTCAATGAATCCACAAAACCTGGCCTTACACACTTAGAATTAGACTACGTTATTGCTGTTCTGCCTGCGATATCTTCAAGGTAATACATAGGATTAAGTCTGAAATTCTGTGGCTTATATGCTAACTAAATCATGTAAAGGCGTTTTAATACAGACAAATTTAATATCTGTACATTTTTTCCGGCAGAATAGTAAACACAATGGATTAAACCGAGCAGTGCAGGCAAGGGATTTCCCATGTTCCACGAGGGCAGGGTTGGCTGTTCGTAACTGTGAATGTAAGTAACAGACTTGTTCCATTGTACAACTGCATGTCCCTCAAAAAGCCTCGGAATCACATCATTGTTATAAAAGGGAAAATATAACGGCGCTTGTCCTTGCCCCTCTGTCGTTACAGGAAATTAGTTCTTAGGAATGTCCCATATTCCTTCTGCCAATGCTAAGTTAAATCGCTGCAAATCTGTCTCAACTCTGGATGCATTCCTTTATTTCAATAGGATTAGACCACTGTATTGCTCGACTTTCTGGGTATCATCAAAGGTAATACATAAGATTTGGTATGTCTGGAATGCTGCAGTTCATATGCTAATGTGCACTCTGCATCAGAACATGACTCCCATCCTAGTTAGCAGTCTGGCTGCAGGTTAAATTGAGGATTTATTGCATGAAGTACGGTTTTTAATTTGTGATCTGCTCATTCAAAGTCTCCTTGCCCTGCTTGTGTAGCTCGAGGTATGTGGTGTCCTAATCCATTGGAGACAAAATTTGCTTTGAGACCTTTTCACTAAAGCTTTTAATGCATTCTTGTCTTGTCTCAATGTGTTGTACATTTTCACTTGGTAAGGAGCAATAGGTTTATTCCATGCTGGAAAAAAAGAAGAAAGAAAACTTCTTCTTCACACCTAATGAAGGCCCCACGGCCAAAACGTTGTGTTTTTTCTTCTTTTTTTCAGCATGGAATAAATCTATTACTTGTTCCTTTGCAGCCTACTCATGCTGACGCAGCTACCCACCTGAATTTTCACTTGGTAGGTGCATAGATGTTCAATAGCAACTTCAGGGTCTTAAAAAAGCACTCTCAAATACAACTGCTGTATTACATATTACTATTTGAGGATGAACAAATAATATCTTCTTCATTTGTGTTCCCCTTACAAATACATATTATTTTCATTTTAAATAAGTTTGTGGATTACTCAAGTAGATCTTTGGGATAATGAAACACTGAGCCAATGCCATGCGATTTCATTAAAAAAAATTCTTAGTGTTTCATTTTTGTATTTGAATGAAAATTTCCCAAATGAACTGAATCTGTATAAACCGCTAGTTAAAAGACTCTTTCAATTAATGCAGGAATATCAGGAGACACTACCATGCCCTGCATGGCTAAAGACCGCCTAGCTGCTGTCGACATAATTGAAGGCAGCCTGTCCGAGAGAAACTGCCTGGAGAACGACGTGTTCAGAGAAATGTCAATTTCAAATATCTGTCTCAAAACAAGGAAAACAACAAAAACACTTCAATCTCCCTCCTTCTACAACCATCAATTACGTATCTCGAAAGCACCAGCGTACTTAATCCTCCTGAAGGCGGAAAAACCAGAAACCCTGCTTTTGCGACTCTGCTTCTGATTGGCTGACCTTTTTAATTTAGTCACGAGTCAGGGCTGTCGTGATTGGGCAGTAATTTTGCACTTTCCGCTGCTGATTGGTTGACCTTTATTTTCTTCGGCGCTCGGGCTTCACTGATTGGCTAGTGGAAAGATAGTACTTCAGTTCGTGGCGGGTCCGGGTTCACTTCGCGCTTAATTCTTTGGATTTGTAGAGGTACAGCTGGCAGCGGAAGGTAGACACAAAGCATTAATTTTATAAGTTTTCATTAAATTCATTTGATTTGTGTAATTTCATTTTTGCTACATTTTCTAAATAGAATCCAAGACAGCCATGCACGTAATCAAGCGAGGTAAGTTCTTTAGTATCCTCATTGATGTTCCACATTGTTATTGTCATCGAGTGCTACTTATAAAAATGTTTTAATAAAACAATGTATTTACATTAATTTTGTTAGGACTAATGTGGATTTATTTTCGCGTCATCTGATAGCATCTCGATTTATCCTGGCTTTGTGTGTAGCACTATAATTGTACCGAGGAGAAACAAAGTTTGTATAAGCTAAAGAAATTGGTAAAAGTGTCTTAATTTACTGATAGCCAAATTAAAAAGAAAACACAAATCAGGTGTCTTGTTTCAAAAATAGAAGAGACACCTGTCAGACCTAAATAGACTGACAGTACGTTCTCTGGTCTATATTTTTTTCATGTGGTTTCGTTCATTTGATGAGAATATGGATATATGTTGTTGAGATTTTAGAAATTTAGAAAGAAGATGAGGGGTGAATTATGCAGAATTTAGTAAATTAGAGGTTTAAAATTATTTACAAGTGCACAACTGGAAGCTCCTATTGTTTGAAATGTTGGCGCCAAATACACCACTGGCAATTCAAGGGCGAGGCGGGGAATGAGTTCCATTTTTGTTTTTAATTTTTTTGAATGACTTAGACTTCATGAAGTATGAATTCTATTTGTAGTTTTGTTTTCTGTATGATGTATTTTTCAACTGTAGGTCAGTTAATATATAACCGTTACTTGGCCGCTGAGGTTCTGAGTTAACCTATCTGTGTTAGTTATCGAATGAATGTTTTTTTTTTTAATATGGTCTTGGTATAGCTCCAAATATGAAAAAATAAGCAGTCGCCACTCACTCTTTGATTTATGTTTTAGGCACTGATAGTAGATGTCGTATTTATGAGTGCGTCGTTAAAAGAGATCGTTTTGTGTTGTGTGAATACGGTTATGCATTATGTAAAATAAGGGGTCCCCTTTGGTACTGAATTTATAGTGAAAGACTAAAGTTCTTCTGTCACTGTAGTTTTTCTTCAAGAAAATGTTGAAGATAAATGCTAACTGCGTCTAAACTCTTGTTGTGTGTTTTAGATGGGCGTCAAGAACGCGTCATGTTTGACAAAATTACCTCCCGCATTCAGAAGCTGTGCTATGGGCTCAATGCTGACTTTGTGGATCCAGTGAGTGACTACTACATTTGTTATGACTCTTTTATCCCGAGCAGCTTGTGTTTCTACCTATTTATACAGCAGGGAATTTTACTGAAGAAGTCCAAGAGTCGTGTGTCACCTAATAATCAATTAACCTAATAATTGAACCCCCAGCCTTCCAGTTACAAGTCCTTAGTCCCTAGTGTTGTCTAAGTAGCACCTTAATTCTTTTGAACGATTTAGTCCCAAAAATAGTCCACATTAATATTGTTGCCAAAAATCTTGATTGATCGTTATCTCTTGTGGTAGACGGCAAACAGTTTGGCAGAGAAAGGCTAAGCCCTGGTGTTGAACGCTTGCATGGCTGTCCTCTTCTCCCCAGACCCAGATCACGATGAAGGTGATCCAGGGGCTGTATAGCGGGGTGACCACGGTGGAGCTGGACACACTGGCCGCGGAGACGGCTGCCACCCTCACCACCAAGCACCCCGACTACGCCATCCTGGCCGCCCGGATTGCGGTGTCCAACCTGCACAAGGAGACCAAGAAGGTCTTCAGCGGTGAGTGCCGGGACGCAGGCCTTTTCTTTGAAGGAGAGGGTGCCATGTTGAAAGACTGAACGTCCAGTTGGGGAAAATAAAGTGAATGCTGGTTTTACACAAAAGGACGCCGGCCAAAAGTGTCCGTTACTATAGTAACTGCCGGGTGCCAGTGGTTACCCTTGGTTGTTACTTCAAGCTGAGGTGTTCCCACAACCCATGTGACGGAGGTCGGGCGGCCGTGTCTGCAAAAGGGGTATCTGTAAGAGCCGCACTGAGTTAATGATGGGTTTCTCGGGTTGTGGGAGGCATGGTCCATCCATCCAGATTGATAATACTTTATTAATCCCGTAGGGAAATTGATGTGTTACAGCAGTCCAGCCCAAGACAAGCAACACAGACATCAGAATAGTTAGAAAACAAAAGACAACAAAATAAATAAATACATAGGTGTGTGCAAAATGTGCTGATCATAGTCACTGTAAAAACAATAAAATATGTGCATAGGTTTATACAGACTGATTGTCCAATAAGTGCAATGGAGTAAACATGCTGTCCATAGAGGAGCAAATGAAGGGCTAACAGTCCTGGCCTAGGGCAGCGTTATACACCCTGACAGCCGCCGGGAGGAAAGACCTGCGGAAACGTTCCATTGAACACCGTAGCTGGAGCAGTCTGTTGCTAAATGTGCTCCGCTGCCCAGTAACAGTCCCATGAAGCGGATGAGAGGTGTTGTTCATGATGGCTGTGATAACCTGTAGTGTTGTCATTTAACGTGTCCCAATATTGTTTTGTATGCATTTGGCTGTGGTTCTGACTGAATTTTTTGTCACTGTCACAGATGTGATGGAGGATCTGTACAACTATGTGAATCCCCTGAATGAACGCCACTCACCCATGATCTGTAAAGAAACCCTCGACATAGTCCTGGCTAACAAGGATGTATGTATCTGCGAAGGATTTTATTTAAGTGGTACTTCCATTTCACTGTAAATTATTCTACATACTTATGTATTGTTAAATTTTTTTTCTTACAGCGTTTGAATTCTGCTATTATTTATGATCGAGATTTTTCCTACAACTTCTTTGGATTCAAGGTAAGTTAATACTGAATGTAGACTGGAATGTTTGACTCTTAATACTTTTGGAGAATAGACTCTTCTAAACCCTTTGTGAAGGACAGGATAGCGTAAAAGTAAATCGTTGAGTTCTAGCTCTTAATTTTGACTAAAAAGTGACAGACAACATCGACTGACAAGCATCTTAAACACTAGAATCTCAAAAGAGCACCCTTTTAAATATTGAAATTTAAATGTGTGAATCTTTTCACCTTTCAGACACTGGAACGTTCCTATCTCTTAAAAATTGATGGAAAAGGTAAGTGTCATTCCTAGTTGCATTTTACTTTTGTAGGAAATAAAAAAAACTAACAAGTGAAAGTAAAGTGGCTTGTACATTTGTTCCTTTTCTGACTGATCTTAACATTTGTGCCGGGCAGTTTCTGTTTAACGGTAGACTCCCTCGAGCAGAATCTGGCTGCTTAATGTGCATGCCTGTTGCTTTAAGCGAACGCATCAAAATGCCCAGTTTAAGCAGCATACCTGTCTGTGCGCAGTGGCCGAGCGTCCTCAGCACATGCTGATGAGAGTGTCTGTCGGGATTCACAAGCTGGACATTGACGCTGCTATTGAAACGTACAACCTGCTGTCGGAGAAGTGGTTCACGCACGCTTCGCCCACACTCTTCAATGCTGGGACCAACCGGCCACAACTCTCCAGGTGTGTGAACTCACCGCCCATTCTGCCCGGGAAAACCTTAAGGAAGTAGAGCTGTATGGCAGTGTTGTTCATTCAACCCTTATTATGGCACAGACGTTTTGTGACGTGTTGTTTTGTTTTTTTTTTCGCTTGACCCCTTTTAATAAATTGTGGTGGAACCAACCCAGCTATATGTACGCAGTGCTGTGTATTGTAGGTCAAAATGTCTAAAGTGGTTGCTGCACTTACTGTATGTAATTGTTTCACAGCGCACTGGACTGAAATTGACTGAATTAATCTCCAGGTGCTTGTGGTTCAGAACAGCAAAAGGAGAGGAACCTATAAAAACGAAAGTGATAGAAATTCAATTTGTTAAGTCGTATGGGAACTTCAGAGCTATATAAATGTGACCATGTATCAGTCTGTTGTGAATTTTAACGTACATTTTTAACTAAACTCTTTTTTTTAATTCCAGTTGTTTCCTGCTTGCCATGAAGGACGACAGCATTGAGGGGATTTATGACACCCTGAAGCAGTGTGCGCTGATCTCTAAATCAGCAGGAGGGATCGGCGTTGCTGTCAGTTGCATCCGAGCTACTGGCAGCTACATTGCTGGGGTGAGTACTGTTCTCCGTGCACCCAGTTGTTGCCTTTTCCCTGTCTGAGCTGGAAAATGTGGCTATCCCACTGATTTTTAAAATGTCTGATCTCCAAAGCCCCTTTTTTTTGGTCATGGAAAATTTTATGTAGCTTTCTAGATTGGCTGTGTAACCTTTGCATAATTAATTTAAGCTTTTGCCTTTGGAACTTCTTGTCCCAATCTTGATACAATCTGCTTATCCCAACATCCCGATCTTCAAAACTAACAAATACACAAGTATTGAAGAAATTGGCATTTTCAGCATAGCTGGTTTCTGAGGAGTCTGATTTAATAAAATAATAATAATCATTTCCATTACAGACAAATGGCAACTCCAATGGACTGGTCCCTATGCTGAGGGTGTATAACAACACTGCTCGTTACGTAGATCAGGGAGGAAACAAGGTGAGACTCTGGCTTTTTCTAAAAACTCATTCCAGTATACAAGGTCTTCACTGTGATGGCATGGAATAAAATCTGTGTTGATGATGGGGGTTACTGGGATTACCGGAAATGATGGCGGTTACTGGTAATGTAGTGTAAAGCATGTTGATATGTTTCACTGATAAGGAGAGTGAGGTGTACTCTTCTTTGTCAACTTGTCTCTCTTGTTTTGTTGCAGAGACCTGGTGCATTTGCCATGTATCTAGAGCCCTGGCACTTTGACGTTTTTGAGTTTCTAGAGCTGAAGAAGAACACTGGGAAAGAGGAGCAGAGAGCCAGAGACCTCTTCTATGCCCTCTGGATCCCCGATCTCTTCATGAAGCGTGTTGAAAACAATGAGGTGACTTAAAACTTTATTCTTCTTCAGAAACCTCTTGCTGAACAATGGTTCAAGTGAAGGGGTGATTTCGGGCATCTCGAATCATGCTGTAGTGTACTTAAGAATGTCCTTCTTTCTCTTCCATCCTCAGGATTGGTCACTCATGTGTCCCAGCGACTGTCCTGGACTTGATGAGTGCTGGGGGGAAGAGTTTGAGGAACTTTACACAAGGTAAAACATAACAACGCTGCAAATGCAACAGAAAGCATAATTTATTATGAATCCAAGTAGGAAGTCTTGTCTTATAGAATCTTGCCTCAGAAAGAATGTATTGAGACCTATGCAAGCAACATTATAGTGTTTGATTCAGGCACATTTGTCCAGCAGTGAGCATTTAGCTACATAGATACAGCCAGCAGTTATATCACCCCGAGACAACAGACAGCACACTGAAGCTAAGCAGGTGTGAGCGAAGGTCAGTATCTGGATGGGTGACCTTCAGGAAAGCTAAGGTTGCTGCTTGAAGAGGTGTTAATGGGACCAGTAGGGAGCCCCCACTCTGCGGTTTGACATAGAGCCAAGGACCTGACAATTTTTTGGGAAAAATCCCAGGGTATTTCTCAAAAAGAGTAGGGATATTTCCCTGCTGTCCTGATCTTTACCAATCATGGCCTCCTAATAATCCCCATCTATGAACTGGCTTCATCACTCTGTTCTCCCCCCCACTGATAGCTGATGTGTGGTGAGCGTACTGGCGCACTATGGCTGCCGTCACATCATCCAGGAGGGGCTACACATTGGTGGTGGTGGTGGTGGAGGGGAGTCCCCATTACTTGTAAAGCACTTTGAGTGGAGTGTGTAGAAAAGTGCCATGTAAGTGTTAAGGAATATTATTCAAGGAAACCTGTCCTGTGGCAGTTAGTGTCCCTGACCGCTGTCACCGCTGTTTCACAGGTATGAGAAGGAGGGACGGGCGCGCAAGGTGGTGAAGGCACAGCAACTGTGGTACGCGATCATCGAGTCTCAGACGGAGACCGGAACCCCCTACATGGTTTACAAAGATGCGTGCAACAGGAAGAGCAACCAGCAGAACCTGGGTACCATCAAGTGCAGCAATCTGTGCACAGAGGTGGTGGAGTACACCAGCAAAGACGAGGTGAGCTAGGAACTGGGCCCGTCTTCGGTGCTGTGGGGCGCCTGATCACTTATTCTGTGGGATCGGTGAAATACCTGGGCATAAGTTCAAGACTCAAAGTTTGTTTGTCCTCCTCCTTCCAGGTGGCCGTGTGTAACCTGGCCTCCATTGCTGTCAACATGTACGTGACACCTGAGCGTACCTACAACTTCCAGAAGCTGGCCTATGTCACCAAGGTCATTGTGCGGAACCTGAACAAGATCATCGATATCAACTACTACCCTGTGCCAGAGGTGAGAGATACCATCTGTGTTTTACGTGTTGTGCTTCTTTAGCTCCTCGGCCATGTCACAATGGTTTCTGGTATTGGTATGATCAGACGTGGCTGTGTCCTTCGTCCACCAGGCTGAGTACTCCAACAGGCGTCACCGGCCCATTGGAATTGGCGTCCAAGGCCTGGCCGATGCCTTCATCCTGATGCGCTACCCGTTTGAGAGCCCCGAGGCCCAGCTGCTGAACATCCAGATCTTTGAGACCATTTACTACGCAGCTCTGGAGGCCAGCTGTGAACTGGCTGCAGCACAGGAGCCCTACAGCACTTACGAAGGCTCACCAGTTAGCAAAGGGGTAAGTCCGACTCCTTACATTGTGTTTATTTTTCTTGCATGTCAGTCATTTTGAGGGAGGATTGTGTTTTCTGTCAAGTGTATCACTTGATTTCTAATGCCACATATAAGAAATAAGCCCTGCCTGGGTTCCCTGAAGTTCCCATGGAGTTAGGTGGTGCAGCAACTTGTGAAGCCCCATTTATTTGCTCTGTACTGAATTAAACTACAGAGCCATACAGCTATTGTTAAGGAGATCCCGGTGGGTTGTCTCCTGGGATTAATATTGTGTTCCTGAGTGCTGATGTGATTCTTCTCTTTAGATTTTGCAGTATGACATGTGGAATAAAACCCCTACGGATCTCTGGGATTGGAAAGCCCTGAAAGAGAAAATCGCCCAGTAAGTTACCCGGCAAATGTTTCTAAAATGTGTGGGTGGGTGAATGCAGGACGTTGTGCAGGAGATCTTTCAAGCAGACGTGCTGCAGCTTCACAGGGAGAATGGTTCGCCAGCATTAACGTTCCTTCCTTACAGGTACGGAGTCCGTAACAGTTTACTGCTGTCCCCTATGCCTACTGCCTCCACAGCTCAGATACTGGGCAACAATGAGTCCATTGAGCCTTACACCAGCAACATCTATACGCGCAGGGTGCTCTCTGGAGAGTTTCAGGTGAGAACCTCTCCACCTTGTTCTCCTCTATTAGAATCAAAGCGAGATTCTCTGAATTTAGAACTTTCATAGAAGGCAACTGAGATGTTTAAAGATGACTAACTCTTCAAGACCGTTTGCCTTGAAGAGTTTGTGGTAACAGGTTTGCTTCCCTGGCCCCCAGATCGTAAACCCACACTTGCTGAAAGATCTGACCGAGCGGGGGCTGTGGAACGAGGAGATGAAGAACCAAATCATTTCTCAGAATGGCTCCATTCAGGTATGGAGATTGAAGGAGGAGGATGGAGAAACCTCTCCTTTTAGGTTTCTTCAGGTTAATTGGATGGTGGGCCTTTATTTTTCTAAATGGAAGCTAAAGACTCCTCTTCCCTGCAGGGCATTGCTGAGATCCCAAGTGACCTGAAGGAGCTGTACAAGACTGTGTGGGAGATCTCCCAAAAAACTGTGATCAAGATGGCTGCTGACCGAGGGGCCTTCATTGACCAGAGCCAGTCGCTGAACATCCACATCGCAGAGCCCAACTATGGGAAACTGACCAGTATGCACTTCTATGGCTGGAAGCAGGTGAGCAAACATCTGTTCCACATTTTGGCCTTCCATAATATTTTTTTTTAGCATGTGAAACATTTCATATGTATGGTACTACATGGTATTAAAAATGAAGACAAAACTGGAATTCAGGATAAATTATCTGAATTCCAGTATTTGCAGGATTTGGTGAAGCTTGTATTTGTCTACTGTCGAAGAGTGGGGGTAGGAATGTTAACTACCAATTCTGGTCTAACTCATGTTCTCGTTGTGGTGTGACATACTTGATTAAAATGTTTGCTTAGTGGGAGTTAAACGTTTATTAAAGGGGAACTGCACTGCTATTTTTATATTTTGGGGTTATAGAGAATCGGCATTGACGAGTGCATTTCAAACCGAAATTAAAGTAAAATGTGCACGGTAACTTGTAAAACATCCAATTTCCATCACAAAATAGACAACATTTCGAGGTATGTGCAGGGCCATACTCTGCGATTCAGAACGTGGCAACAAAACGTCCAGTGACATGACGCAGCCCTATTACATTATAGTAAGGAAGCAGGCTTGTGAATACACCTCTTTTAATCCAATAGAAATATTGCTCTCGACTTCGAGATGGTTTTGCAGAGAAATAGTACTTGTTAACTCTGCATGCAGATCACGTCGGAAACGTTCTGTGGTGAAATGTCTGTTGCATAACCTGTACTTATTGACCCATACATTACATTACTCGGTGACTAGCAAGCAGGAAGGGCCGCTTCACGTCACTATTCATGGGAAATCGAAAACGAGTTTGTGACAACATGGCGCCTTATAGTCCTTTCACAAAATTCACGGTTTTGTGCTTAATCCGAGATGTGTAAAATTACCATCGATGAATTTGTTTGGTTACCGAGATTTAATGACGGGTTTAAGAAACTCGGACTGCAGTTCCCCTTTAACGGTAGATGAACTAAAATTGGGAGTCTTAATAAAACGCAGGGTGTGTATAAAATCCCTCATGGCTCTGTGTTCCAGGGCTTAAAGACTGGCATGTACTACCTGAGGACCAAGCCCGCGGCCAACCCCATCCAGTTCACCCTGAACAAAGAGAAGCTCCGCGAGGCCGAGAGCACCAAGAACGCGCAGGCCGCCGTGGAGCGCAACAAGGCGGCCATGGTCTGCTCACTGGAGAACAAGGATGAATGCCTGATGTGTGGCTCATAGACGCCCCCTGCCTCCTTCCCCCCCCCCAGCCCGGCTGCCAAGACAGATATCGAAACCCCCCGATAAGAGCTTGTGGCGTTGTCAAAAGCACGGCCAGCAGCAGCAGCCCCATTGCATGTGTACCCTGTCAGACGCTCACTGCAACTCGCTGTCTTATTGGAACTGCATCTGGGCAGCTGTTGGGTTTTTTTTTTTTCCCCATTACCGAGCGTGGGAGGAGGGGGATGGCTCGTTCTTGGTGTCTGTGGGTTTTGTCAGGATTGTTCTCCTCTGGGACGGCGGATATTTTTTTTTAGCCTCATGATCTGTTGAACTTCTGTCGGCAAAAAAAAAAGGTTGAATTTTCTTAAGAGGACATCTCAAAGCGTGTCAGCAGGGTGCATGAAGATGCATCTTAAGGGGTTCCTGTACTGAATTCTTCCATGTTTTGCGTTCTGTTTTCCCACTTAGCTGTGTTGTTGCAGTATTACATAAAAGGACACTTAATGACCAAATCTTTGTCATGAACTGTCTGCTCTACTTAAATTTATACGCGAATGCCCATATTTCTTTATGATTTGTAACTGTATGCATATAAACCACATACAATTTGCATTTGTGTTGAAACTGTATATACATTTGTCCTGTTAACTTCAGAAAATCTGAAATGTGCGCAGGGTCTATCATATTTATAACGCTTGTACAAACAGAAGCCAGCTTGAGAATGGTTTGTCTGCAGGCAGAACTAATGAACAAGTCTTTGTATAGCATGTTTTTTTTAGAGACGTAATGTGGCACTTAAAAACCGTTTTCTTATTTCATGGAATGCAATGAAATCTAGAAAAATCACACACTGCTATGGTAAAGCTGTTCAGATTGTCTTGTCAAGAGGGTGGGGTAGTTTAATATGTACAGGATATGAAGTCGAATATCTCGAACCCTTTGATATGATTTGATCAGATATTTTCTGGTATGTGTCTGAGAATAGCATCATCTTTTAATTTAAAAATGGTACATACAATACTTCATTAAAACAAACTTTTAAAGCATTTCATTTTGAAGGTTGTCCACTTTGTAATAAATCTCCCAATAAAATCTTGTTTTTTTTCTGTATTGGTTGAGTGAAGAATGGAAGAAACCTATCCTCAATTTGCATAGTGATTCTATATAGACTATATATAGGAGCATTTCTGGAATTTCAACTTGAGGTGGGCTAAATACCAGCTCTAGGCAGTAGTGGTTCTTTATCACTTTCCAAAGCCACATGCTAATGAGTGAACACAGTATGAATGTCTTAATTTTGACACCTAAACTTTACTTCACACTTCATAATAAATGAATTGGCATTACAAGAGTATTGCTGGTGTGTGGTGAAAAGAATGCCTTTTTTTACAGTTACATTTCCAAGCTGTGTGTATAAAAATCATAATGTGGCAGTGGGAAATGAAAGAATAAATAACCAAATTAATGATAAGCAAAAGGGGTTAACGCCAGAAGAAACCTAATAAAATGCACCACATTCTGGCTTGACTACCATTCTCAATCTTGATAGTGACACCCATGGATGATCCATGCTCTGAAACAAAAAAAAAAAACCCTCATGTGTTGTGTCCTTATCTTTTAACCACTGAGGGATCAAACATTTCTCTTATTTCACTAGTTTGCTTTTACTGTGTAAATAATGTACTAAACATCATTTACTAACTATCCTGCTGGAATAATGGAAAATTACTAACTGCAATTTAAGTGAGCTGGCTACGCCACAGTACCTGCAATATCACACCTGTGAAGCAGCTAATTTAATTACAAGCAAAGTATAAATTCACTCCTTACCCCACATAAAATATACGTCATACTTCACAGTTCTTCATCAGTTTTCTGTATTGTACAATTTGGTAAACTACGTACTTTATATTATTACACTAAAATATAGCGATATAACGAAATCCAAGTCTATTCTATTAATCTTGCATCATACCGGACTACTAAATGTAGCTGCGGAGATATAATTCAGTAATGAGAGAAGTTTAAAAAATGTGCTGCACTGTATTTCGTAACTATCTTTCAGAAGTATTAAACATACACTGATAATGTTGGGGTTAAATCGTTACTTTATTTACTCAAGGGCTTATTTACTGGATTCAAACAGGATCTTATTCCGGCTGTCCCGGGTAACACCTTTCGAGAAACGTGGAAATGCATCAGGGAAGTTAAGAAAGGAGACCAAAGGTGTTTTAACGTTATTTCCGCTGTTTTCCTACTGAAATGTTACGATGACCCACAGGTGCGAGGAACGCGGCTGCTGATTCTCTAAGCGATAGAAACAGTTTCTATAAAAATCTTTTCAGCAAAATGTTTACAAGATGACATTTCAAGGACTGTGGTGTTTCCGATTCGTTAACAAACAACGGTAAGGCTTTAATGTTACACTTACGTATGGTAATGTTTTAAGTCATTTCAAAATTCACAATAATGCGTTTTGAGGTTTTATGTTGAAACTTAAGTGTGTGTTGTGCACATTAGGTTAGCAAATCGCGGAGTTTGAGAAAGTTTTGCGAATAAGTTTAGGGAATGACTACGTTATTACATTCAAAGCAAACCTTCAGATTTTGTTAGGCTAGTAATGTTTTTATTATTAGAGATAACGCTGTTCTAATAAGCATTTTGTGTTTGTTTGTTTTCCTTGGTATATTTATTATTTTTAAATAACTCAGTTCTGCTGGCATATCTCGTTGTAATTGTTAATTTGTCTTGATGTTGGTAGTAGAACAATTGTAACACTAGCAAAGGTACTCAAGCATCATGAGTGTTTAATTATCATTTAATTTAAGCGGTACTAGTCAAACAGCTAGTGCAATAAATACTGACATGAATTTCCATTAAGTCCAAATAATATTTCTTCTTTGTTATTAGGAATTTAAAACTAGAACTCTGCTATGATTTACCTAAATAACAGAATACACAGAAGTTACTATCTTTGCTTGCATTTGATCACATCAGGCTGAAAATGAAAGCGCTGATCTTCCCCCGCTGTGTTCCGCTGCTGTACCTTGTGCTCTTTGTGGTGAGTCATCGCTTTCTCTCGAGGGCTTTTTACATTTTTAAATATGATATTATAAAATGGCATTATTTACTAGATATTAAATACTTCATTTTAAAGAATCTCTAGTCGGAATTGTGCTCACGGTAACCAGTCTTCAGTCAAAACTTGTATCAGAAATGTAGGGCCTTGTTGAAGTTTGGCAAGTATAACTGTAAGGAGGTTCTGAAATATTTTAACATTTATTATTATTTTTATTGGGGACACAATGCTTTTCTTGCTATTGTACATTTTAAATTAATTCAACTCAGAAAAGCGATTTGGGACCACCTAGTTGGGTTGTTTTAGGATGCAACTCTTTTAAGGTTGCTTTCTAGTCAAGACTTTTCAGCAATATAGAAGCTCATTTTAACTGTTGCAAAAATGAACATTTAAGGATATAAATAAAAGATAAGCAGGTTTTGTACAGCATATGTAATTTAAAGGTAACATTAAGCAAATTAGTATACAATTTCAATTAAAGAGGTTTAGTTATGTACAGTATTTTTCAATATTGCTTTTAAAAACTGTGGATACTGGAGGAAGAGCTTGGAAAATGTTTGGTCATGTTAAAAAAAACAAGCAGCTGAAATCCTGACTAAATAGATCCATCTTGTGCTACGTATTGTTTTGTCCTCTTGCAGCTCCTTCCCTGTGGCGCAGACTCACTACAGCCCACAGACGAGGTGGTGTTTTTGAACCCGCCGGAGGAGCCGGTGTCTGGATATTCCCTGCAGGTCCTGTACTCCTGCTCCCACACCGCTGTCGTTCACCTGGAGGCCTTGGCTTCATCAGAATCTCGAGACGTGCTGAGCGTTTTCCACAGGCGCTGGAGCTGCCGGCCAGGCCCATCCCAGATCCGCGTCGTGAGTTTGGACCTCCCAGACTGGCTGGTTTACCGTGCCGACTGGAAGATCCGGGGCTCGGCGTGGGTGCTGAGCGTCATGCTTAGGGTCTGGGTCACCGCGGACGGCATCCCTGGGTCGTACCAAAACGCAGCCGCCAGGGCTCTCATCGTGCTGCACCCAGTGGCCCCCTACGTTCGGCCCATGAAAGTCCACCAGCTGTGTCCCCGCTGGGATGTGGAGCTGCTCTGGAAGATCAGCAAAGATGATATCCCACAATGCCAGGCTGAAGAAGGTGAGCAGAACGGACAAGGCAACTGTGTTCTGATGGTTTGTGTTTAAACAGTATAGAAGTAAACCATGCAGTCGGTTTTCTTCTTTTACGCACCTGATATTTTCTGTTATATTGTCCAAGAATCCATGAACAAAAGTTGCAGAAGAACATCTGCAAAGCTGATAATCCAGTTCTCAAAGATACCCGAGAGTGGAAATCAAAAGAAAAAATTACGGTAAACCCCTGGTTTAACAGATTAATAGGGGGAAAGGAGTGTGCATTATTGCTGAATGTGTGAAATCTTGAATTATGTTTTTTTCAGCCCATAAACACAGTTATATGAGAAATATATATTGTTACAAATGGGGCAAATATTAGGAATTGACCAAGTGGATTATTCAATAAGTGAATTAAATAATCATGACCCCTAACTTGTAAATGAGTTTGAAGAATATACCTGAGTGGTTGGTATGATTAGAGGCACATGAGTTTTTTGGTCTCTGGCACAACTTTGGTGAAAAGAGTAATAATTCAGGCACACCGGGTTAAACAAATATGTATTTCAAACTCGTATCACCCATAAAAGCCAGAATAAGATAAAACTGCCTACTAAACAAAATAGAATACAACCTGCAGTTGTACGGTATTTAACCTGTGGTTAAATCTCTTTCTCTGCAAACCTGAATGTCACAAACTAAACTGGAACCTATCTCCCTATTCCAAAATGCACCTACTAATCAGGAGAGGCTGTTTTAACTGAAGGATTCTTCACTCAGGAAATTAGTTCCCTAAAAACACAGAATAGCAAGCTCTCTTGGCAAGGTTCAAATTGATATCCTTGAATTTTAAAGCTACTGTATGTAGCATTTATTTTACCTTGTTTTATGATTTGCGCATTTCCAGTAATTTCCAGGAAAGTCTGGTATTTCTGATTTTACAGACAAAATTCCCCCTTAGCAGATTTTGTCCGTTAAATCTGAAGTCCATTAAACCAAGGGTTTGTTGCATATTGGTCTTAACCTTCAATTTGTTTGAAAAACTTTTCTTTTTTTTTGAGAAACTAATTATCTGAAAGTTACTTTGGTGCCACTTTCAGATACCAGGGATTTGTAACTAAGCCTCTAAACAGCACTGTGCCATACCTAACCCACAATATCTTCCCTCCACCAAGAGGTCAGCCATTTCCTGACTTTTGTGTACGCTTCTACGGGAGAAAACTTTGGCATCATCAGGACATTGAAGCGCTACAGCAGCAAAGTCCTGGAGCGCTTGAGGCAGCAGTCCATCTCCTTTCCATGGTAAATCAGAGCACACTACTCTGTGTATCTGTAACAGATGTGTTTGAACAGGGATGGGGTTATAGATTAGACAAAACCACTTTCCCTTTTCAGGAAGGAAGAATGGGACTAACCCCACCCACGTTTTGAAACCAAAAAAAATAAAATGTCAGCAGTTCCGTATTGCACAGTTTCCTAGAGAAACTTGCAGAATGTCTTAACCTCAGCCCTAAGGAGCAGAACTGAAACCAAGGCAGTGTGTAAGGAGTCTCTGGTGCTCATGTGAATCACTCGATAATCTCTGGGTAAATGTGCTTCCATTCCAGCATATTGCTTTTGCTTTTCGCTTTTTCCTGATGAATAAGCATTTCTGTCTCTATACATAGACTGTGTTCATCACACTTAGAGAAGAGGTGCCAATACCAATTTAACAGAACACTTTGGTTGCTTCCTAGTCTAATAGTGAATTGCCCAGGGAATTGTGGCTCTTGTGTTAACTGCGTGGTAAACTGCTAGTGGGATTGTGGCTCTTGTGTTAATCTTGTGGTGAACCACCAGTGGAACTCTCCAGGTAAACTCTCTTCTGGTTTACAGGTGTGTGTTCTCCATCTGGATCTACATGACCCAGCCATGCAAACAGCATTTCTGTGGACTTTTACACCATGTGGATGCCAACAGCAACTATGCCAGCCCTGTAATTTTCATCACTGATGCAGGTTAATCTCTCCATTGCTCTGTTCTCTTCTACTGCTTAGCTGTGAGCAGAAAGTTGGGAAAGTTACATCTCCTCAGTATGGCTGACCCTATTTCCTTTAAACTGTCAGATTTTATGGTCAAATGATTTTGATTTGTCAACATTTTTACAATACCAGATATTTATATTTCTAGAGTATATGGGGATTGTGAGGATTATGTTAAATAAATAGTCATTCTAAGTGGGACTTTATTTCTATTATATAGTCCTCTGCTACAACTTGATCTCAAGTCTTTTCAATGTAAGTGTGTAATCCAAGTCACTTGGAGTACTTGATTTTACTTGCAATATCCAATGGTCATCATTCCAGCAACATTGAAATCTTTCCCAGAAAAATAATTTGTGCTCCAAAAGCTTAATTGCATGTTTGTTTGTAAGAATAATTTGCCATTGCACCACTTTTGTGGTAGTTATGAGTACTCTCCAATAGAATACTATATGATTGTAGAACAATAGAGAACCACACATTAAGATACTTTTAATGTCCTAAAGTTAAAAAATACCTTCAAACCTGTCTGTATGTCCCATGCTGTATAGTTTGCAGGCTTGTACTGATCTGTGTAAATACATGGATTTCTTATCCTGGCAGGACTAATTCATGTCCAGTTACACGGGAAGTCTGAGAAGGCAACTGCTTTCCTCAGTACCTTCCGCGTGCCTCGAAACCAGTGGTGTCGGATTGACACGGAGCTTAAAGGCAATGAGGTAAGTTCTCATACATGGTGGCAGTCTGTCAAGACTCATGTAATTTGAAAGAAAAAAGAGTGTAGAAGAAACAGCATGCAATACCATTTAATATCCATTCCCACTGCAGACATACAACAAATAATGAATATTATCCTTAAGAAACTATTGCATCTAGATGTTTTTTTTTTTCACTCAACCTCATTTACAGAATGTGCTTGAATTTCAGGAGCATTACATTTTTTTGTTTAGATCTGAACTTTCTAATTCTTTCTCATTTAGGTCACGCTCAGAATGAAGTGCAGCAATGAGCCACAGTACGCTGTGCATATCACATCTTACACGTAAGAAAAAGCACGTGATGAAACATTTGAAAAGACTCTCTGTAGAGGTTTGACACTTGAATGTATCCAAATATTAGCAGTGGTTAAACAATTGGCCTTGGGAACTGTGAAACAATATAGACCCAAACACAATTTGATATTTTTCTGTCACGAAAGAAAATATTTAGAGTACTAATTTTGTTAATAGAGGAAGGGTCACAAATTGCTTACATTCTAAATGTGTTTTGTTCCTGGGCTCTGTCATTTTAAATGTTTTCATGGTAGGATAGCGCAAAGCTGCGTTACAGCAGAAAGGAAAGTTGGACTTTCAGGTGCTGTGCATCAGTGTAAGAAAGTGTCTGGAGAGTGACAATGTGGTGTATTTGGCAGGTCCATGGATGTTATTCTGTTGGATGACACGGATGGCTTTTTTGTTTTGGGAGGAGGGCAGTTTGTCAGAGGTATTGAGGGCTTCTATGGCCCGGCTGTTTACTACCGCAACAGACTTCCATCAGTCAGTGAGGTGAGCAGCACTGTCCTGTTTTGTGAGTCCACAAAATACGGCTCTAAAATTTAAAGTTTTACAGCCAGCTTGTTAGTAATGGGTGACTCTCTCCTGGTAGCTTTCCTGATAACCTGGAAAAGAGCTAAAAACATAGGTGTTTATATGCTGCATGTTTGTATTAAGATACTCTGGTTGTCAGTTTAGAATATTTGGATTATCCTGCATTAGGGCTCTACAGATATTCTCTAACGCAAGTTGTGGTAGGCTAAATCATTGTCATCTAACTAGACATCTTCTATTGCATGTGGAAAACCCTTTTAAAGATGTGAGGGGTCAATTTCACAAATGCTTTGAATTCAGATTCAAGCTGCATATGTAAATCGTACTGTATACAGTCAGCATATCCAGTTATATCATGATATAAGACCACAGTAGGATGAAAGCAGCTTCTCTTTCTCACTTCTCTTTTTTTTCCCTCTGTACCAAGCTGCCCAACACCAGTCTTCCCGACCCCATCAAGTCTGTCAATTTGACGGGATGGTTCAACTCCTGTTGGCAGTTTAAACAGCAGCTCCTTCTCAGGATGAATATTCGCAGAGTGAGATCCCAACTGGAGCAACAGTCTGGTAAGGCCCCCTGAGACTCATGTCATAGAAGGGATTGAACTGACATTGCCAAAATGAATATGCTCAAAGTCCAGTATATGTTGCATTATATTTTATTATAACACTGTCACAAGAAGCACATGCACCATTTTGAATTATTAGTGATCTAGGATTAACGTATCTTTTAAAATACATTAGAAATAAACCCATATATCCTCAGAGTGGTGGCAAAAGTTTGAAGCAAGTACAGTACCTCAAAAAACAGAGACAATATTTGTCTCCTGCATTTTTGACTGTCCAGATGCCTTTAAGAACTACTGTGTTGAGAGACTGTTCTGATTATTATGTTACAGTGAATGTCATGTAATATATAACTGGTGTTGGTGGGGAAAAACTCCTGCTCCCACGAACGCTATTTCAAAAATGTGATGTGGTCGAACTTAAATTATTGCATTCAGAAAATCAGTTCAGAGATTCAATCAGAAATGAAATGGAAATTTTACTGAGTGGGGTAAAATGCCTAACCCCGAATATGAGTGTGGTTAACACAATAAGTAGGACATTCGTTTAATTAATACGCAAAGTGATTTGTAACAAAAGCAGTGGCTGTCTCTGTGTGTTTCAGATGATTGTGTGGATGTGTACAGCATCTGGATTTACCGAGAAGAGAGAGCAGTTGCAATGTCACAGTGTTTCCACTGGGAGGGGCCTGTTCCCAAACACCAGCGCCTCGCCACACGACTCATAGAGACACTAGCAGCTGGGATTGGTAGTCCTCTCTCTTTCTAGCTGGCATTCTTGACTCCTTTATGTATTCCTGGCACCAGAATATCTGCTTTTTGTCATTTGTACAGCAATGAGGTGAATCTGAACATGGAACCACTAACCTAATTTGTTGTTAGTTTGCTTAATTTAGCCTGTGGCATACAAAAGCACATATGTATATGTGCGTTGATCTTAAAAAAAAAAAAAGACTTTGCGGCTACTGTAATTTGCTGCATTTTTTTAAGCTTACATCAGAGTATTATAGTCTTGTCTTAATAAAGCACAGACAAGTGAGGATTATTTCATACATGCAAATACATGATACAAGTAAAACTGTTCCCCGGATATCCATTTCTGGCCACTACAAGTGTACCAGAAATGTGTTTGTTTTTTTAGTCAGGGAAACGCCTAGAATTCTTGGGTTTCAAAACCAGCTTTTCTGAGGTTTCCCCTTAAGCCTGAAATTCATTAATCAATCCAACATCGAATACGCTGGAGACCATTGTATTATTGTGATATTCTGTTAAGCAAAGTATGTGGTTTCTACTGAAAATTAAGCAAGGATCTCTTGATTTAACCTCATTGAGGCCTGTTTAATAGATGCTTGGAATGCATTGATGAATTGGTTTTACATTTCAAAATATCTTAAAATTGAAAGGTGAAATACTGAAAAAATACATAATGCAAAACAAAATTGGGGGGAATGAGTCCTGGCAACATATCACTCTCTACTGTTGTATCACTCTGTCTGTCAGTTCTTTGGAAAGACAAGCTGAGGATTGTGGGAAGGGCCTTGTACTCGCAGGCGCTCCGAAGACTGACTCGGGAGGGAGGAACAGAAAGAATCAGGGTGTTAATGCCCCTCCTTCTCCAAGCTGGTTGCCTAGGTGACAACAGGGCCCTCTTCCTGGGGTCAGTGTTGTATCACACAGACCTGGGCATTGAAAAAAAGCCTAGCAAGGTAATTGCATTCAGAACTTGATGATTGTAATTGTAAAGGGAAGAGCTTTGCTCATGATCTAGCGTGTGTTTTTAATTCATTCTGTGCGCACATAATGTACTGAAAACTTCCCATCATCTTCTTTTCATGTGAAATTCACAGGGCAACAAATGTATACCTAAGGAGCCACAAAAAGCAGGTTTTATAACTGACCCTGTAATCAGCAATTTCTAATCACTTGGAATATTTCTGACTTGCCTACTTTAGCAGGTGGCTTTTGTTATTAAGTACTAAATTACTTAATTAATATCTGTATCGTAACATCTGTAATGAAAATACCAGCACTCAGCAGCTCTACAGGACCACAGCTGGCTAATCCTCACTTACTGGAAATTGATGGGACTCAAGTGGTCCACGTCAATACAAGAGGCCTCTGTCCGAACCTTCTGCACAAGTGTGTCATTTCTCAGTTTTTATCAACTCTTCATTTTAGGCTCTATGAACATATAAACCATTTAAAGTCTGTTTATAGAATCATTTAATTTCATAGTATGTAATGAGAAAAGTTGTCACATCACTGTTAGATGTGAATTTGTTGTCCACTGAAGTATCTTTCAACATTTAAAATTCTTGTCTTTCATTATTGTATACTGTATGTAAGGTATATTTCAGACATTAAGGAGGCTAACTAGATGTTTTATGATAGAAACATAAGGTCTTGTATTTTATGGTAAAGTTACAGATGTACGCACAAAATCAGTTTACAGGCTATGACACTCAATGCATTTGTTTCTGGTGGATTTAAAAATAGCAACATGTTGACATTTTGGTTTCTTTTCCCTAAGGGATGGGCTGAAAAACACCCTTCAGGTCATGAGCTCCATGCTTACGCTGTAGGGGATTTAAAAGTACATTTGTTCCTAAATATCCAGTCTGAATCAAGGGAAACCCAAGACTGAATATCAAAAGACTTAATGACAGGAAATCATTTTTGTTTATGTTTATCCCAACTAGTTTTCAGTGAACTTTGTAAGCCTTGAAGGCCTCACAAAGGTGGCCAGGTGTCGTAGCTTGTTTGAGTATTGCTGAGCTTGTCGAGAGTATTTCTCTTTTTTTCCACTGGGTAAAAGACTGATGCTGCATCCTCTTCCTCTTCTTTGTGCCTCAAACCGAACCATATCATGTGCTGTAAACTGATGTACCACTTGGGGTTTTTCACACTTCACCAACATATTAAAAAAAACATTTTTAGAAGTAGTTTGTCACTAATTTTGTTTGTTTTGTTTGAGTCGTTGTATCATTTTATAGATATACACCGTAATGTGTTTCTCTCCCAGGCTTTACTGCTGTCTCTTCTGGCAGCTCAGCAGGACTGGAGGCTTGCTTTGCTGCGACTTGGACACCTACACCACACAGGAGAGCCTGGCTTTCCCCTGGACCTGGCACTGGCATATGCCTACTATTCCAATATAGCAGCACAGACCTCCTCTGACCAACAGGACCCCTCCCCCAAGCAGGTGAGATAAGGCTTTTTTTTCTAGTGGAATAACAGTAAATCTGCAAAACACCACCCAACAACGTATAACCTGCCTCAAGAAACTTTTTAATACTTAAAGCTAAAGAATCAACCCAGATGCACTTTTTCCAATGTGCTTTTTTGGGAAAAGCATTTTAGTCAATTAACCTTTCCTTTCTGCTTAAAAAAAAATTAAAAGAAGGAAATGTTTTTACTAACAGCTTTTACTGTGACAATTTCAAATAATTCTCATGAGTTTCTCACATTTGAGCTTCAGTATGTGGAGGGGGATGACTATTCTCTTTAAATTCTTTGTAGGTGTTTGTGGAGTCGGTTTTCCTGAATGAAGAAGATGTTTTGAAGCTGCAGACGCACGAGAACGATGACCTTTTCTTCTGGCTCAAATTTCAGGCACAGAATGGGGTAGTAGATGCCCAGGTACCACCTGTACTAGCTTCATCTCCTTCTACATTTGCTGCTCCGAAATGAATGATAATAATGTGAGATAAATTGTCCAGTTAATGACAACATACCACTTAAGTCAACTCCTAAAAGTAAATGTATACATTGTGTTTTCAGACCTATATAAACAGTTTTGCGGCCAGTTAATAAATTTGATCTTAAATTTAAACAAGGAATGCATTCACACTGAAATAGTCATCCTTAAACTGTCAACCAACTGCTGTCACAGCTAATCAGAATTCTAAAGTGATTTCATTCAAAGGAAAGATGCAGTCCTCCTATTTTTCTCCCCGTCATTGAACTGTCAAGACCTAAAAGACTAAAATGACATAATGACTACAATTTAAAGCATGTAAAAATTATGATTTAGTTAGTTTTGCTGAAAATACAACAAAAAACTATCCAGTAAATACACTAATGAGTTCTCACAGTGGGTGGAGTAATACAGTTATACATTTGCCCCTGGAGGACCACAGAATTTCCAAAAAGCTGGTTTTACTGAGTATTTTTTGTCTGCCAACGTGTGCTGTTAACGTTTGTTATTCCTGCAGCAAGCACTTGGTCGGATGCTGTTTTGGGGTCAGCAGGGGGTGTCCCCTGATCTGCGCGCAGCAGTGAAATACTACGAGAGGGGTGCCATAAAGCTGGAAGACCCTGTATCCATGTATGACTATGCCATAGTCTTGCTCAAGGTCAGGACGTGCAAGCTCAACCATTGGATTTCTGTAGTGTCGTCCAATGTTGCATGCAAAATGTTTCCAGGTAGTGAAAAGTGCAGCTAATCTGAGTTGTGAATTGATAGTGTTACATGCTCAGTCGTGCTGAATGATGATGTCGCAGCCCCTGTCAAACCTCTGAGTAGTGCAAATATTGCACTACATCTAACAGAATTGTATCATTAATTGAGGTGTGTTGGATATGTATGCCAATATAGAAAAGTCAGTATAACTGATATTGCTAATATCTTCACAGGGACAAGGAGTAGAGCAGGATATTCCGAAGGCAGTAAAATTCCTAAAGAAAGCAGCTCAGGAGGTAAACTGATGTCCAACTCCATTTAAACTTCTTTCTACAATTCATATCGGAGCTACATTTTTTTTAAAACTGTAAAAAACATTGTCTAACAAATCAGATTGTAAGTTTAGAGGTTGAATTATAATTACAGTATACTTTTAATTTTGGTCTTTGTTTAAATTTAATTCCTAACCAAACTCTGAACTGTCTTGGGAGAACCTTTAAAGCCCATGCAGTGGTCACTTCTCGCTGAGCAGTAGATGCACAGCTATAATGACCTTGCTGTGAAAAAAAAATAACAGCAGAGACTTCAGATGAGTAGTTTGCAAAAACTCACACAAGAATGGCCATTTGTATTTGAAAGCTTTTCCACACACACTGTAAATAAAAGGCAACTAACTGTTAACGGGTTTCTCTGTTGGTTCTATGATTCTAACACCACCACAACACCCTCCATTGAACATTTGTCTCTTCTCAGGATTTTGTTCCAGCAATCAATGCCCTGGGCTGGTACTATGAGCAATATGAGCAGGACTACAAGCAGGCGGTGGAACTGTGGGAGAGAGCAGACTCCATGGGAAGCCCAGAGGCTGCTCTTAACCTAGGGGTCTTGCATTCCCAGGGCCTGTATCCCGGGAAACCCATCGACCAGGTACGTCTGGATCACAGCCACTAGTATCTGAATCGGTGAAGATGCCACAATAACACCTTCCTAATTTGTCGGTTTCTAAATCCCATTGAATTTGAGAGCTGTGAATATTCTAAAATTGAAAATGTGTACAAGTTAACACATCACCTTTTGACCTGGGTGTATTAACAACACGGCTGCGTATTGCAGGCAAGTGGATTTTGAGAAAATATTCCAAATGGCTGTGTGAAAAAAACTGACAGCATTGAAACAATCATTTGTTATTATCTGACTGGAAATCATTTCTGTGCCAAGGTTACGGGAAAGATTACAATCCAGGTTTTATTTGGAAATGATGTTCTAACAGTGTTTATTGGATGTAGATTACAGAGTTATGAACATGTGGGAGTTCGCCTTGATTCTGTACCATTTTCCAGTTTAAAGCTTATACCTGTTACCTGAGGTCAGCCCAGAGGGGACACATAGATGGAGCGATCCAGTTGGCTCAGGTGTGGATGCAAGGCATTCCTGGTCGGGTGAGCCGGGTGCCTTTGGATGCAGTGCGGTAAGAATATTCCCAGCGAACGGCAAACTTTCCGGAGCTCTCCGGAGGTACCGTACTGACATTTATTTTTGCATGACGTACAGAGCATACGATGCCGGACAAACAAGGAGTGACTGAAACCGAAAAGATGATCTGTCCTGCACTAGTTTATTACAAAACAAGAATATGCGGGCACAATTGCTTTTTCTTGCCTTAAAAATGAGTGTGATTAGTCCACGTTTCCATTTTTTTAGTATGAGAGCTTCTTTTATTTGAGTTTTATGCACTGGTTGTGTTTTTCAAATGCAAATAAAAAATTAATTTTACATGCATAAGGTGTTAAATAATACTGAGCAGTCCTAACTTGTCTTCAGTCCTGCTTTACATACCAACTCATATCCTTCCCTCAGCTTCCATGAACCCTGAATGGACACCTTTACAGTTCAGCCGGGTTTTCAAGATGCTTTTTGTATTCTATATGGTTACAAAATTATTTTTAAAATTATTAAGGTGGATAATCAGTTTGAATAATATTAGATTAACAATTTCAGGCTGAACTATAGCATTCCACATTTTTGGCATCTATGTTAATTTTACAGTGAAATCCTTCCCTTGAAATGTAACTAGGAGTCAGTGCCTCTTCACTTTATCTCAGTTTAGCAATTCAACTTATTCATTGCCTCTGGGTATAGGGTGCCATTTTATCATTGATTATCTTAATTATTTTAAATATCATAAGCATGATTATTGTGAACTATAGTATATATTGTACATCGCTGTTCTGTTGAAATTTGTTGGGATGTATTGTTTGACAAATGCAAACCATATCCTAGTGTACATCTATTAGTAAACCACAGGACTGAAATGTAACTTAATCAAACAAGCTTAGGGATTCATGATCTGCTTGAAGGGTTGAGGAGGCTAACCACTCTGAGGCCGAGATGACCTGTGAAAAGCTTGTTTTATAATTAGAGCTTTAGCATTTTTAACTTGCAATGGGATCAAGGCAAATGTCGCATGATGACAAATCGACACACAAGATGCCATATTTTGTACACGGTGAATGGTAGCAGCAGTGCTTATGCATTATTGGTTACTTTAGATGGGCCAAATGGGCTTCAGAGCAGAATGGTTACCTGGGAGCTGTCCTCAGGAAGGCATTGGGCGCATATCTTCGTCAGGACTGGTAATTTAATCTCTTCTTATTCTGGACATTTATATTCAATCACAATTCAGATAATCCAGTATGCTTCCGTGACTCTAAACTACCCTAATGAAGATTCCTGAGTAATTATATTTTACCCGATATTCTGTATTGAACAGAATTTGGATTTAATTGAATCTAGTTGGAATCATTGACTCCACAGCATGGAAAAACTGAAAATATTAGGTCAATTCCTGAGGCGTTGACTGTTGGAATCCAACCGTCTATGTGACTGAGCACGCGTACTCCAAGGCCTACTCGGAAAGGAAAAGAAGAGAAGAACAGTCGTCACCAATAACTGATGCTGAAAGCTGGTGTTTGGATTACTAAGGAATAAGAGGTTAAGCCTGCGGGCCCTTTGTTCTCTCACTTCCTCTTCCAGGTCAGCGGCTCTGATCCACTACCTGATGGCGGCCGAGTCCGGATTCACAGCCGCCCAGTTCAACGTGGGATATCTGTGCGAGCACAACCATGTGAGTTGCGCCTGCAAGGAATTGTCGAGTGTTTGGGTTGGGGAGCCATTCTATCCAATTTCCGTCCATGTGAATTATAGTATGCAATTGTTAGTTTAGGTATGGATATATTACAAGATTATTATAACCATTTATCATCCATAAATACATTTTTCTTTCATACACATTTCTGTACAGGATATGCAAGCGGTTTCAGGTGACTAAGCACCGTACTTTTTAAGAAAGCCCTGTGCTTTAGTGGACTGAATTCTAATTCCAAGGTGTTTGAACAGGGTGGCCTCCTGAGTCCTGCCTTTGTGTCAGAGTGCATGTGGAGATATTATAACCTGTCCACACAAAGTCAGGATCCTGTTCCTTACGGTAAGTAAACTGACATCACTTCAGCACTGGATCATTTTGTTAGTCATTGGGAATCTTTTATTTTCCATTTTTTTAAAATATGGTAATACTAAGACTCAATATTGGAGTCCACTACTTTAAGTAGAGAGGTTCTGTCAAAATATGGTACAAAAGAAGCAACCTTTAAGATGAAGAAGATTAAGAAAGTGTACTGCTTTCAGAAGTCTTTAATGGAAAACAATCAGAATATTTTCTTTCAGTATGAAGCCTGCTTGTAATACATTGGTAGACAGTCCAGGCGGCATGTTTACACAAGATCCAAACACAAGTTCTTCTCATTTTGACTGAGAAAATATAATTTATTTCTAATGTCCTGAGAAATTCCTAAAATTCAGTTTTAGGATTTTATTTTTTTTCCTGGATTTTCACACATTTCTGTATCTCTTGTTGCAGCTCTGATAAAAATGGGTGACTTGTTTTATGCTGGTCACAAGCTGAGGAAGAGAGATGTGGGTGCAGCTGCAGAGCTGTACAAACAGGCTGCTCTCAGGAATGATCCACAGGTATCCTCTTCTGCAGCTGAACAGATCTCTGACCTACTGGAATCACTGGGATACTGGTGGCTGGAGATAGAAATGAATATATGTAAAGGAACAAGTAATAGGTCTCTGCTGAAAAGAGAAGAAAGAAAACACAATGTTTTGGCTGTGGAGCCTTCTTCGGGTGGCTCCATTTTCCTCGCACCCGAAGAAGGCTCCACAATCGAAACATTGTGTTTTCTTTCTTCTCTTTTCAGCATGGAATAAACCTATTACTTGTTCCTTTGCAGCCTATGCATGCTGATGCAGGTACCCACCTGAACTATGAATATATGTATGCCGGTCTATTCATCGTAACAGCTGTAGGTGAAGGGAGTTCCAGATGATTGATTTCCAAGAACAAGATGAGATCAATTCATGCAGCTGAACTTTTCTGGTTCTAGGGAATTTTTTCGCATTGGTTGTGGGAGTCTGCAACTAGCTATCTAGCCATGCTGTCAAAGCTGATGCCCTTGTGTCTTTCAGGCTTTCAGGCTACATGGGCCTTGTTTGCAACCTTTCTTGTGTTCCATTTCTCTGTAATTCCATTACCGCTTGTACCCACAAGTATGAAATGACATTGAACCCCCTGCTCCTAAGAGGAAAATTCCACACAGGCAGATACACCACCCTAGAATCGAACCCAAGATCTGAAGCTTTGAGTTGGCAGTGCTATCCAAAGTGCCACTGTGATAAAAAATTTTGGATGATTTTAAACCTGCAGCTCACAGATCCTGAAATATTCAGCTCCAATTAACATGGAAATGGGGAACATTATACATACGGTATGCCTAACTCAACATTTGATGGCTATTAAGTAAAATTAAATGTTCATAATACTGGAGCTGGATCAATAACTTTTCAATATTTTGTTAATATCTTAAATCCCTCCTTTATAAAGGCACCATAGAGTGGTTATTTTGTGATTGATTGTAAAGAACACGCACAGCAGGTATCACTTTTGTGTGGATCCTATATATTGTATGCATTGTATTCTCTTTATTTGTTTTGTGTGGAAGGATATGTATTTTATATATTACGTTTAAACCAGAGGAGAACATTATAAAAGCCTCAGGATTTGTATGTATAGTATACAGTGCTGGGAGAAGAGCTTATTGCCATAGCTGACTTGGTGTCTCTGTCCTCCCATTAGGGCTGGTACAGTTTGGGACTACTGGTGCAGGAAGGGGTGGCACTGCCAGGGCCTTTTCTGGTAGAACTGGACCTTTCGGAGTCCCACAGAGACGACAACTACACTTTGCTCACAGCCCTCTACCGCCGGCAAGTACAGACTTAAAGGGACCCACATCCGATGTTCTGATGTCCCATTTATTTAGACTGAGTTTGGTCCTGTAGGTGTTTCCTGTGCAAGACATGAGCTTGTATCTTCTCTGACAATGGGGGCAAAACTATCTCGGTTAAAATCCCAGCCTGTAAAATGATTGTAGATTTCAATAAAATCTAAAAGCTTTATTTTTAGTTTGTACTGGTCATCTTCAATTTTGACTTGTTTCCAAGATTAAAAAAAAACAATTGCAAAGACGGTAATACTAAACATCAAAAAGGGAGCTATTAACCAAACTTGTTCCATTTATAATTAATGGCATGTGTATTGTAAGAAGTTTGATTTGTTATTTTATAAGAAAAATACTTAATTCATGGATACTTCGGTTTGACTTGAGCAGGTCTGTACAAGCCACATTCATATTACAACTGCAATTAATTCCCCCATTTGGAATTTGTCTGGATCTGGACGTCAACACTCTAATTTATTTATCTGGTCAAAATAGTGTCCATGTCACTTTAGACACTGATACTTTAAGTATATCTATAAAAAGCTGTAAAACATGGAAGACCGACAAGTAGCAATGCAGTTGTATGTTTTTCCATTAGTTGTTTATTGCGAGTCTGTCACGCTGAAAGAATCTTTTCTGGCGGTTGTGTCCTTCCCCTACAGGTGCAGAGACCACGAGGATGATGACTCGTACCTGCCCTGCAGTCTGGCTCTCCTCAGTGTCCACCTGCAGTTTCTCTGGAATCTCCACAGTGCCACTCTGCAGGTGAGTCTTGCACAGGGGTAGCAACCTGGTCACACCACAGCCAATTCACCTCCATTTGTGTTTATTTATTAAAAGGTAATGCACTTCATTACCAGAGTTATTGGGACACCTCATTTGAACTTTTTTCGGTATTAAAACAATTTTCAAAATTGCCTCTCTGACAGAGGGGGACGCTGAAGTGATCACTAAGAAGGAAGAAATGGTAACCGTGAAAAATTATCTTTGATGTTCCAGATAAAGACTATCTCTTTATGACATTTTAACACTCCTTCCCTGTAACAAAAAAACCCTTCTGATTATGTTATGTAAAACACCAGGAATAGGTATTCAGTGGTTGAGTAGAAAATTATACCATCACTAGCTTTGTGCGGGAAAAATTCAGTGCAGCCACCTTTTTCCTTTCAGTACTTCACCACTGTTGCTTTGGCGATCATCTCCATCCTGACACTCCTCAGATTGCGGGGAGCAGTCACCTTCAATGGCCAAGCAGCCTGATCCCACTTGAACCCACAGTGTGAGGGAGGGACAGGAGACCTATGGAAACAGGAGGATAAACTTCCAAAAAACTCTGGCACTGAAAACTGCAGAGTTTGTTTCTTGGCAAATTGAGGATAAAAAATTTCATAAGGGTGATGCCAGCCCTATTTTGGGATGAGCTATCACCCAGCTGTCTTGCTGTCCTACGGTATCAATCTTGTGTTATAAACACTGTGTCTCAGAGACTTACTGTCCGAAAACAGGAGCCTCTTTATCAGAAGCGGAGTTTTGCTAGAAGAGCTCTGGATTTGTAGTCCCTCAGGGGGTGGCGGTTTATTCACAAGCAGCTGAGCTTTTCAGGAAAATAGGAATATGAATATGACAGGAATCATATATTCAGGAATATGACACTGGAAAATAGCCTGAGACCACACAAGGGGTCTCTTTTTTGGATAGTACACAGGTGGAAAGCGTACTTGTTTTGTATATTTATTCAAATGTTTTCCTGATGTTGACTGCCCTTCTTAAATGTGTACTTTCCTAATGCTTTGTATGATTTCTTGGTTGTGTGAAACTGCAGGTAATATGTTATGCAGTAGTTTTTCACTAAAGAAAAAGAAGTAACTTGTGAAGGAATGTACTCCAGTTAATCCCAGCATCAGCCTTAAGGAGTACTTTCACATTGAACATACTGTACAGCATTGAATTTTAAATTATTTGAATTTTTAAAAAGTGGACTGATTGGGGAAATGTGTGGATTTCAAGGTTGAGGGGGTGTTGGTCTTTTCTGGAAAAAGAAGTGATGTAATTTGAGATTATAATAAATGAAATAAAGAATTGGGAAAAGTATTAAAAAATGTCAGAGTTGCTCAGTTAATAGGAATACTGTTTTTTTATTACCACTGGAAGGATAAGTCATGCTGTTTCTGTTGCATTTCACTGGCAAACCACTCGGCAACAAACCAACTTCCTAAAGAAATGGAAGATGTTTTCTGTAAAAAGCATGATTGTATATATTTTCTGAAACTGATTCGGGCTTGACTTCATGACTACCAAAAAATGTTACTGGTTCCTTTGACCAGCGAGTCTTTGATTTGCCTGCTGTTGTGTAACAGATAACAAAAAAGTAATGCATGTGCTGTTCCTAAAATAATTTTCTCCAAATTGCGTAGCTTTGTCTGCCAAAGGTACTCTGAAAACTAATGAACTGGTACCTTCTACCACGGTTCTTGGTCAAATAGCGAGTTGCTCATTTTGCACATTAAGTGTGAATTAATCACAGCTTGTTCCCAGAGGAGGGCTATTTCCCTGCTCGGTGAGGACTCAGGTGTGATGTCAGTGCTGGGCCTGGCACCTCAGGTAATGAATTATAATGAGAGCCCAGGGGACCTCCCTGAGCTGTTGCAAACAGGCGGTATCTGGCAAGCTCAAACCTGTACGCCGAATCCTAGAAGTGGTAACAGTTCTAATTGAAAAATACGGCCGCTCTGCGGTAATGTCAGGGTGACAGCTGCGTCATGACGGTGATGCAGAGTCTTTCTCCTGAAGCTGCTCCCCATTCTCCTTCACCATGCTGTGACGCTGTTTTGGTAAATAAACTGCTGTGGTCGAGATTGAAATTAGGATTTTAAAAAAAGTCATATTCCTAATAGAGTTATCCAAACACGTGGCGGTTATTCAAATGTCTGTGTGGCATTTTCTGGCAAAACACAACAAAGTCAACTTCATGACCGTTAGGTTTGATGTTTTATGCTTTTATTATACACTAATTTGTGTTGCAGAAGAGAGAGCATTTACAACTTCAGAGCATTCAATTAGTAGGATTTTGGATTGCTTGCAAAACCCCTGTCAAAATTCCCTTGTTCTCCAGTGACTCCCCATTACATTTTGGATGTCCTCCAACCAAGACAACCTTTCAAGAATAGAAGAGTTTAATACAAAAGCTACCAGCTATGTAGAATTACGACTAATATAAATTTGCATGAGATCACACAGTAGTGTAACAGGTAATTGTCATTACAAGTTCCTATGTACCACAGCTATGCAAACTATATATTTTATTTTTTTTGTGTTTAAATAACACAACACTACAAATTAATGTTGGTTATTCCATTAATGTAGTAATTTCAAAAAGAACAGGACCTCTGCTGGGAACTGAAATAGACAAATGTATTGCAAATGTGTACAGTAATTAAGTACATTCAATTTCTTATGTACTGACACTGTCCTTTCAAAATATTCCTAAGACTGTGAGGAAGATAGAAACAGGAAAATGTAGTTTAAAAGAGGCATTCTGAAAAATGGATACTAATTTTCAAAAACTGCTGCATATAGTTTTCATTTTTTATTTTCAATTTATCTTCACCCCTATTTTTAACATTAGCACTCCATGTCTCCAGAGAGACTTTCTTTTAAATGATGGAACTGGCTTTAAATACATTTCTTTCCTAAAAAGCAATAATTGAAATAAACTTTTTTTTTTGCAGTTTTAACATTTTTTCTCTTGTAGGGATTTCTCACTCCTTTTGGGTTCTTGCTCAGAAGAGTCTTCAATTTGGGGAGTCAAAGCCAGCATCCTCACAGCTCACTGTATGAAGATAGGTCTTTCATCCCTTCTGAACTCTTCCTTTCTTACTGCCCCTCCCCCTCCATCTGCCCCACCCCTTCCTCTGTCTCCGAGACATCCATCTCCCTGTGGTGCACAACAGAGACTGGGGGTGCATGGCCGACCCCCACTTCCCCCTTATCAAAATCCTTGAAGTTGTTCTTGGCTCCCAGGATGTATCTACCCAAGATGCCGGTGCTGTCCAATTCGGGCGGAGACGTATTACTGCCATGGTTTAGATTCTGGCGGATGCGCTTCAGCTCAAAGTGGAGCTTTGTCACCACTTTGTTGAGCTCTGTAATCCGATTGCCCACATCTGAGAAGAGACAAACATAGCGAGACTTTTCATCCTGCGGAGCATGGAATCGTTGTTTTACTCTGTAGGTGTCCGAGCCAGAAATCAGGAAGTGGAAGTGAGATTATGGAGAAGCATGTCTCTGCATTGAGAATCGAGCATATGAAAAATACCCACAGAGAGATCCTCAGATGAGGACAATACAATCAGTTCTTTCATTTACAAACTCTTTCTGGACTTGAAAATCTCTTGTATAGATTTTGCCCTAGTCCCACACTGTTCTCCTTACCTACAGGTATATCTAATGCAGCCCATGCTTAACCCGAAAACTAAGCTGAAAGTAGAGTTGATACATTCTGAACCTGTAAATAATTAAATCTGGATTTTATAAGTGGCAGGCAGTTAAAATGTTAACAGCTGTTTGTGCGAAACTCCTCTGACCTTTGCGCTTGGTCTCCTCAAATTCCCGTCTCGCGGTCTCAATGTATCGTTGCACCAGTGCCTTGATCACCTGCAGCCGATACGACATGCGATTCTCTCCAGAGCCCCCGCTGTCATTTAGGGTTCCGTTCGACTGAAGGAAAGACAAGGATTCACTTACAAATTGCCACACGCTCATGTCACAGTCTTCATTCAACTTCAGCCTTGACGTCTTGTAATTCATTTATCTACCAGGTGAATGTCATTACTTACAATGGAGGCGATCGGAGGATAATTTGGTTCTCTACTCAATTTACAACAGCAGCAGATTTTTTGGAAGATGCCCCTGCAGAAAAGCAAAATGCCACTCATTAAGTTGTCTGATATCCTTGAGACCTAATCAGTCTCACTTTTACATAGACCTACTGTATAAGCCCGCAAGTGAAAACCATAAAGCAATTTACTTACTAGGGCACCTTGCAGCTTGAAAGCTGAGGTCTCTGCCTCATAGTCTCTTGGACCTAATATTGAAGTTATGTTCCTACCTCTGGAATTACTACCTCATTCCAGCCTCAAGTAATAACTTCCAGTAGACCTTGGTGTTCCAGTGGGCCTGAATGTCTTACCTCAACAGGTAGAACAGGGACTTAGGTGAAGGGATTATGTTGAAGGGAACAGGTATAGTGAGGCCTTCCCTGAAGTAACTCAGGTAAAGTTTGGAACGAGCAAACTTCCACTCCACATCTGCATCATCCTGCCAGGAAAAAAGAGAGGGTTTTCTCCTGGGGAAGATTAGGGAATGGACTGGGGAAAGGCTATGGTCATTTTGGAGCAGGGAAAATAAAATGTAGAACATTAGGAAAAGCTACAGCTCCCAGGTCTGTGACCTTCTCATAGTGTGACATTCTGCCTTATTCTCACCTCGATCTTTTGGAAGGAGTTAGTGATCATGGCAATAAGCATGTTGAGCAGGACAATGACGATCACTAGGGTGTAGACCCCATAGAGAATCTTGCCAACAGTTTCGGCCACCACGAAGTCCGGCATGTCTACATAGTCCTGGTTGACCACACCAAACATGGTCCAGAAGAGAAAGCGGAATGTCTCATTGAACCTGGAGAGAGAACAGCTGGTTTGTTAAGTGAGCACAAAATGGCAGCTTTTGCGTTGCAAAATGGGTTGGCAGGGATCATGCGTTATATTTTAATATCAGCAGCTTAAGGTTTAACGTTGTTTTGGAAGGAGGGTTTTGTGAAAAGTCTGTTGAGGTGCACCAACACCAACCTGGACACTCATTTCCTGTAATGCCTCACATCTAACTTAAGTATTCCACTATAGCATACAAAACGAAAGGTATTTAGATACATAATTGACAATGAAAATCAAATCGCCACCCCCCCCCAAAAAAAAAACAAAAAAAACAAAAAAAGGATCAGATGAATGATTGCCTTACTTTCCGAGGCGTGGAGAAATAACATAAGGCACATAGATGTTGTTGAGTCCACAGAGGAAGGCTGTACCAATAATCATCAAGATGAACATGAACCTGCAAGAAACAAGACAGGTCATGCAAGGTGGTACATTATCAAATCGACTGTTTACTTTTAATTTGCAGTCAGAAAGAGAAACTTATTTATGGATCTTTTATACTATAGCTCTGCCAAATATATTTCAAGGTCCTTTCTAATGTCTTTTGCTTCATAGAGGGATACATTTCTAAACTGCATCATTAGGTTCTGTTGTGTCTTCCATCTTACCATTTAAAGTGTGTTTCATCATTTAAGGTATGGTCAATTTTTCTTTGATTTGTCAAGTGATAACCACAAGTTTCACAAGAAGCTATTCCTTGGCTAGATTCTCACCCATCAAAGCAAGCACTTGACTCTTCAGTGCTCCTTTACTATGTCCTGGTGCCTCACCTCATCATGTCATCAATCATCTTCCCAATGGAGATTTGCAGGGTTCCTAGGGATTCGTGGGCAGGCAGGATGTAAGCTAGCCTGGTGAAGCTGAGCATGCTGGTCATAGCAAAGAGCACCTCTGCAATGAACTGTGGATCTTCCTGACGCCAGTCCTGACGGGCTAAAAGGTGTGGGAACAATTTCCAGGCCATATCACTACAGAAATGTGCAGGAGACCTTGAACTCTGAATATTTTAATACTAACACTTCCATAGCATTTTACTTGTGTATATTATAAAATGTACAAAGCTTCAGTAAATTAACATTTGGTATTACTCAAAGCTAGTATATTTTGAAGAAATTAAGAATATGAGCTTTGACATTCATTAGACAATGAAGAAGGGTTATGCACAATCTATCCGTCCTGTGATTCTATAGATATTTCAATGGGAACATGTGATACCACAGCAGTCATCTGGATTTTCATGTATTTTCACATTGTGTGCATAATCTGACACTTTTTTAATCTCTGGTGTTTAGTTTTAAAACAAGAATTCCTGAAATTACGTTTCAGGACTGTAAAAAGCTGCCATAAGCGAGCATATCAACTGGTAATGAGGTCCACATGCTTTACCACACTGCGAGGCCCAATTTATGCTTTATTTATACAACATGGAAAATACATTTTGGGAACTCTTTTCAGTGTTTTTTTCTTGACAGAACTTGAGTTGTGCAGTGTTGTGCAGCTGTGGAAAGAGGCCTCTTCTGCGTGAAGAATCCTGAGGCCCACAGAGTGCGTGGGGAGTGGGGGCTCTCACCGGTTTCTGTGAAGTAGGTGCAATCCAGCATGGTGTCTGGACCCAGGCAGAGAAAGTAGCCCTTGAGCAGGATCAGGACTCGCAGCGTGAAGGAGGCGAGGTACATGCTGAGGACCATCATGTCCAGGAAGTTCCACCAGTCCAGCAGGTAACTGCGCAGCCCCTCAATCCACACCTCCTTGCACTCGAACCAGAAAAAACCTGAGGAATTACACAAAAAAACCCATAGATTCATAAACAATGGGGCAGAAAAAGACATCAACTATTTTGTAAAACCTTGAAAGAGCTCAGGCTTTAAAGGGGAATTACAGTTTCAATTACTCAGACCAGTTATTAAATCTCAGTAACAAAATAAATTAGTTGACGGTATTGGAAATGTGACAAATTATATACAAAATCATGAACTTTGTGAAAGTACTGTATAGTTGCCATGTTGTTGAGAGTTAGCACGAATTGAGACGTGAAGTGGCCCATCCTGCTTGCTAGTCGCTGTGATGACTTGTGTAATGTGCTGTACAAGCAAGTACAGGTTGTGCAGAACACATTTCACCGCAGAAATATTTCAACATGATCTGCATGCAGAGTTAACAAATAAGTACTATGTCTGCAAAACCATCTCCAAGTTGGGAGCAATATTTGTGTTGGATTAAAAGAGATGTATTCACAAGCCTGCTTGTTTAAAATATAATAGTGTTGCTTCAAGTCACTGGAAGTTTTGTTGCCTCATTCTGAATCACAGACAATGACAGTAATATGGTGCTGATGGTGCTGTGCATACCTGGAAATTCTGTCTATTTTGTGATGGAAATTGGAGGTTGTTTATGTTACCGTGTACATTTTACTTTCATTGTGGTTTGAAATGCACTCATCAATGCCGATTTTTTCTAACCCCAAAATATAAAATAGCATTGCAGTTTCCCTTTAATAAAGGTACTGTTTGCAGGTCCTCTAATAATTATTATTTTAACCTTGGCATTAGTGATCACTAACAATGCTGATTTTTTTAAAAGAAAAGATTATACTGCAGTGACATAACTGGTATCGTTTGGTACCTGTTGAGCCTCAGTATGTGTCCCACCAAAATTACTGAGATTCTGCTGATCAGAAAGGACTAGTAAGGGCATATCTTAAAGATAACCAATAACTGAAGGCTCACCCACCTCAAAATCAAGAGCAGGAGACAGTAGTGCTATACTGTACGTACCCACCACCCAAATCATGTGGATAGAGTTTTTCATAAGGCTCTGTTCACGCAAGGAAGATTGATCTCTGTACATCTCCATGACGATAGATTCGCCCAGCAGAACAATGAGGAACCACAAGTAGGAGGCAGAGTGCAGCAGGAACTTGATCACTGGGATCTTCAGTGTCTTCCCAATCTGGTGAAAGAGCACAGGCAATCAGCTAAAGCCAGCTCTTAGATGAACAGACCTAGAGGATCTAAAGAGCCTTCACATGAGTAAACAGATGACTAGGGACATTTGTTCTGTAGCCTTACATACAGTAGCTCTTCCCTCAAGCCCTGTGGTGGCAGTGACAGGGTATGGCATCATCTCTGTCTTCAAAGTAAAGCAGTGTCTAAATGGACTTCATGGATCACTTATAATTTAAATTAGTTGGTAATTACCACAGCGTGTTTGTCTTCTGCCCTCTTATGATTCACAGGATCCCCACTCCTCACATCTCACCTTCGACTTAGGCGCCACGTAGTAGATCATGCAGAGGAAAGGCATTGTGAGGAAGATCCCAAAGGAAATGAAGAGTTTCCAGATTGTCCTGCTGCCCCTCCAGCCTGAGAGGTTGCCACACCAGATGGATGACAGGACCTGCTGGCAGATGGGGTGAGCCACGAACTGGAGGCGTGTGGGCGGAGAGAAAGCAAAGCATCGTGGTGAGCAGCTGTTTTAACTAGAGCAAGGCATCTGAAACTTTTCTGGGATCATCCTCTCTTTAAACTACTTCTTTCAATTGGTGACCCTGTTGTGCATTACAATGCTTTAAATATACAAAGCTCCCATTAGGTATATAACAAGTATTAATATAACCATTGCCCAACAATGCAGTAGAAAACCAGGTTCTACTTCTCTATGGTAGAATCTTCTTTTTGCATGCAGTGTAATAGATTTGGGTGGCATCGGAGTGAGAGTGCAGCGCTCGTACCTGCTTCTGGTTGAGGTTGACCGCGAGGCGCAGGCGGGCCAGGCTAGGGATGCCCTCCTCAAAGGTATGCTCATCCAGCTCATCCTCGTCGTCATCACCGCAGTTGTTGAGGATGGTGGTGACCTCGCTCTGGTTCCGACACATGCCCAGCAGCTCCACTGCAAACTCCTGGCAGAGCTCCTCCAGGCTCAGGTACTGGGGCTGAGGGCCAGAACCACATACTGACATTGAGCAAGGAGGCACATGTGTTCGCTTGCTGGGTATGGCTTTCTGGATAACTTCTGCGTGGTTCACATAAGTTGGGCAGAGTTCCCCTCCTGGATTGCTGTGATCAGCTCCAGAGGAAACCGCCTCCACTTGTTTCACGATCTCATTGATCATATTGAATTTTTACATCCCTAAGGTCATACTGCATAAGTCAGGTGGTCCGACTTGTTTGCATACATGTAGTAGGATATTTTAAAAAGAAAGCTTTCATTTTTAAAACAAAGTAATACAGAACACGTCATAGGCACATAGAATGAAGCAAGTCAAACTCCTGTGGAGCTCAGATTTATTTCAGCATTTTGGGTGTCAGTGTTTTGTTGATTTCAGGGGTTACTGAATTCCTCTTCATAAGCCTTTTGGAAGTCTTCACTTCTTAATACAATGTCAACTTTCTCTAAAGTGCTAAATGGATAATACTTGTTGACCACATTGAGAGGCATTTTGAACATCTATCAGCAATAGTGCAGCATGCCAAAAAAGAAAAGTTGTAAGATCACCGAAAAGCTTATGTGGTCGCAGTGTCAATATGAACGTCTAATGTAAGCGTGCGAAAAGCATATGAGGTTGTACAGAAGTGAAGCCATATAACTATTAAATGGAAATTTGTAGACGTAGTAGGTGCGAGGAGAGAAGCAGGAAAGCAGTACTAATGTTTCACTGTTGCCGCGCATTAGACAGCAACACCCTCCCTCTCCCACTCTGACCTTGAATTCGGGCTCCTTTTTGGACAGCTTGCGGAGCTCGCGGCTGAGGCGGAAGGCACTGAGCATGGCGTCCTCGGTGGTGATGGAGAGGTAGGCGCGGCTGGCGATGCCCCTGTAGGTGTTGATGCGGGAGAGCGAGAATTTCAGCAGGTCGTACTGGCGCCCGTTGCGGCACTCCAGGCAGACGCAGGAGATCTTGTGGGGCAGGGGGATGACGTGGCCCTTCTTGGTCAGCATGTTCACAATCTCGTAGAGGTCCTTCTGGCAGGCCAGGGTGAGCGGGGTCACGCCCGGGGCGAACTGGGAGTCGTCGATGGAGTGGTCGAAGATGGCCAGCGAGAAGGAGCGCACGTCCACCTTGTTGTTGCCCACGCCTTTCTCCTGGTCCAGACGATCCAGGAGCCGCTTGACCACTCGTGGCTGGTTGGTATCCACGGCAACCAGCAGGGCCTCGTGGATCTGGCGGAAGTCAAACTTGACGCACTGCAGCAAGGTGTCCAAGGTGTCCTCGTTCCCCAGCCGGATGGCCAGGTTGAGGGCCTCCCTCCACAGCCGATCCTCGGAGTCATCCAGCTGCCGGAGGATGCCATCCCCAGCTTTCAGCAGCCCCGCCACCTGGACAGAGTTCCCCTCCTGGATCGCTGTGATCAGCTCCGGAGGGAACCGCATCTTCTTGTTCACGATCTCCCGCCATTGCTCTGGCTGCGGGGAGAGTTATTTGGCATGAAAGGGAGGAAGAAAGAGTTCACTAGACTTCACCACGGTCAAGGAATTTGGACTACATCTGCAACTCCTTTAGGAAAATGCAGAATGACACTGCGAAAATGAAACTCAAAGAACTCGCTCTGCCCGCTGAGTGAAGTCTCTGCTTATGCACACAATCAGGAGCCCTGAACTGTTTTTTTTAACATGGTCCTAGATGGATAAATTATTTTTTATGCAAGTCTGTATTTTTCCCTCTGCATCTGGTTTGCACATCTCCAATCTTGGTGTGCCAGTTTTTGCCGTTTTTGTAACTGGAGCCCTTTTGTTGACATAGCTGATCTCATTTCTGGCATAGCTGGACCAGTCTTAGACTTTTCACTAGCTCTTTAGGTGCTGGAGATGAGAAGAGAGCGACAAGACTGGAGAGGTGCCCCCTGCTCTGTGTTATGTAATGCACATTATATACTTCACCTCAGAAACCAGCTATTATCATCTTGCCCTACCCTATCATCATAATATGTGCTGCAGTTGATGACAGCACAGAAAAAACGAATAGTACACAACAAATGTAACAAGGAAGATGCTGTTTGCATATGTAGTTACCCATCATTAAAAGATAAATTGTTTCAAAAGCTTGTTTCATCACATTTGAATACAGAATACTCTAGTACTCAAGGTGTTGCATATCTAACTTTCTATTAAGATCTCAAGATAGCATATTTCAATGACAGACACCCATCATACAGAAATTCAGATTTAAAGGAAGCTACAACAATGCTTTTTTAAAAAAAATGTCAGTACACCTTAACGAGCAAAATAATATATAGAAGTTCTGTTACAAAATCACAGTCCTTAATTCCAAATTTGGTCTTGAGCAAATTGTAATATGAGAACAAAAACAACACAAGCACAATTCAGATAACATTGAAGTCCTCATTACATATTTGAAATAAAAGTCTAAAGAATAATTTTGATTCACAGAACTACGTTGTGCAGAGTCATTACTGTCCTAAAAAGCATCCTTACCGTAAGGTTTTCCATGCTTAGATGAAGAGTGGTAGAGACATACAAAACTGGGGATTTTTTCTTACTCACTAAAGCGTGATCCTTTCTTCACTTTCAAAAGTCCATAATCCTAAAACTCTGGTTGTGTTGAATGTTTTTTTATGAGACTGGTGTTAAAAAAAACAAAATTGAGGTCCCTCAATCCCGGTGCCTGAATTGCACCGTATTGAAGAGATCTCAAGTATCATACCTTGTTGGTAACCTGCCTGCCGATAGTTCTGTTTCTCTTTTTCGCTGTTCCGTACTCTGCTCTTCGCTATTCCTCCTGAGTCTGGAATCGTTAACCATGCGGAACCAACAACAGGGATTCTTCCCTTGAGGATGGGCCAATTAGGATGCAACGGTTATATTCTGCCATGGAGCTTGTTAGTTCAGTGCAGGCACTGGTTGATAATAGACATTAACTCATATGATAAAAGAAAAGGCTAAAAACCACTAATGCAATGTGGTTTTATAAGCATTTCATTGATATAAAACAGATTCTCCTAGTTTTACCTGACCAAAAGACCTGAAATCAGCAAATGGCTGCTTTGTGTCATGTCTGATTTTTGTGCAATTGCTTGACTCTGCATCACATGGCCATTTCCTCAAAGATTTGAAATTATTATATTTTCTTTAAGTCATTATACATTAAATTAACATTGAACTGATGTCATTGACGTTTCTCACAGAGGAAAATGAGATGAGATCCTTTCATTTTTTCAAGATGTCCAAGGAACAAACTATTATTTATATATGTCTGTAATAATGCTCTGCCTTTCCAAATTAACATCTACAAAATTCTAATATCATAAACTTACAATTATGGACAGACTTAATTATCATTTGCTTTACCTTTAAATGTAGATATCTACTTAAAATTGAAAATGTGAGTATACTTTCCAAAAACAAAAGGTATTATCTCCACTCTTTTTTACATTGTATATTAATGTACACAAATAAACTTGTACAAAGATTTATTTTTAAGAGCAGGAAAACAAAATGTCTTATATACAAATCTGAGATTCATCTGAAAACCAAGCATTATTATTATTACAAGTAAAGAGCTAACAGTGCCATGTTCGACTCACTTAGTCACAACGTCTCATTGTACCCTATGCATTATTCATGGAAGCAATATCCCAGCTCTAGTAAACAATTATAGAATTGGGTGTTCAATCACAGTCACAGTGGTCCCAATGCCTTCTTACAGTATGTGTTAAGATCACTTTATTGGCCATATACAATTTCCTGCATTAGGAATTTGTCTTCTCGCATACCCCAGCTTGCTCTCCATGAGACACACAGGCACACAGTCGGGGAGAAAGGAGCTTGGGGTCAGAGCACAGGGTCAGCCATTTATACGGTGCCCCTGGAGCAGTTGGGGTTAAGGGCCTTGGTCAGGGGCCCAACGGAATAGGATTCCTCTGTGGGCCGCGGGATTTGAACTGGCAACCTTCCAGCCACAGATGCAGGTCCTTAGCCACAGTGCCACCGCTCCGCCCAGATTATTACAGGACAGATGCAGATCATGAAGGTTCGTTCAGTCCACCCATAACCAGCTGGGTGTTTCTGGGTCACCACAGCTGCTGGCATGTTGCTGGATCTCAGCGAGCGGGTATCTGAAGGAACAGAGTGGGCAAGGCACCATGTCCTGCTCGGAGCCAGGGCTCTGAGGGGGGGTGAAACTGCCCATCACACCCGGGGCAGCAGGCGGCACCCCACCCTGGCAGGAAGAGGCATGAAGGGGCAGGTAGTCTGGGCTGAAGTATCCTAGGAAGAAACACAGAGACACTTGGTACTTGAGTAACATAGGCAGTTATCTGAAAACGCTATTGCTTTTGTACTCTTATCTAGACGTGTGCATATATACTGTTTTAAGGTATATATCTAATACTGGGAAGTTTTCTTTTTTGTGATTTTCTGTATTTATTTGTGAAAAGAAAATATAGTTCTTAAAAATCTGGAAAAAAAACAACTAAGTTGCTTGATCGTGGCCTTTGATAGCAGTCCTGTCGCTTTTTAAGTTAGCCAGGATTCAGCTGTTGGAATACAAGCTGGAGAACGTTGTCATTAGAAAAACAGGTGTGTTTTATGTGGAAGGGTGGGCAACTCTCTCATTTTCAATGGTCATTGGTAATGAGAGGCCATAAATGGCTGTATCGGTATTGTACTGTTATACTGTTTGAATTAAAGGTTAAAAAAACAGTGAAAAGGGTAACTAAAAACCCCAGAGACTTTAAGACTAACTGTAGTAGACTACAATTTAAAGTTGTAGACTTTAACTGTTCTGACACTCCGACAGGCTATGTAGTCAAGCAGACTTTCTAATACGAATCACCTGGCGAAGAGGTTTCAGAACCCAAACATTTCGCCAATAACCGAAGGCTCTGTCGGAGGCTGTGGTTTGCAGCAGATGCGTAAAGCACCTAGACTCCGAGCCTCTGAGCTCACCCTCACAGATGGGACAGCAGGTTTCTGGAATTCCCGTCTCCAAATCGTCCGTCGGGGAACCTGCGGGGCGGCTCTTCACAGAGCTCGATGAAGCTGGCTCCTCATCTGCTGCAGGTCTCGCCACTTTACAGGGGCCAGCGCCCCTGGCCTGACCTGGCCTGGTACATACGAGCAGAAAAGATCATCGCGTTTGTTGACTCACGCAGACAAGAAGGACCGCGAGACAGAATATACTCATAAGTCACGGTAACTGCTGACTGCAACAGCTATTTTTGTTATTTTTTATTTCACATACAATTTTGCAAGTCAAGCATTCTGGGGCTGAAAAGGTGACAAAAATCCCAATAATGCATTATCTCAAACCGCATCCATTTCCTTATTTGCATTAATATTCAATGCCATTTGTTTGCTTTACAAAAATTTTAGCTCAGTTATTAGGGACGGACAAATACAATGTCTAAACCCTAAAAAGTTGCATTGAGGTTGGTTTTGCATGAAGGTTTGCAAAACCTTCAGAAAGTTCAGAATACTACATAGAAGCATTTTTGCCTCCAGAAAGAACCTCCTGACCTTTTGCTATACATATTGTCAGATCAAAATGTAATTACATTGTCTCATTGTCACTTGAAAAACATAACACACACTGTTGTGAGCAAGTGCCTCAAAACAACCTGGAGATCTTTATTTCCTAATCATCAAAAACTGAATCTCGAATATGGTAAGATATAGTGATTTTAAATTGTAAATAGTGACCATCGCTGTTTTATGACACCGAAAACATCTTTTCAAAGTGCCAGACGATGTCACATAAAATAATGGGAACTGTACCACTTCCTTGATCCAGGTTTTCTCTTCTGTCTTCTAATGGGTCTGTCTTTTGGAGAGCCAGGAATGACGGCACCAGCTTCCTCTTCTGAGAAAGAGGACAGGCAGGTGTCCATATTCTTAATGAAAATCTGCATTAACATGACTCATTCCCGTTTCTGAGCCCATACAGTAGATTTCTCCCTACAGTAAAACGCTGTGCACCATTATTATAACAAAGCTTTTCTGCAAGAAAACACAATGTATTGAAAGTGAATTCAGGAGCGCAGAGCTAGAAGTAAATTGTCATTCTGTGGGTACGATGTAGGAGCGAATAAGTACAGGTTGTGCAGCAGATATTTCACTGCAGAAGTGTTAACAAGTAGTATTTGTCTGCAAAACCGTCTTTAAGTCAAGAGCAATATTTCTATTGGGTTAAAAGAGATGTATTCAGAAGCCTGCTTGTTTATAATGTTACAGGGCCTCTTCACCTCACCAGACGTTTTGCTGCCTCGTTCTGAATTGCAGAGTATGGCCCTGCAGACACCTGCAAATAGAATCTGTTTTGTGATGTAAATTGGAGGTTTTACAATTGACTGTGTCCATTTTACTTTTATTGGGGTTTGAAATGCGCTCATCAATACCGATTCCTTCCAACCCCAAAACACAAAAATTCCCCTGTAACTCTTATTATTGTATTGTAAAAGTTTCCAAGGAGTCCTGAGTCATGCTCACCGGGCTGTGCGAGGTGCCTGCACTCACTGTGATCCTGTATGTCAGATGATGCCGTGCTGGGGGAGGGCAGAGGAAGGGAACGCCTATTAGTCCGAGCTGCTGTGATCAGCATCCGGGCTGTCCGGCTCAGATACTCCCCCTCCCTCAGTGGCGCTTTCTCACCCCGATCCCCAAGGCACTGGTCTGTAAGGACGGATGTTGGGGAACTCTCTCTGCGGAGAGAGAAGGAAGCAACCCTCTGGTGAGTTCAAATCCTGACGAACGGAAATGAAGACATCCAGAAATCAACATTAAAAAATAAGAAGAGCGATCTTTTCAAAATCTAGAGCTGGTTCTTCTATTGAGACGGTTTCAGGAAGCCCTGATTTTCTTATTAACACAGCTTTTTAGATTTTTGCTTGTTTATCATTTTAAGGTTCTTAGAAATGTTGCAGGGCTGCAGCTCTCCAAGGAGAACAAGCTGAACAATCCTAATATAATACTAACACTGCTGTTCTGCTGTTCTGCCAATCCTTCTCTGTGGCTCCGTAGCTGGTTAGCTCATTCACAGGACATTTTACAATTACTCTTTCATTCCAGACAGTTGTAATTACAAGTCAGACATTTTCTATGCAGTAACATGACATTTAGATTCAGGAACATCCTAACATCCGTGTGACACATGCTTATCTCATACCCCATCTTCTGTCCAAAGACCGTCCTCTGAACAGCAGGACTGGACAGCCATTCTTGAACTTGAAGTCCAATGTTTTTTGAAGCTGGCTGCTCCGGAGACATCTATTTTAATGAAACCATACAACAAAGAACAAAAAGCACTTATGAAGTTGTGTTGCTAAATGTGTAAGGTCTTAAATTGTATTTAAAATACAACTTCTTACTGTGGGATTTTTTATAACTGTATCATTACAGTACCTCCTCCTGCTGTAAATTATTAAATGGTAATGAGTAAGTAATTTTCATTCTTAGTATGCTAGCATGGCAGATTAAGCACAGCAGACAAAGAGGTATACACAACAGCAGTTAAATCCTTTATCGGTGAAGAGAATCTATGTTTAAAACATTGGATAACCACTGTGCAAAGCAGTAGTGATGCAAATAAAAGTCTCTGGTCTCTGGAATGCCAGTTTTTTCCTTGCTTAGTATAGGACGCCCTGCGCCATACCGGATTGTCTGTCCCTGTCCCATCAGCCTGCACTTCCTGTTCGTCCACACTGGGGGGACTGCGGATGCGCAGAAAGGACAGGCCAAACTGAGCTCGCCTGTTGAAGGGCTGACTGCAGGTCACTCGTACCCTATCCCAGCGCTCATCCGCACCTAGAGACAGGAAATCGGCTGCGGGAAAGACAAACGCAGGGCAAAGAATTAATTTCCAGTCCTATCGTCTGTCATCTGTGCCACAGGCAGATAGCCTGTGCTGCTGCCGCTGGAGTTAAACTGTACTTGCAGGTTTGCAATCTATGTTTGTGAAAAATTCCTGGTCCTGGAGGACCAGTGTGACCAGTGTGTGATCTGTGCAGATTTTCAATCCAGCATGGCTCATTAACTAAATCATTAAACATAAATTATCAGCTCATAATTGGCTTAACTGGGTCCATTTGACAACTTCTACACTGGTGCTTTCAAGAAACACTGACACACTGACCACCAGGACTGGACACCCTGCAGACACACTGACCCCCCAGGACCAGGAATGGACACTCTGCAGACAAACTGACCCCACAGGACCAGGACTGGACACCCTGTAGACACACTGACCCTCCAGGACCAGGACTGGACACCCTGCAGACACACTGACCCCCAGGACCAGGACTGGACACCCTGCAGACACACTGACCCCCCAGGACCAGGAATGGACACCCTGCAGGCACACTGACCCCCCAGGACCAGGACTGGACACCCTGCAGGCACACTGACCCCCCAGGACCAGGACTGGACACCCTGTAGACACACTGACCCTCCAGGACCAGGACTGGACACCCTGCAGACACACTGAACCCCCAGGACCAGGAATGGACACCCTGCAGACACACTGACCCCCCAGGACCAGGACTGGACAGCCCTGACCTCTGTGTTTATCAGTCTACTAGTCTACTAGGGTGTAGCACGATCTCTGACAAGGCAACCAGCTTTTAAAAACCACTAATGGAGTCTTTTATCACAACTTTCAAAAGGTACAGGAAAAGAGATGATTGCAGCTACCACAGCCACGCCACAACTGAAATGGTATAAATATTTCAAAGCATTTGCCTGCAGTTCAAGCTACTTAATCTTTCACTTTCCAAAGAAGAAACTGCAGCTTTATTTTGTGTTTTTTTATTTGCCCCACCATCTCCTTTCCATAAACGCTAAACAAAACGCTAAGCCACAGTGGTTTACAGATCTATTCTCTAGCCAAGCAGCCTCACAGATTTAGCTGGGATTTTCAATTCACAGCAGCATCACTGATGTTGGAATCACCAATGCCATTGAAAATACTCATTCAATCTTTTAAGATGTGTGATGGCAGTATACGTTGGGAAGAGAAAGGATATCCTCATCGGAATGAAGTCTCATTCTGTTATAGTAAAATGAGATAACAGCACCTTTATAGCCTAAATAACGTTTTTCCCAGTCCAACAAATTAAGATTGATTGGGCATCCACTAAACCCTGTATTTTCATATTTGAGATACACATTATCATCATGTCGAAGAGCAGGCTTTAAAAAAACTCTTAAGCACGGAACTACTTAAAACACACTTTCCAGTTTCTTCTGTTGGGGTAATGACTGCACGATGAAGTGTTTCGAATTAGCTAAACAAGAACAGAATCTCCCGGTCGCACAGGCAGGGCGAGGAGAAAACGCGGCGGGATTAGTCCTGCCTACCTCTCTTGAACATCCGCACCCCCATGCGGCCGCTGCCCTGCCTGGACTCCGCCGGGCTCATCAGGGTGGCGGTGGGCAGCAGGGTGACATAGGGCTGGTCCTGAGCCCACGAGGAGCGCCCTACGTCCACCTGGACGAACGCCGAGCCACAGTTACCTGCCCCCAAAGCCAGCGAGACACAATGCTTTTTAAAAAAAAAAACACGGGCGATGCCTTGGGAGGGGGGGATAAAAAACCAACAAAACAGTGGAGCCGTTTCCTTGAACCGTGCTGGGTTACGTGTCGCTCTGCCTCACCTATGTCGATGTACGCGATAGCCGTTGCCCTGTCCAGCTGCAGCTCCACCTTGAGCACCCCGCTCCGGTCCCGGGGACTGCATAGCCAGGGGCGCCCAGAGTCTCCGACCAGCAGGTTCTCCACACTGCTCTTCGGGTCCTGAGAGACAAACAGGCTCGCTGTGATCCCTCGCCAATTCGTTAACTGTGCTGCCTGTTAATTAAGCCTTGCTTTATGACAACTAGTAATTCACTGGGTTTATATACCACTTTTAATCCCGAAGATTTACAGCTTACATATAGGAGTGGACCCGCTTCACCAGTCAGTGTAATGCAGTTCCTACACGAACAGCAGTTCAGGGGGAGAAGGGAGAGACTGTCTGGCCGGTTGAACTAAGGGGGGACTTCAGACTGGAATTTACCCGGCACCCTCAATCTAAATAAGGCACTTGAGAGCAAACTTTTCTCACAGGGCAGAGCAAGCTAGTTCTTCACGCCACTGAAGCACGGGGAACAAAACGATAAGCACAAAAGGAAAAAGAAACCAATGCTACCATTCAAAATTGAAATGGCAGGTACAGGAATCGAACAGCGGTAGTGAATTAACCTGACAACTGACGGCTGAGTCGAAGACACATCTGCATAGTTTCAGCCTGTTCTGTTGGTTCATTCCAGTCATGAGCTGTGTGGTCAACTGAAATGACTTGCGTCTGAGACCTGTAATTACTATGGGAAGATCCGATTTCATGTACTCTTAAAATCCTAGAATGTAAGATGTCAACGAGCGCTGCAGTAAATTCAACCATCGGGGGAGAAGCACAGAGGATCACAATTAACCCTCAAGGGTTGTATTTTGTTCGAGAACATTTAAATTGCTTTACTCTGTTTAGGCCCCACGATTTGTGCGGAGAAAACTGAACTATGTAAACACATTGTAAGAAGTTAAACACTTTCGTAAAAGACCGCTGTATCCTGATAATCGAAAACAACAATAAAGGTTCAACAACAGTACAAATACAGTAAAAGGTAATATTTCGAAATCTGACGTATAGACACACTGAAGTTATTGCTGTAGCGCTATTGCTACTGATTCTTAAGAATCAAGACGAGTTAATTATCACTGTAAAAACCTACCTGAGAGGAGTAAGAAACGATATGTTTAATTTTCACTGGAGCCATGAACGAAGGTTTAGTTCATCTAATATCCGATTTCCGCTGCGATTATTGAACAACTTAATTTTAGCTGTTTATTTCAGATGATTAAACATAGAGAAATCATACGCGAATGTATTTATTTTTCTCAAGCTGTATTACGCCGTGGGTCATCGCTGAGCGCACCCTGTTCATGACAGCTGTTCCAAACTCCCGCCAACCTTTCACCTTTGACCCTTGACTTACACGTACTGCGGCTGGGTTTTGCAGTTCTGATTACGTATATAATATAATATTTCTGATTTTTTTGTAAAGAGGACACACGCTCATATATAGAGAGTTTTGTTTTTATTATAAGCGGTATACTACTGGCTTGTGCAAGGGAATTGTGGGAAATGTATTTTTCTTGGGTGTTACCATTAACGCTATGTTTGGCATGAGACCTGAAACTTTTTGGATTGTCAAACGATGCATCTGCATATAGATATAATACGACTCGAAATATTTCCTTTCAAAATCATAATGGGTTTGCAGAAATGTTCTGTTTATTAAGTTTGTTTTTATAAGCGTACAAAAAGTTACACACCATGACCTAAACCTCTCCACCCTATCTCCAAAAATAGTATTACAGTACATTACCTGTAACACATCAGCTCTTTAAGTTTGCAGTAATGTCGGTGTTGCAGGGACAAATGATATTCTGCTCTCTTACTTGTCTTCGACATCATTTTTTAACATTTATTAGACATTGATGCTCAAAACTGTACATGAAAACTGAAGTGCTCTTGCGAGCGTTCAAACAGCAGCGCAGGCTCGATGGACGGAAATACGTGAAGACAATAAATTGCTGTCTTTTCCTTTTCTTAACGTGATGCGATCCGCAATCCAATTCCCACCCCCCAATCTACACCTACAACAACACTCCTTCTCCAGGCTTTCCCCGGATGTGATTGGCTGACGGGCTGCAGCCTGAGAAGGAACAGGGATTCAGTCCAGCCCTGTGATTGGCCATCGCCCTTCCCAACCCGGAAGGTGCCGGCTAAAGCTACTCGCCGCTGGTGCTCCCGAAGATGGCGGGGGTGTTTGAGGTGGAGGTTGATGGAGTTGAGCACGATCACGGTGACCACGATGAACCACAGGTCAGGGGATCCTATTTGTTACACCCAGGCGGATTATGGGTCGTGGACGATCGCTCCGTTACCTTCCCAGTTTGCGTTTTTAGCTCGAGGTTCATGACTTGAAAGCGTGTAGGGTAGAAGTTGCCTTCAGCACCCTGAATCAGTGTGATTATCAACACGAATTCATGTCTTTAAAAAAAACGGAAGAGAACTTAAGTCCTTGTCTCTATCTCCGTTGCACTTCTTTTCTCGCTGGGGTATCACAATGTTTTAGTTTTCTGCTAGTAAACCTTGGTTTTTTATCCAGTCGGTGGAGGCCAGATGCGATTCATTAGTGATAACAAGGGACGAAACCCCAAAATCAAACCATTAAAATTTTGTAACTAGACTGTATTTTAGCGATTTGCATGCGGCATCAAGGTTAGAAATAGCAACAGAAACCGGTCTGGATGCTGGTCGAGTATCTTGTATATCTGATCTGATCAGGAAGGTTGGACTAAACTGGAGAACACAGGCACGCCTTCACTCTCTTGATGACAGTAAAGTCGGGAATCGAATAGATTAGTTATGTGTGTTTTAAACCCGCCCCAGATTAGTAATAGTTTATGCTTAAGGTTTACAGAAGTCCATTTTGTTTTAAGTGCTGTTATCTGTCTCAACACACCTTTGTACTGGGTGTTTCTGAACATTTTTGTAGGATCGTGTTGATTCATTTAGCTTTGTGTATGAATATGTCGCCAATGCTGAACTGATGCTTTGGCCTGGCTGGCATATAGAACTGCAGTTTTGTTTTCAGACGTGTGCATTCATCCACCTAGATGATGTGGCAACTGGTGCAAAGGTTACTTTAGGTTAGACTAAGCTCGTTTCAATTGCTTTGTGCTCTTCACATTGGCGAGAGAAAGACATGTAAAGGTGGGTTAATTTACATTTATTTGCCAGAAACGTTCGCCTTTAAAGGAGGCGCCCAGAGGGGACCATATGTCATCGCTTTGTTGGAACTGAGGGACGTACACGCTCGGTTGAAACCTGCTCGTCGTCACGTGGTTTTGCCTAACGAAAACTGTTGGGCGGCTAACAGGAGAAACTCGGAGAGAGAATGGGCTGCGACACGGTTCATTTCGTTTAGGGGGCAGGGACGTTTTGAGGTTTTGTCCTGTGAAAGGACACGGTTTATTATGATCACCCACTGTGGAACTGAAAAAGGTGCATTATCTGATCCGTTGTTTCCCAGTCTGCAACCTGGAGTAACCTGCGTCTACGAGTTCTCATTCCAGCTGAGCTGTCCCTTAATTAAAATTGGTAAACCTTTAGTCAAACTATACTGATCATCAAAAGAAACAGTTCACTCTGATGCACGGTTTTAGATAAAAGCGTATAGATGACGAACACTGAAGTGTTCTCTACTTCATGTTGATCAGTTGATCTTTCACGATTGGTTGTTTAACTCCCCTTGTTCGTGTGAGAGGTGATAGGGCACAGTGATGTGAATTACACTGTGAAATGTCAATCTTGGGGAAAATGAAATGAACCAGCATTGCCCCACTTCTTAGTGCCTTCTTGCTTTCAGTCTGTTGGAGCAATGCTTCAGGCAGACTCACCAGTAGTAGACTCATGGACTTTAGCTGCCAAGTGTTTGTGTTGACCACTACCCTGCTGGATGTCAGAGAGCACGACACTGATGTGCAGAATGATATGCTGATTGTTGTGTGTGACAGACCAATCGATAGGGAAGTGCGAGTGTGCAGTTTGCTGAGTGTCTTGTTGCTCCAAACTCCACTTCTAATGACTGATGATGACCAAGACCACATGATTACACTGTACATTAATCAGCGCACAACCCCAGGTTGCTACTGTAATGTTGGCTTTCTTAATTAAAATCTGTTATGCACTCCTCAGCAGAAACAATAAACTTTTGCACTTTTAGTGGGTGATCTGGAATGACATGTGACATCTAGGGCACAGAGACCAGTGAACAGGCATTTGCTTGTTGGAACAACTCTGACAGAATCCCACAATTCAGAATCATCAGCACCAAAGTTTCCAACTGGAGGAGAATATCCAACACCTAGCTTTGAGAAAAAAGAGCCTACTGTTTGCCGATCCCTGGATGAGATGATGAGCTAAAAGTGTTTTGCAATGGAACTGTGGAAATCCTGGTCTTAGGGAGTGGTTTTGAATGAGACAATTTGTGCACAAACCCAGCCCTGTTGTAGTGAGAACAAATAAAGGTATCCTATGGTATATCACAATCTGTTGGAATAGTAAATCTGTTTTTTTTCTGAATGAATACTTAACTTTATACTTCCCAGGTGCAGTGTTGTGTATAATTTAAATGGACACCCTTGCATTGTGTAGATAAGGCACTGATGTATGTGAAACGGTTTCCTTCTTATTCTGATGTCTTGCTTCTGCCTTTCACTTCAGTTTGCTTTTGTTCAGCTGTGCAGTGCAAGTATTTAGGTTGTTTACCAATGGCGGACTTCTTCATGAATTAGTTTGTGTGTAGGTCACAGTGTGCGACTTCATTTCTTGATTTCTAATTATTTCTCCGATCACACCTTCCATTTCCAGGTTGATATGTCACAGCTGTCGCCAGAGGAGAAATGGAGGTGAGTCATTATGATTATTTCTGCACTTAAGAGGCTTAATTTCTAAAAACATTTTCATCAATATTTATGCATTTAGCATACACTCTTAAATGGGTGTGAGATTAACATCTTCAGTTCTTAGAGTGTGATCATTTATGCAGGTGTACCTGTAAAACAAATGCATCATATTTGACAGGAAAATGGGAAGTAAGCTGTCATTTTTTACTTGGGAAAACTGAGCAGAAAAAGTTCGACGCATCATTAAAGAATGCTGTTCTTTATTAAATTCTTGATTTTGTTTTCTTGTAGTATTTTTAATTGTAGTAATTTGCAGCATTAAAGATTGTGCACATACATATGTGTGCCCTGTGAGGGACTGGCATCCTGTCCAGGATGGTCCCTCCTTGATCTGTATGCTTCTGGAGAAGACGCCCCTAACGATTAACTGGCATTCTTGTAATGAACCCTTGGATGGGTGTATTTCTGAAAGCAGTTTTGTGTGCCAGTGTAGTGTTGTTTCCTGGAGGACAGGAATTCTTTCTGCAAGAAAAGCAGATTATTTTGCTCAGGCACACAGGAGTGTAGCTGAATTATCCCTATTTTAGCCAAGCCCCGGAATGACAGGAGTCTGTTAAAAAAAGTTTGACGGAAGCATTGTGTGGGCTCTGCAACATGTATGCTGTAGTCTCTTTTTCTCTGCTCCACATGTTGACATGGGTGTGTGTGTGTTATAGATTGGAGCATGCCAGGATGCACGCCAAGCACCGCGGACATGAGGCCATGCACGCGGAGATGGTCCTCATTCTCATCGTCACCCTGGTCATCGCCCAGCTGCTACTGGTGCAGTGGAAGCAGAGGCACCCCAGGTCTTACAATGTGAGCGCCCTTTCTCATACTCCGGCTCCCAACATGGTGGACCCCTTTCACAGCAGCACACCAGGACCATAGAGCAATCTTGGATAGTGGGCGCAGGACTGACAGACTGATTAGGCCAGGCAATGAAGGTCCAAGACTGGGGTTAAACAAGGGTTTCTTTATGCTGTTTATTCAGCGTGCAATTTTGTTTTAAAAAGCAAGGGAAAATAATTGAACAAGTAGAGAGTAGAGTAGTTTATTGCCATATGTACACGTACATTGGAAATAGCGCTGATCGCTCTGGACATACACAGTACAACAGACAACACCACACAATGCAGACAGCAGGAACAAGAAATATGTTGTGGAATAATAAATATGTAGTAGAAAGACCAAAAAAAATGGTTGACCATCTAAAAAGTGTATAGTGCAGATGTGTATTAAGGCACTGCAGTGGGATAGGAGCTATTCTTGAGTTTAGTGGTCCTTGCTTTAACAGTGTGGTAAATGCTGACCTGTTTCAGCAGAATAAATAGCAAATCGGACTGCAAAAAAATTCATTCAAAAGCACATTCCATAGCTGCTGCAGTTTCAAGTTGTGCCACTAGAGGGGGTCAAATTCAACGTTCTGTACAGTAGAGTCACGTAAACTCTGTGACCTTGATAAACTGGATAAAGTTGAACGTCTACATCAAAAACCTGTAATTGAAAAAGTTTAATTTTCTATAATGTTTTTTAGGGAAACTTATTTTACACCACTAAAACGTTAATATTCACAAACATATAATGATATTTCCGGAAACGTCAAGTCTGTTACACGTAAATGTATTTTTTTTCATTTGATCACACACAAAATAAATGCAGTACCTTCTGATTAACAGTCTTGTTCTACTAGTATTCACAATTTGAATAAAAGGACTTAAATGTTAGATAAGGAAACATATGTTGAAAATTAAGAAACTCTATTGGACGAGTCATTATTATTATTATTTCTGTCTTTTAGCTTTGTTTTATGAATGCTTCCTTATGGTATGTAGAATAGGAGTGTTAAAATCAATCCCCGGAGAGCCTAGTGTCCTCCTACAGTATGTAATCAGTTACATATTTTGTCCATTTTTTTAATTAGCTGCATAATTTAATACCTCTCAACCAACCTCTGAGGGATTAATGAGTAACTTTTGATAAAGGTAAGTGTAACGAAAACACAAAAACAGTTCTATTTACTGGCTGATATTTGTTGAAGCAAAAAATCTTAGTCTCTAAACAAGAACTAAAGCATGTGTACACACTGCAAGATCATATTGTGTTTCTTCAGGTTTCTAAGTACTGTCATCCCTGTTCAGTGTTGTCCTGTTTTTAGAGCTGTCCTTATCCTGATACAACTGGTGAACCCGTGCCATGTTTGTGTGTGTATATACACACTGTGAGCCCATAGTCTTTTGTCAGTACTACTTGTCAGCCCTGTACAGTGTTTCCCTGTGCTAACGGCTTTTCCTTATCCTCATACAGCTGGTGACCCCGTGCCAGACGTGGGTGTGCATATACACACTGTGAGCCCATAGTTTTTCTTCAGTACTAGCTGTCAGCCCTGTTCAGTCTTGCACTGTGGAAAGAGCTGTCCTTACCCTGATACAGTCTTGAGCCTGTTCCAGATATGGGTGTGTGTGTTTATACACACTGAGAGCACATAGTCTTTCTTCAGTACTATCTGTCAGCCCTGTTCAGTAAAGATGCGCGGTAAAACCAGTATACCGTGGTTCTTTAGTCAGGCGGTATGTACCGTATCGGTATGCTCATAGTCTTTCTTTGGTACTAGCTGTCTGCCCTGTTGTCTTGCCCTGGTACAGCTGGTGACCCTGGTCCAGATGTGGCTGTGTGTATATACACACTGTGAGCCCATAGTCTTTCTTCAGTACTAGATGTCTGCTGTTGTGTCTTGCCCTGGTACAGCTCGTGACCCTGTTCCAGATGTGGGTGGTACCCCTGTACTTCACCACCAAGCTGCACTGGTGGAGGTTCCTGGTGACCTGGTTCATCTTCTCTGCGGTCACAGCCTTGGTCACCTTTAGAGCGACGCGTAAGCCACTCAACTGCACAACTCCCAGGTAACAGGACGCCTACGGGGGGTATTGCCATTACTTACGAACTGCTGAGAGGACGTTACTTTTCCAAGATCAGGAAGTCTGGGTTTAAACTTGTTTCTACCTTTTTGAAGTAGGATTGTACCATGTATGATGGCTCTGAAGTTTTAAATGGGAAACAGTAGACAAAATGGTAGGCAAACTGTTAGGTGTTAAAAATGTTTTTAAATACTAAACATCTTCTTAATGATATGCTAGGCCTTCCACCTGTTCAGTAGAGGCCAGTGTAACAATGTAACTTCTCTCTTCTCCGAATAGGTTGGTTTACAAATGGTTCCTGTTGCTCTACAAATTAAGCTACACGATTGGGATTGTGGGATATGCTGCTGTCATGTTTACCTTGTTTGGCATAAACTTAATATTCAGGTATGTAACACCACAATTATTTTTTCATGGTCAGCATTTCATTGAAGAAGCAAAGCCACCTCTTTTTAATGTAATTGTTAATTTTAACAAGGAATGTGGGATTGTTTTTTTATAGTGGTGTAATAAACAAGTTCAAACATTTTTTCCCCACAGAATAAAGCCTGAAGACGCTATGGACTTTGGTGTGTCCCTCCTCTTCTATGGCCTCTATTATGGCGTTTTGGGCCGTGACTTTGCCGAAATGTGTGCAGACTTCATGGCGTCCACAGTAGGGGTAAGGAAGTCGCACTGGTGAGCGACATTTGAGGTGTGAAGAGATAGAGGCAGCCGAAGTCTCTACGCCACCTCCCCCTTACAACATGTCAACTAGTTTAATGGCTGAGAATCTACTGTTTAAGCCAAGAGAGCTGCAGACGAAAATTGTCATTATGTTCTTTAACTTTAAAACCTCTTACTCTTACAATATCTCATCTGTGCTGTAGTGATGATACGAATGGGGAAACGTTCAGTGAATTCAATTTACACTGGGTATTTTCACAATAGTCGAGGCTTTTTTTTTCATGCCTGAACAGATGCCTCTACACAAGTCATTCTTTTCTAAATAATTCAGTACTCACAGAATTTCTAGTCTTGTCATAAGTAATAAATCAATCCTAATGGAGTATAATTTAAAGCTTAAGATAGCTGTTAATATGTTAAACTAAAATTGTAAAATGTTAGGTTGACCAATAAGCCAGAACCTAACTAGCTTTAGTATATAAGGTGGCTTCACCAGTAATTTTTCTGTAATGCTGTGTGTCTTTGGGTCTCAGTATTACAGTGCTTCAGGAATGCCCACCAAGCACCTGTCTGATAATATCTGCGCAGTGTGTGGACAACAGATCCTGGTGGATGTAAGCGAGGAGGGAATCATCGAGAACACCTACAGACTATCCTGCAACCATGTGTATCCTTTCCTTGGCTTTGCCCTGGTCCTCTGTGTAAACTGATAATGGGAACATCCAGATCCTCAAGCTATCAGTTGTGGGATGCTTTGCAGCCAGACATGACACAGGCGTCCAGGCAGATTGAGCTTGGTGGTAAATTAACTAAATATAAGATAGGGAAACAAACTTGAAGAAGCTACCTAAGCACTTTCATCTTCTCGATATGGGGAAGCAAAATAAAATGGCAACAGTAGTAGGTGGTATCTTTAAAAATGCTAGAATTTAAATGGAGGAATGTTTAAATTGTTTGATGATCAAGTAAGACCTCATCTTGAATAGTGTACAGTTTTGGTCATTGGACTACTAATATAACGCTACTTGACCAGAGATGGCTAGGAGGGGATAAGATCTGAGTATTGTATTTACAATCCTGCATGGCACTGACAGAGTCACTACAGAGGATGTCTTCAGAATCCACGGTGAATCAAAAACACAGGCCAACTGCTTGGAAGTGCATTAACAATTGAGAATTAGAAACCCTTTCTTACCCCAAGAGTGGTGGGAGTGTGGAACAAGCTGTCGTCAAAGCTGATACCCTGGCTTACTTTAGAAATTAGATTAACTAGCTACGAGCAAGCAAATTATCTAAATGGGCAGTATGATCTATTCTCATTTGGAACCTTTCTTATGTTCTAACATCAGTTGTTTTAGAGCTATTTTGGGATTTTCAGTATAGAAAATCCTTAGTATTGATCTATTACCGATTTCCTTGTCAGTCTTAGTCTAGTAATGAGATGTTTGGAAGCTATTAAGCGGCTCCTATACTGGTGAGAAGAATGTTTAGTATTTCCTTCATATACCTCTCTGAGATTTATTATTGGAAAGCAGCCTGGTGTCCAAAAAGCAAAAAAAAAAAATTTCTATCTCACTCCTTTAGACTCTTCCTGGCAGATATGAAGGTGTCTATCCCCAAAATAAATGATCTTATTGACAAGACTGTAAGTTTGCCAGTAAAACAGTTGCATCAGAGATCTGAAATGAATAGACCTTCTTCCGCAAGTTTATCGTGCTCATATTTCCGTCTATACTTAAATGCTAACGGTAATTTTGCAACACTGCATTTACGCAGAGCATGTGCACACAAGGAACAAAATGAAACGTGTGAGTGTACCGCAATCACAGTCGTGTAAAATGACGTAGCTAAAATACCTGTCATGCATATATTTTTAAATTTGTAATTTCCCAAACAGTTTCCATTTCCGTCTTTTGCTTAACTAGTAACTTGTATTCTTAATCAAATAATGAGGACAGACATGGGGCAAAACTGACTTTTAAATGTTAGAAGGGAAAATCCCTCGGTGTTTGAAAAGGTAGCTGACATTTTAAAACAACTTGCTGAACCATCCATTCTATGAACTGCAATAAAGCCTTGTAGTTCTGACTGTAAAAGCAGGCTGAATTGGTCTGAATAGGTTTGCAAAAACAATTTGGTTGAAATTAAAATTCCTGAGGGAATTAATTTTGGTGATCTAAACATAGAATTTTAATGCAGAATGTCCCTGCCTGTACAGGGGCAAAAAGGTGTGTAGATCTGTTGGAAAGATGCCTGTTGTGGTGGCATGATGGTGTTAATGTACTGGAACATTTAGAAATTAAAATTAGTAAATTGCGGGAGAACTTTAATCGCTACTTGGAGTCAATCAGACAAAATAAAAAACAAAATCTGCACACCAATTTAGAGCATGCCATGTGCAATTTTATTATTACAACAGCAAAACAAAAAGGCACCAAAAAGTAATATTTGAATCAATCTGCCTGGAGAAAAAGGGCTGATCGTTCACTCGGGGATTCCAAATTTATAAGTAATGTGAGGGTTTCAATACATTATGACGCCTTGTAAGTTAAAATGGTCTCGGATTCAAATGTGTATGTTCTCGAAGACAGTGCATCTTGGGTTTAGCTCATGACGGTAATTTAATCAACAGTGTTTGGAATGAGAGTTCCACTGGCCAGGCTATTTGATATGCAGTCCCACAGAGAGCGCTGACTCGATTCATTGCAGCTATGCCCAGGCTTTTTCCTCTGGCTCAACCCCAGCCCTTGTCCTCTCAACTTTCAGAAAGAAAGACAAGTTTTGTCAACCCAGTGCTGAAGTTGGCTGCCCTTGAGCACAAAGAATTCCACTTTGCTCTTAAGTGGCTTTCCACCAGTTTGTGCGCAAAGTCTGACTTTGTTTCTGCTCCAGGAGGAAGTGGGGAGAAATTCCGCTTGCTCTGGGGTGTAGCGCTGCTACTGAATTTTTTATTAATTAAATGAATGACTTACACTTATATAGCGCTTTTCTAGACACTCCACTGAAAGTGCTTTACAGGTAATAGCAACTTTAGCTTTCCCAGGAGGCCTGTCATGCTGGTACTGACCAAGCCCACACCTGCTGAGCCCCACTGGGTTGCCAGTTGTGAGTTGCAAGGTGATAAATCTATAATTAGGCTTGCCAGGAAAATGTGCTGAGATCACAATTGGCTGGCCATTGGCAAGATTTCTCTTGTTTTGGTTGCTCTGTTTCTTGAAGCTGGTCGAGTGACACGGCTGGTTAGTGTCAGGTTGGCAGCTTGAGTTAAGAGCCGAGAATGAGCAAGGTTACATTGTTGGACAGGACCTTTTAAGTCCAGCGAGTAGGGTTGTAACGTCATCAGGTGTATTGTCTTTGCCCTAGCAGGTTCCTCATTGGTTGATCGTGCTTGATTGACAGGATACCTCCAGCTAGAGGATACCTCCTTGCCTCCTTGGGCTTACAGAGAAAGAAGCTCTGAGTGTTGGGCCCTTCATCAATGCATATGTCAAGAGGGAGCCCAATTTATGAATTGGATCTGATCCTGGTTTGTTTTAGAGTCAGACATGCTGCTTTTCAGGGAGGCCCCTCTCAGACGCATTCCTACAGGCCGGAATAAACGGAGCATGCGTTATTGTTTGTTCAAGACAACAAAAAGAGTATTCGAAATTTTTGTACATTTTTCTTCAGTGTAATGAACCTTGCTGCTCCACACCAGTGATGTAAACTATTATTGCACTGTTTATTCCTAACCTTTTGAAACATTTATATATAACCTTGTTTTATCAATGTCATTCCCTCAGAAATCTGTGAAACTGACCTTATGACCTTCATTCTGTGTCCTTAGAATACAAAGCAGATCACCCTCCACAGAAATGAAAATAGTTTAAAAAAAAACACATGGACAAGGATTAGGGTAACATCACAGGCAATGATGTGGTGCCTAGTGGAGAGTGATTTGAGCTCTTTTCCTCCTATTCCAAATAGGAGACCCAGCAATGAGGATTTCAGTTTCAAAACCAAGTGCTGTATATCGCAGGTTGGTTGCAATAATCTTCAGAATGCTTTTTCTCCTTTAGAGATAATTCGTAATTTATAGCAAAAAATTTTTTTCAATAATTTCTTACCTTCTTCGTGTTAAGTTCTCCTTACGTTCTATAATGAATAATGCAGCTTAAAGTAACTGAGTCTATTTTCAACTCTGAATATGAATTTCCAAGAGCTATATCGGTGTTCTATTGCAGAATCACATCTTGGGTAACAAGCAGGATGTGACTAAAGTCCGTCTGCCTCAATCTCTGTAATTTGGCATTTTTTTGCTTGCTTTTTAACTAGTTTGAGCTCATTTCTGCCTCCAACTTACTGATAATGCTAAAACGTCTTCATAGAAATTAAGCTGTGGTTTTGGGTGATTGCTTCAAATTAGTTCCGATTATATTAAATCTGGCTGATTAGGTGTTATAAAAAAGATTGAATACATTGTCTAAAGGATATTTTTATTAAATACAAGTAAAAAATGACAGTGTTTAATATGTCATGAATCTTAAATGGCTTGTGTATGCTTCATATGCATATTAAAAATACCATTAACATTAGGATGCTTGCTGGTTTTAAAATGTCTCAAATTGCATTGAGTATATTAATGCTACAAACAACAGGAGGCCACTACTAAACTCTCTTTCTGGTTATTTTTCAACCAGTAGTTTCCTGAAAAAAGCCAGGGTGTCAGTTTAAACAATATGACAGGTTTTATCTTGTTCCGAACACTCACCTTTTGTGTAAAGGGTAATGTTCTTAGTGTTAGGTGTATGTTTACATATAGTTTCTAATTGTCTCCTGTTTCTAACAATGAATAATTCTGATATCAAATATCCTCTTGCTAATCCCCTATGCTGTAATGCTTTAAGATGGTCAATATCAATCATGTCTAATGATGAAATAATCATAATTAGGCTTTGGAGACAGAACTGCAACATTAATTGGGTGTTGAAGTTACAGCCATGAGGTGTTTAAGAACATTCATTCTGTCTGGAATGTGATGACCTTAAGATTTAAGATTTAAGTCAGTACTTGGCAATCTGTGTAGACCTTTGCCATCTTTTGTTACCACCTTAACCCCTCTCTCTTTAGATTCCATGAGTTCTGTATACGAGGCTGGTGTATTGTGGGAAAGAAGCAGACCTGCCCATACTGCAAGGAGAAGGTGGACCTCAAGAGGATGTTCAGCAATCCGTATCCTTTGGATTTTTGTTTCTCGTCACGCTACTCCGCTGGTGCAGGTCCAGTGCAATGTGGAGTTAACACATGGACGTTTAATTTGTTCAAGCCTTCTGAACACCTGGAGTGTGGCATTGAGGCCCACTGTCTGATAGACACGACAGTCAGGATTCCTGGAGGATAAATAAGCTTGATAATTGAGCAGACAAGCTGGGGAGCTGCAAAATTTAACGAAACATGGACTTGAGCTGGAATTTTTTTAGGGAATTGAGCGAGTTTTATTTGAAGAAATCCAACTCAATTAAAACTTTTTTTTTTACTTCATATAGAAGTACAAATGACATACAGTCAGCTTCAATTCTTGTGAAGCTATGAATTTGACTTCCTCATACGTGGGCTGGTTTCCAGCAGATTTTAAATTATAATTTTAGCATCGATACGTGTAGACTGTATGGCAGCATTTTACACCATTTACATACTGCAGACCTGCAATCTGCTTGTCTAAAATGTGGGCTGAACAATGCCCTCAAGTGCCCATATCTGTGTGTTCTTATTCAGTATTTTCTATCTTTTATCATCTTACCAGTTCTATCACATGACATTTAAAGGTCTGTGGAAATTTTTTTCATGCTGTTTTTGTAGAGTCATATTCTTAACCACGTATAGACCTGAACTGACTTTAAGTAGTTGGTCATGTGAACTCATGTGATTAATATAAGGTCATACTTTGAAGTAAGCTAATATTTATATCGAAAGGGTTACTCTAGACTTATATCTATACTACAGAAATATTTTATGTATGTATGTTTTTATTAGGAGCCAAGGTTTGAACAGTTAGTCAACCACAGTGCAATGTAGATTATTCTATAGGTAAACTACAGTGTATACATATTCCACTTGTTTTATATGATTGGTTTATTATACAGAACAAAATTAGTCTGAAAACAAATAAAAGCACATCTTAATTTGCTTTTGCTAGCTCTGTAGTCATTTCAGCAGAGCTTGCCCTAAGAATTGTTAACAAAATCTTGGAAATTTAGCTTATTGATATCTTAACTCTGCTTTTCTTTTCTTATTGGATTGTCATCTGGTTACAAAGCTGTAGGGAAATTGTAACTTGTATTTTGTTGTCCTTGGGGGGGAAAATGAAAATTGTGGAAAAAAAAGGCTTAGGTTGCAAAACATGGCAGACTTCTGAGGAAAAATAAGTCTTAAAATAAGCATTAGAGAGGAGAAGCACATTGCAAAACAATCAAACATTCATATGTCAGCTTTGTACCTTACAGCCGGTGAGGACATAGCTGCTGAGTAATATGTATCTGATGCTGTTCCTGATACAAGACCATTTATCCAGAATAGAAACTAGTAATCGTTTGCAATAATTACACTTTATCTGAACCTTGTGTCCTAACTAGGATTTATAATTCAACTTTTCTATAAATTGCATTAACAACATGACATGATTGATTTGTTTTAAATTACGTTTGTTTAATTTGCTTTAAAGTAAGTTTGACTTACTTGACAATGGATTCTTTAAAGTTTTGTTTCTCTAGTGACATATGCAAGATTTGATTTACAGTAAGTGCTTCCTTCTTGCCTTGCAGTTTAGCAGTATCCTGGGTTATTGGATAAAATATAAGAATAAACAAATTCTTTTTGGCCTTTTTTTAAATAGTTTCTTCACTCCCACTGATTTTTGAAGTACATTATATGCCATGATTTTACATTGCTTTCGTTTTGGGAAAAAATGTAGCTGACTAATTCTAATTTAGGAGAAATGCCAGTCTGTCATTGTATTATGCGATCTTCTTCAAGCTGTTGTAAAATGGTTTGAGGACTCTGGACTATACAGTTTTGTAATAGTATTGAAGGTAAATTTTGAAAGCAAAAGGGCCATGCTTTATGTGGACCGTTATAAACTCCTCTGGCTCTAAAGCTGTTACCCGTGTGAATTTTCACAACAGGTGATGTAAACTATATGTGGTCAGAAGATACAGACACCCACACCCATGCACACCCCAGAACACTTGTATCACTTGGTGAGGAAAGGCTGACTCATGTGTGGTTCAAAAAAGAGCTTAGCTATTTTTCATCCAAGTTTCTGTATGATTTTATATGTGTACTGTTTGGTTTAAAAAAAGCTGAATTTTTATAGTATATGAAATGTGGTAATTTGTTAAAAAACATATATAAGTAACCAATAAAGTGAGGTACTTCAGTTCTGACTTGTTACTTTTGGAACACCACCTAGTAACTGACACTTGAGTCCTTTAAATTTGATTGACACTGTAGTACCTCGCTTACAAATATGTGCTTTCTCCACAGTAGTGAACATGGTCAGTAATTTGTTGGTAATTTTTTTTAACATCCCTAATACTTGAATACTACAGGGCAGATGACTGTAATTTCCTGTGTCGCACAATGTGTCCTTAGAGGTTTTCTGTTGGTGTGGTGTTGTTTGCTATGCATGGGTGTCTTACTGACACAGAATAAGATCAACAGGTGACCTTTTTAAAACAATTAATGTGTGCAGGTGTTTTAGTTATTTCCCATCACTATTTTGTATGTTAAGCCCTTTTGTGACGAAAACAACCAGTCAATATTCTAACACTTCTGTGTTTTGTCAAACTTCCGTTTTTTATGAACAACAGAATTTCTTTTAACTCTGAATCCTGACAAGGTATTGTAAAACAGTATTTTGTAGGCTCTCCCCCCCACCCCATCAGAGCTATTTTGTTGTTGTTTTTTAAATCCTAAACAGAGAACACCACAGTATTTGTTTGATTAGCTTAAAATGACCAGATTTTTTTGGTTTACTGGTACTAAGATATTTCTGAATATTCTGATAGAATGTTTTGGTTTGTGGAGCTGTAATGTCCTTAATATGTTGAAGAACATTGTGACTTCCTTAACTGCACACAACTAGCTGGGAGAGGCCTCATGTCATGTATGGACAGCTGCTGGACTGGCTACGCTACTTGGTTGCTTGGCAACCTGTAATCATTGGCCTAGTGCAGGGAATCAACTACACCCTGGGACTTGAGTAGATATGGATCCCAAGAGAGAGATCACGTGTTGGGCACAGTATCTGGACGGAGTCTTCAGACCGCCGGCTGTGTTGCAAACAACTTGGCTTGTTGGACAAACTCACTGGGGGGAAAGTAGGACTTAATAATGGACTAGAATATATATATATGTACATATATATGAAAATCTGTATTTAAAAAAAAATGGAAATTTTACCAGCAGTTTGGGTTCCAATATTCCAGGTTTTTTGTTTCTTGTTTGTACACAATACCACTTGGGACTTACTCATTCAGGATTTTTTTAATGAAACGAACGCATTGAGAGAATTAAGGAACCGTTTTCATTTTAAACCTGTCAGCAGTATTGAAATGTTTCTAAACTTGTTTGACTTCTGGAAAATGTTTGTCTGTCTGTTCTTCAGCACCGTCTTGTGATTTAACAGTCCGTTTCACCCGTTTTAAATATGACTGTAACAGATTGCCCACTAAAGCTCCCTACCCATAAAAAAAATCCTCACTGAAGAATCTGGTTTGCCGAACCTGAGCAACCCTTGGCTCAGCCATTTTCACCTCCAAAGTGCTTCCACAGAGCATTTCCACAATAAAGCAATATTGAATAAGTGACCTGCATTGGAAAAGCCTCTTACATGTGGTGCACAAAAATGTTGATGCATTTGCAGATATAAACTGTTTTTAAAAAAGCTTTTAACTGAAGTGTTTATGCCATGATGGAAAATTCCCCAATCCTAAAGGGTTTAGTGTTAATTTAGTAAAGAAACTTTTTTCTGGATTCTTTGTGCACGTTTCTTAATGTTCCACTGCTATATGAGGAAACTGGCACTCATGAGGACCGAAAAAGTTCAGGAAGGCCAAAGGTGACTTTGGAATCAGGGAATGTGTTCGTTAGAGTCACAAGTCTGTGAAATACAAGCCAGTTTGAGTGCCGTTTTTTTCATATCGTTTGATAGTCTTGGCCACAGCAGTAACTGACACTTGCAAAGTTCTTACATGTTTACCTTCATTTCTCAAAAGTGATTATAGACTTCTTCCTTGCTTAACTGAGCAAATTTTGCCATGGTCATTCAGGAATTCCAAACTTTTGCCCATGCTCCTTATATTTATTGTTATCATGGACGCTCATGTGTTTACTTATAATTGATGACAAAAGGTAAATGAGATAATATACTAGTTAACTGTGAGAACATCTAACAAATACAATTCTAAACTTCTTTTAGTGTTCTAACACCATGTCATACACATTTTTGCCTTTTAACTAACCTGGGCTTCAGGCTGAAATCTAGTTGCTTTGGGTGTTCATTTTATTGAAAATGATGAATTCACGTTTTCAATGCAGTTCACTTAAGATTATATGTACAGATATCGTGTAATTTAAATATTAAGTGTTTATAGAGTTTAAAGCACAGATAATAATGAAAAACCTGGTTTCAAGGAGGTGTACTCAAACTTTTGACTGGTACTGTATATATTCCTTAGGACAGCAAGATGTCAGTGATGTGTTGTTTAATACAATAAAAAAATATGTTCAGTGCCTTAAGATAAGAACTAGCCCTGGGCTATTTTCACAAATAAGAATGCTAATGCAGAGAGAGAAGTCTCCAAATGCAGCTTGAAATCAAAAACAGGTTTAATTCCTCTGACATATTTAGGGAACACATTTTAGTTACAGTAAATAAACCTTTGAATATTAAAAGACATTAAACCATTCCCCAACCAATTGTGTCCTGGGAGTCTCAAAGACCCTTGTCCTGCAAACACAAAGTATAAGTGTGTGGCTGTGCTGATGGCAAAACCGATATGCAGGAATGGTGAGTTAGATTTGAAACATGGATCATGGATTCATATAGTCTGTAGGCCTGGATACTGCTGAATGTTGAACCAACTGTCCATTTAAGAGGGAAGATTACTTGATGAGCAGGGTACAATTATCAGTGAGGAACCTGACAAAAGCATAAGCCACTTTTTGCTGATGTGATTTTTAGTTCTATTGGTGGAAATAAGGTATTTTACAGGCAGCCCTTCATTTAGCTACTTGCACTCAAATGGGGAGGCCAGGGGAACTGTTTAGTTACTTTGTAGGTTTTCTGATATTATTCTATTAACACTCAGCATTTACAGAGATCTCATGTCTCTTGGATAACTCTGATGCAAATGTAATTGAAATGGCCATAGTAGTGCCACATTTTATCTTGCATTTTGTTTTTGTTTTTTAATCTGTATCCCACAAAACAGCCCGGAGTCAAGATGCAATGAGTCAAGAGTAGTGTATATGACATTTGTGAGCTCCCTGCTACCTCACTGGTTAAAAGCAGTCAGGAGTCCTTCCCATCTCATTTAAGCCTACATTTTACGTAGCTACCGTACTTGTCAGGCATGACTATGGGAAAGCCCATTCAATCTTTCATCATTGGGAAGCCTCTTATCGTTCCCAATATCCCAGAAATATACGGACTCCGCTGAGCACACGTGCATTTTAGAAATACCGATTTAAACAAACTCGGGAACCGGGAACTGCGAGACGGCTGTGCTGATTCCAATGCTGACGACATCGTACTGTCTTCCCAAACACGTGAATTGGAAAAGGTGTTTTCGTAGAGATTATGCACATTCGGACGTTTATTTTTTTGTCCTGCTTAATACAATTGTTATACTGAAGGTCTCGGTTTTTGAACCCTCCCAGAAAGCGTACACATTTCTGTTTGTGACTGAGATCAAGTTCAGCTTCCTTTATCAGAATTATTATTCGGGGTGGTCCAGAGATCGTCTTAGATCCTCAATAAGTGTTCATGCAATGTAAATCAAACTTAACACTTTAAGAGAAACAACGTTTATCGAAAGATAAAAGCGTGTACTTAGTGTTTAACTCCTTGTCTTTTTTTGGCTTACTTTTCTTGAGGTTCATTTCTCATATTGTTGCAAAAAAAATTTGCTTCTCCCACATAATGTGTTTTAGGTCTTTCCTAACGTCTGGAACAGGGGTAGGCTAATTAAGACCTGTGCTGAATTTAAAGGATTCCTAGATATTCAGCAATTTGTTCAGTGGATAATTAAAATATGAATTATTCGTGTAATTGTGGTGCTTTAAGGGTGTTATAGTTATATCCACAATAATTTCTTACACTATTTTCACTGTTGGTTTTCGCAGCAGGTAGTACTGTACTGAGTTCCTGAACTGTATAACGTCATTCAGTGACGTCGTTAAATATCGCACATATTCATGTATTCCCATGTTTACTGTAATTTATTATTCATTGAAAATGTGCATTTACGGCAATTCTAGGCTATAATGTTTCAGGTAGGAAACTTTGACGTGACACCTGTAAAGCAACCACGCAGCGTTTTCTGTTTTGTTCTATGTGTGCTTGAGGGGAAGTAACCGCATTCCTCATACAGTACATAAAAAAATAGCTGCCAGTGGCCGCTGTAGCTCACAAGCACGGAGCATTCACACCAGATCGCCAACTACTAACTAGAGACAGCAGCATGACCTGTGAGCGGTTCACCAGCACTCACGCAGGTAAAAACCGACTACTTATAATTACATTGCTTGTCTTGTTAGCTAGGTTTTCTGACTTTTCTACGTTATTCTCAATTTCTTTTTGGATGCCTTTTTAAATGTGGTGATGAGTGATAGCCTGTGAGTGCCCATGAAAAACTCGAACATTAATGTATCTTTCTTTCACGTTTTAATATATTTAATTGCAATGTTTGTGATTACAATTAGAGCAAACAAAAATGTTGAATAAATGGATTTAACAAACGTGTTATGGTTTGATCGAAATTAGTATGTTTATAAGAATATGGGATGTTTAAGAAGATATATACTGTAGAACTTAAACTGAGGTTTTACTGGTTTTAAAGTAAATCAATCAGCAAAAAAAAATCTAAAACTGTAGAGTGCTTTGAAATCCTTGAAATAATGTATAGGTCCTAGGTTGTATATAAAACTACACCAAGTAGTCGAATGACTGTAAAAGGTAGCAAGTCATTTAACGTTTAGTAATAGGTGATCACAGTAGCTCCTCATTGCTGTTTAGATCCTTTAAAAAGTCAAATTTAACCCTAAGTGTATCATGTATTATCTCAAAAGGAGAAAGACCAAGTTACATGTTCCTGTTGATTAACACTTCAGCTGCGTTAGGTACAGGGCAGCAGAACATAATACTATATATAGCATTTATAATTAACCAACATCTTTCCACTCAGAGGAGCGTGTGAAGCTAACTTTGACCGTAGAGCACAGAACAGTCCACCCTCGAATGGTTTGTGGTTTGTCTGCCATCTATTGGGTTTCACACTCAGTCACATATGACTGCCTGAGAAAACCGTATAGAATTTGAGTCAAAAACCCTGCGAAGAGACAAAAAAGTTAGAAAGGCACAGTTGAACGTTTGCATCAAATTTGCAGGATTGCACAGAGTTTTCTCAAGACAAGAAATGGGACCTTCCTCACTGGTTTGATGGCCTGTTTCTGAAGCTCATGTGGTTTCTCCTTAGGTACTGGGTCCTTGAGACTGTTCATGACCGCGGCTCTGTGCAGCTCCCTCTGCCTCCTGCTGGTGGAATCCTCCTCAGGTCTGTCTCCAGCCATCTTGCAGTTCATTCAGCAGCTCATGTGCCTGAGAGCCATCAGAATTTCCTTTCATTCACTCTCTTAAATTACCTGAGGGAACTCATTCTCTTTTGAATGTCTTTTTTACTGATATTTCATCATGCAAGACAAAATAATATATGGAAAAGGTTAAATTATATCAGGTCTTGTATGCATATCCATTAAACTCCAGTATATTAAATACAAATTAGAAAGATATCAAAGTGAATTTATTTAATTTCTCCCATTTAACACATTTCCCCAATCTTAGCTTGCTGACAAATTGAAGAGAACCCCAAAATATTAAGGGCCAGATTCATTGACCTTATTTTTAAATGACTTAAGTCATTAGAAATAACGCAAGTTTCGTAGCACATTTGTTTTAAAAAGTCTTTCTGTTTTTATAGTATTTTTAATTTTGCTAGAAGACCTAGTGTAAGAAATATAGAGCAGCAAAGACAGGATTTCAGAAGTGCAGTAAAAATCAAGTACATTCTAATTTCAGTTACCATTTGATTTATCAGCTAATTGTTTTTATTTTGTCTGTCAGTGTCACCTCCAACAATAATAGAACCAAGAAGATCTCAAGTCAGGGCTGCAGTGGGTAAGGTTATCCATTTCTTTCCTTATTCTGTAGTGCATACAATGTGTGTTATTAATACCCCTTAGTTTCTCTTTTAGTATTCTTTTAATTGAAACTGGTGTATTAATTTACATTCATATTAGTTTGGGTCCCTTTCCGCTTTTCTTGTTCAAAGAGCTCCAATAAGTTAGTTAAGTAAGATCTGTCTTCTGATGTGACTTCTCAAATCCTGCTCCAATAATAACTGTACTTATAGTTAGAATAAGCTTGGCTGTCTGACAAAGTACTTCGCACCTGACAAGCTAGTGAGACAGGTTTTTGTTCTTACAATTTTCTGTTTCCAGCTTGTACTTTACCAATGGAAACCTCTATAGCCAAATGATTTCCATACAACACTTTAAAGGATAAAATAGTCAACACTAATGTGCATTATTGAATGTCTGTTCTCTTTTCATTGCTATGCAATAGTCAGGATTGCTATGCATGAAAAATAGCAGAAATAGGTTTATTACTGTACATTTAATTTATAATAGGAGAAGAAGGACACAGAGCACAAAGAATTAGCATGAAACCAGTCTTGCATTTGATTGACAATTCATTTTAAGGCTACTTCATGCTTACATAGAGTGCAGAAATACATTATGGGGCCAGTGAAATGATGTTATCAGTGGCATGGTAGCAAAGCACAGGGCTCAGCTGAACTTTAGCTTTCAAGCCTTAAAATGGAGCTTACAGATCATTCTTGTGGGTGCATGTCTAGGAAAGCCTCTAGTCATTCCGTGCAAGGCTGATCCTGGATTCCCTGATGACTTCAGTCTCATCTACTGGCTGGCGAACAGAACCTTCATTGAAACTGCATACCCCAAAAACAATATCAAGGAAAGTGAAGAGAAGTAAGTGCTCTTTCATTGCTTCTTTCAAAAAGCCAGTTGCTGAATAGAACAAGTGAAAGCAGCATTAGACTGCATGTCTCCTCTGTGCAGCCTAGGCATTCAAATAACTGACAGACTTCTTCATACTGTCTCAGTAGTGCTGCTGTGTAAGCCACAAATTCTCCATCTGTAGGACCTTGTAAGTGCATGACCTCAGAAGGCACATTTCAGATGTCTGGAGAGCAGAAAATCAGATAGGCAGGATGTGGCAGAGGTTCAAAGCACAGCCAGTTCCAAGTGTTGATGTTTGCAGTAGCACGTTGTGGTCTCTGACAAGTGACAGCATCGAAACAGCTTGTACAGGTCTTCCATACCCTTTTGTACAAATTACGTCAGTTGGTTCTCTTGTGTCTTCCTCCAGTGACTATGACTCAATACTTCATGAGCTGGGTAAGGAGCGGACAGTGGGATTCCCTAAATAAAATCTACCTGTCCAGAGAATGGTTGAGTTCTGGTATTTTGGCGTGGTAGCGTTTCTGGATGCTGTCTTTTGCTTTTGCAAAAAGGACAATGTACCCACATTGGGTTACACAACCTGCTAACCATGTAAAGAAACCTGTCACTTGGTTTCTTCCTGAAAATACTAGGTAGCAAGAGGTCCACATGATTCACTTTATTCCATTAGTAGATAGATGGCAGTAAGTTCCCCCTGGTGCAGAACCTATCAACCTAATGCTCCACTATATGGGGTCCAGGGACACTGTGCTGTAGGAAGTGTCATCCTTCATGTGAAACATGAAACTGAAGTCCTGGCTACTCGGTTGTTAAACTATTCCCAATAAGGGTGTTAATTCCAGGCTCCTGTCTTAATTCCACTTTGGTCTAGTTAGTATAATCTTGTTTCCCTGCATTTCCCCCTTAATTCAGTTAGTGAAGCAGTTTCTCACTTCTCCACCTGTTCTGCTGTGTAGTAGGGACACTGCCTGTGTTTCAGGTGGGTGCAGCACTTCATTGGTACATAGTAAAGAGAAATGAGTAAGTACTGTGCTCTTATGCCACAGTCCTGACTAGCTCTTTTGGTAGCGCATAAGGCTCAATCTCAGGGTAGTGGGTTCGTGTCCGATGTTGGGCACCAGGTCCTCCATGTTGGAGGTTAGGCACAAGGCTAACAACCCTGTCCCGCAAGAAAACAATGTTACAGTAACAGCAACAGGATGTTTCTGCCCCTATGTGCTGGAAGGCATAACAGGCGAACATCCATCTTGTGCCACAGTACATACTGCATAAATGAGTGTGCTCTAATAAAAACATCGGTTGCCTGGACCTGTGGCAGAAAAAAATACTGCTGCAGCTTCAGTCTTAATTCTAAGTTATTCCTTTTTAGTTTTGCATAATTCTGAAATGGGGAAACATGTTTTTTCGGTTCTTGTTAAAACCCAAATGTCCATTAATATTAATCTTTTAGTTGATGTGGCCTCTTCTTCATTTTGTTTCTAGGACATACACAAAAGACGGCGTAAACTACATCCAAAGAGACCTGATGTTTGAAAAGGTAGCCAAAAAGGATTTTAGAAGTGTCTTCACTTGTGTCGTCAATAATCCAGCTGGCATTGTCACACAAACCATCAAACTGGGTAAGCAATACTGTTTTGTTATCTGTGACAGACTTCTCTGCAGTAATTTCCATGACTGTTCCAAAATCCTAAAAAAAATTAAATGACTTAAACACTTTTGAGTAATTGGGCACTTTTACAGCTAAATGGGAAAAAAGACCAGAATAAGCTGCCTCTGGGTGGTACAAATTGCATAGATACAGTATTTTATGTGGTCAAAACGAAAACATGTTGTTTTGGTTGTTTTACCACTTATATGTTGTGTATTCCAAGCATTTCAGTTTTAGGAGCAGGCTACCTGTATTCCACAGTTCTGAACATGGAAATGTGCTATGGAGTAGAGGAGGAGATACTATTTAAAATTGCTACAAGCACCACCCCTAAATTAAACTGTTGCATTTATGGCTCCTTTGAGTTAGTAAATCAAGAGTACATGTAACACTCTTATGTTAAGAATGGTTCATGTAGTGAAATGTAAAATATTTTGTATATGATGGATCCTGTTCGGATAACTGTGTATAATTTAAGACTGCAATAAATCCTGAAAAAGGCCAATTTTCTTCACAGTTAATGTACAAAGGAGACGTGTGGTAAGTGCAGTTTTTCTCATACTGCCTTGTAATGTTAAGCTCTTTAAATAAGCAACTTTTTCCTGCAAGCTTTCATACAGTCTGTATATAGCACTGACAGGAAAGAGTGTTTGCATAAGCCTAATTTGCTTTGTGATTTTCTTAATTATAAGTAAAAACAAAATGTACAAAGTTAGGCTCCTGGAATGTGTTTCTGGCTGCTTTTATAAGCCAAGGAAGACTTGGCAAAAATACAATGTAAAATGTAGTACGAGGCCACAGGTTTGAAAATTAGCAAAGAATTAATCTCTGAATCTGAACTGACTTTTGATGCAACACAGTTAGCTAGCTGACATGCCCTGGAGGGGAGATTTTGCATGAATATGGGGACAGGTTTCAGACTAAGGAGTGAGAGGTAACTTGGTGACTGCAGTTAGCTGCAGAGAAGGGCGAGCATAAGTCAAATGGGTTACATCCCCCAGATCCTGCTGGGTCTAACCTTTTCTGGACCGTATACAGATTAGACACCCTGGTACATAGGTAATGGCAGATTTGATGGACTTTAAGAGTCCAATCCCTGCAGTAAAGTGAAATAATGATAGTGGGGGACTCAATAAAAATATAGAGAGTGTAGCGTGTCTGAGTGATAGTGTCCAGGTTCTGAACCTCCTTGACTGAAAAGATCGGGATTAGGATGAATTCAGTTGTCACAGTTCAATGGAATTATAGGCCGATCATACTGTGAGACAAATTTAAAAATCCCCGGGTGTTTCTTGAAAAGAGTAGGGGTGTAACCCCGGCGTCCTGGCTAAAATTTTCATGCCTCCTAATAATCCCCCTCTATGAATTGGCTACATTACTTTGTTCTACTCCCACCCTCCCCCTCCCCCTCCGAGTGCAGGCGGCGCGACGCACCGGTTGGAGTATTCTCGGTCGCATTTAATCAGCTCAAAGATTTGGTTCAAACCACCAAATGGAGACGGTGTATGCTGACAAGTGGACCCTGCTGATGGGGGATTAACGCTAGGATGAGAGAGAGATACTGTGAGACAAATTTGAGGATTTATTTTATAAACCTAGGAGCAGAATATCTACTTTGGTCTGTTCTGGACCACAGCTGCCACATGCAAGGCCAGGGAAGCAAGAGGGATCATGGAGATTTAGCTCATTACAAATAGTGGCAAAGAAAGTCGTTCTTGAGTAATTGGGACGTATACAAGAGGTGGTGTGGTGGTACAGATTATAGTGGAACCACAGGGGCCTCAATGAATAAGTAAATTCTAGACTTGGAATGGTTGAGGAATATCGAAACAAGGGAACTGGAGGGCACAGAACTCAGAACAACTGTGTTGCAGAAGTAGGCAGGGTCTGTGTGATTATGTTTGTGTTATGCCTTAGCAGTGCATGTGTCTTGTGGAATCATTCTTGTGCTAATTACCCTCCTTCCTATGTTTGAATGTATACACATCACTTTTGTTTCCATAGCTGAGATGCGATTCCAGCAGACAGTAAACAGCTCACACTAATGAATAAGGTGTCAACATTCCAGACGGAGATGTAAAAAGGGCTTCCCATCCATTTGCAGTCCTAGGAATCTTCAACCTGTGTAACTGAAAGCAACCACAAGTAATACAGTACATGGCAGATGGATTCATCTTGCAAAAAGTACTGTAGTGTTTCTGAAACAACTCTATATAATTGATGTCAAGTGTAATTACATTTCTGGATTTCATTGCATTTGATTAAAATCTCAAAATAACCTTAACATTGACAGTGTTTAAATCATACTAGAATGAACACTGTTCTAAGGAGGAATATGCAGCCCACCACATTGGTGAGGTATCAATAATGGATCAATCTTTTCAGAAGACTCTCCAAGTGCCACATCTATGGTTAGGTATTTTGGTTTAGGCATCAAATCATTGTATATGAAGGCATGTGACTATGATTTCAGTGTAAAAAAATCTTATCAAAATTTAAACCTAGGTTCAAGAGCACGGTTTAATGTGGTGGTGCTGGTCTTTGAACATTCTATGACAATTCCCTTTTTTAGCAAGGCTTACAAAATGACTGCAATAGTTTACATTAGGCTTTTATTTGTGTATTTTACTGCTTATATGCTGTACAGTTTATGACAATTATTCAGTGTTCCTCTGTGGCTTTCCTTATTGTCTGAGGAAAAAAAGTGAATCAACACCTATATTAGAAATGGATTCTGCCATGAAGGGCCAGTATCCATACTGTAAAAGAACTTCCTTAATAAAAAAAAAAACTGATGGGTTTCAGTCCTATTTTTTTTTCAGCTGATTCATTATTGAAAGAACAGGGCATGTTTAATACACATTTGAAATCTTGAAGGAGTGAATTAAATGAGCAAGGGAAAATGAGCAAAAAGTATCTGCATAAATTAACAACAGAGAACTGTTACAATAATTCAGAACATTGTATAGTTTGGTAGGCAAATGGTTGCCTACAAGACTTCTGCATCCTTATTCCCTGTCTGAGAGCAGGAGGGAGGATCAGTGGAATGAGATGCGGATTATAACGTAACTGTACTTTTCCTGTTGACAAGATATCTGATTGAATTAAAACAACCGATTCCTCTTCATTCCTCACATTAATCAAGTCACAATCATCTTTTAGATTGTGTGCATTTCACATTCCTTCCCATTCATATTTGGAGCACTTTAAACAGGGTAAGAAAAATGCATGAAGCAGTTTTTGTTTTCCATTTTATTGGAAGGGAATGATATACAACCGGGAAACAGATTGTGAAGAAATAGGGAAAAAAGGCAAGATGGAGTACATTATTAAAGTCAGCAGCAAGCTTCCTTTGTATATGATAATAATGGAAGCAAAATACTACTAGAGTTTAAAAGAGATTATTTGCATCCCCATTTTGTGCAAGTCATCCAACACTCGAATCACCTTTCTCTTCAGAAGCTGAAAGTGTAAAACTAATTATAAACCTTACAGAAATCTTAGACTAAAATCTCAGCTGTTGTGACCTAAAACTAAAAAGAGTATAGCTATATATACTGAACCCAATATTCAGGTGTTCTTTAAAATCAAAGTGTTCATACATATTTGGCAAAATTGTACTTAATGACCTCATTAAATAAGTTATTTTTGGACCATTTTTTCTCCTACGAATGTGTTTGTAATTAGTTTCAGTGTTCTTGTAACAAACCCACAGTTCTGCCTGGAGAATTTTAGCAGTTAAAGTTTTTTTAACTTGTATGAAACAGACTGTTTCCCAGCTACACAAAGCTTGTGGTCACGCTGCACCAACTCCACAGGAATCAAACTCTTAAAACCGAAGGTTTTTCCATGTTCCTCTTCGGTGTTCATACTTCACACAGAGTGTAAAAGAGACCCTCATTATAATGAACTACCCTTTATGGTGAGAAACACAGTAGCTACTACCTGTACTGTCTGAGTGCAATAAAAACAATATATAAAGGCACAAATCAAAAAGGCTCTAGTTGCATAGCATGTGCTGCCTCAAATGTTTTAAGAAAAGGAAAAAAAGGCATTACAAATGTTTTAAAATAAAAATGTTAGAATGCCTTTAGGAATGTTAATTTAACAGTGAAATTAAACTACACCATTTTTTTGTATTAGGGAAAGAAAAAGTGATTTGCATGACATGGTAGGATTTGTTGAAAATAGCCCAACATGTTTGCCTCACTGATAAAAAGTTTGAAAACAAAAAATATTTAAATTCCATACTCACTACCGATTGAGTTAGGTTTTATTCCCCTAAAATTTTACAATTTCCAATCATTGTCCATCAATGACTAGCATATTGTGGTGGCTCATAGTTTATGCAAACATCATGGGCTTTCTGAAGTCCCCAATTTCCATTTCAAAAACAAATCGTAAAGTTTGTGAGATAAGACATTTAAAAAGTAAAAAAAAAAAGTCTGGATAATGTCTGGTCTATAAAATAGACCAGTTTACATAAATATGAATAGCCTTTAAAAATTCTAGCCTTTTGAAATAGTCATCCAAAATAACTAGGACATTTAGGCCCTCAAGCAAGAGTTCTGTTTTGCTTAAATACAAAAGGGACACTGGCTTTCTATACCTCTTGTTGTTCCACATTATTTAAGAGTGAAAATGGTCAGCGACTTCACAAAGTACAAATGTGCAAAAAACATTTATTTATAATTAAGTTTAAGCACTAACTATACTGCATAATAAAAAATATTTTACAGGGGGCATGAAAGTGAAGGAGGGTAGACTTAAGTTTTCCCAGTATTGTAATTCAATTACATATTGACCCTGGAATGTTGAGATCTCCCTTCCTATGGCCTTAATTTTGCTTGACAGAATTATGTCAAAGGTTCAACTGTTTCCGACCCTGAGGGATAGCCCATGAATTCCGGAAGGCGAGAAAGGAATCAATGTATGGTCAGGTTTACACTTCTGGAGGAACAGGATTGTTTTGGATATCATGTGGCCGTGTTCCACTGAAAAGCCAAGGTCAGAAGGGTTTTGTGAGAGACAATGTAAAGTTCACCCTAATCTTCCCTTCCACTCAGTCACCTGGCTGGCTTCATCACTGCAGATTATTATATCTTCATGTTTTTCATTGGCTTACGACTCATCTGAAAGGAAAGAAAAAAAACATTTAAAGAATAGATTCACTTCAGGCCATCATCCTTGACTGTTTTTAGACATTCCACATGCATGATCTGACAGAATGGCAATACAGATCAGTGTGAATGACTCATCAACCACTGGTGCACAACCTAAACAGACCTTATCCTGCACTTAAACAAAGGGAAGTCAAATACTGATTTAATATGTTAAAAAATGGCAAGTTTAATTAAATAAAAAATAAAACTGAAATCTGTCCATTGTAGAGTAACACACTGAAGAAAGTGAGTTCCTCTTCCCAGTGAAAGCTCATAATTAATACCCAAGTGCTATAAAAGCCTAAACCCAGGAGCTCCAGTCAAGCCAGGTGCACAGCAGCTCGAGTGAGGGTGAAGAGATTGGAGCGCTGTGAGAATGGTAAAGAGAACGTAGTTAAACCTTCATCTGGGAGTTTTTATTCCAGGTGTCCCCCTTCAGGTGTCTGGTCAAAGGACAGGTCCATTAGACAAGGATGAGGGCATTTATTTGAAATAATAATAACACTGCATATTTGGGTTACGGAAAAAAATGTAAAACAAACTTCCCAAACTGACAATACTGTATCGAATGAATTTCTAAAAGAGGAAAGAAAATCCTTCATGGATATTTCTCCCCCCCACTCTTCTCGCGTTCGGCGATTCCGAGATCAACTCAACTACTATCATACGAACCTCAACAGTATTACCTAAATTATAAACAAGGCTTCAAGCATAGCCCTGACTTTTAGGAAGGAATGATATTCACATTCCTGAAGATTACCTAACAATTGTCCTTTGGTGACAAACCACAGGAAATCTAATGATACTTATCTAACATAATGGACACCAATGGTGCTCTCACAACTTATTATGCATTACTGTAAATATGTTTATTAAGTGCTTATTTTGGATGGAGGACGCTTAACAGTTTCAAGCAATGTCTCACCTTCTTTATGCTTGCAGCATTCTTGGGAGATTTGCTGCTGCTGATCCGTGGAGATCTGCGGGGGGTTTTGCTGGCGAAACCGGGAGACTTCCTGGTGCTGTTCCTAATTTTGCTCATGCTCCTCTGGAGGAGGCTGCCTCCCTTCTTCTTTGGCGTGTTGGCGACCGAAAACATCACCGACTCCCGGCGTCCGTCCTGGGGAGAGAGTCGATTTCCAGAAGATCGGAGGACGAAAAGCTCTGTGACACCCACTCAAACGGTATGGACTTGAAAACGGGAGAAAATCAAGCTTGGCGGTATTCTAAGGGATTCAACAAAAGCATCACCACAGCCGATCGCATGATCGATCGTTCTGTATTCCGTCTTTATCTGTGACCCATAGCTCAGGGTGTAAAGAAGTGTGTTCAGACCCCAAAAGTGAGGCGCCTGGCACAGGTGCAGGGCAGTGCCAGTACAGCAGGACTTCCTCACCTGACAGCTGGGTGGCCTGTTCTGGGCATTCTGGACAGTGAAACGCCGGTCATTCTTGTCTTTGGGCGTCATAGGCCTTGGGAAGCAGGCAGTCATCATCTTCTTGGACTAACAAAAACAAAAAAACAGAGTGCACCAGAGTGTAAAGAAGACAACTTCAAAAATTATATTGGGTCAAAATTAATATATATATACACAAACTCTACCAAATAATGTATCATAAAAAGAGAATTGTAGCTCAAAAATAACTGGGACTATCCTGTAATAACGCAACACCGAGCAGATGTCAAGTTTCAGTGAATAAGAGAAAATATCATGCTGATTTCATTATGATCCACTTTGTTAAATGAGAACTATTTATTCCACTTTAAAGAAAATCACTTTCTACATGAAATGTAGTAATGTCAAGGAGGCACTGGTTATACATATCCAGGCAGACCAACTCTTGCCTGTTGTCCATTACCTCAGGAGTATCTCCTCCTTCCTGCGGCACATTCGAGCAGCGCTTTAGCTGCTGGGAAACGTCTCCAGTGGCCCGCCAGCTGTATTGGGTGGAAGGCTGAGGCAGCATGGAGGCTCGATGAGAAGACAGGCCCTCGCTGATCTGGCCAGGAAGCATGGTCATGCGATGAGCAGGAATCTGCCCAGGGAGCATTGACATGCGATGGGATGCCAAAGTTTCATTGAGCTGCCCAGGCAGCATGGAGGCTCGGCGGATGGTCTCGTCAGGGTCTCCCAGTTTCACGTCATCGTCCGAGATGCAGAAGGAAGGGATATTGATGCTGGGCTTGAGAGACACAGAGATAATAACTTTGAACCAAGATAAAAGAACAGATTCCATAATATGTGAAAAATCTCCAGTTTGTCAGACGTTACATCATCTTTAAAACATTCCCTCAAGGAAAAGATATTTCTGCACTGTCCCTTTGTCTCCACTAGGTGACGTAGGAAAGCTACTTCATATTTCCAGGGATCAGGTTGTGGTGAGCAATGTCCAAACACGTGACATGGGGTCAGAGTGGTGGATGCCTACTGGATGAGCTAAAAATAGGAATTTCCAGCATGATTCTAATTGCAGAGATTTTGTTTTAGCCAACCCAGTATTTCCACCAGCGGCATCGTTGAAGTATGAATCTCTAAACTGCAAGTATATTAAAAACCAAATTTAAAAATGCAATGAAATAATCAGTTTTTAATCCAATACCAGGGAGCTGGAAAGAGATGAGCAATTGTCCCATGCTGTAAAAGACTTAATGTACACTGATATACCTCCTATTGGCTGTGTACCAGTAACAGTGCAATGGTATACTATTGAAAAAACAATATTTGTGTTACAGAACGATTCAGCTGTTCATGCCCACATTCAGCTAAAGTTACAGTGATTTGTATAGTCCCCTTTCAAATACAAGAAACACAAACTAAATGCAATCCTAAATGACACTTTACGTTTTATTGTCGGGTCACTTACCCTGTTCTCCAGCGGGTAGCTTGACTTGAGATGTGGAAGACAGGATTTGTTGCGGGTCTGCAATTCTGCAATGCGCATCCAGTCCTCCGTGTGCTCGGGTTCATTCTGAGCACCAGCTACAAATGCGTTTGTGCCTGGGAGAGCAGGGCAACCGCAGCACAGAGAAACAGTTTGATAAAAAACGTTTTCACACATGCTTGCAAAGAAGTAAACGGTAAAAGAAAGCATTGCCAGTTTAATAATTCAAATGTTACCACGGTGTTCGGTGAAATGAATCTCAAATATAAAACCAAAATCATTTAGATTATTCCAGCCTTCATGAATCACTCTCATTGTGGACAAAAAGATGAATAAATCTCCACAACCCAATGGTATCCAGCCAATAGTACTTAAGGATACCAATGTATTTAAACACACCAAACTCTACGAACACAGGGCAGGCCAGAAATGCTTGAAAGCGAAATCCTCTTTGTTTTTTTGTATCTTTGAAGAGAAATGCACACACAGAAGGCGGTACTCACTCCGGCGAGCAGTGACAGTGCTGGCAGCGCCAGGGCGATAGCCAGGAAGGTTGAAGAGCGATTCGCTGGCAGAGATCTCATTGTCGAGGAACTCCTGGGATGCGTTCAGGCGTGAGGACAGCGAGGCCATGGAGACAGGGCGACTCTTCTGTGTCTGAGTGAACAGGTTGGGATGGGACTGAGCTGACTGGAGACTATAGAAGGAGGAATTAACACTCTCAGGCTCTGGTGCTCCAGGGGTCTTCTGTAATGCAAGGAAAATGTTGAAGGTGAGCCAGGATAATGCACTCCCTTATATACGTGATGCACAAACACACTGACCAGGGATAGTGATCAAACAACACAAAAGTATGCTTTCATTGTTTAGCTTACTAGGCAGAACTTTGCCTGAGCAAACATTTATAGCTTCTCAAAGTGATAAAGAGTCTTTGTCTCTGTATGAACTGGTGCACGTTTATCAATTCAAAAACAGTCACCAGCAATGTTGCATTAATCCAGTCTTGCATGTTTTACATTATTTCATAACATTGACCAGTTTATTCATCAGTTTCTGCTCTCAACAGTTAAAAATCAGCATCACCCCAGCCTTAACCAAGCTGAAGGTTTAAGGTGCCTCTTTCAATCAAATCCTGCAGCAGGCAGTGATAAATGAAGATCCGTGTTTAAAATTGTTTTCCATAGTAGAATTGATTATCCAGGATATTTTTTGATCTATCACACTTACATAAAGTGAAACCTAAAGTGCTACTTAGTGAACGAGGCAGTACAATTGTTTGAAAATCTCCCCCCCCCCTTTACACTAAAAACCTTTTCTATGTCATTCATAACCAGTGCAAGAAGAGGAGAGAGACGGTTGTGAAGAGGCAACAGTGAAAGCACAATGAAAACTTAGTAAAACACTGAGGAAAAAAGGAGAAACACTGCGCAAATCAGCTTTAGATTTTTGACCAAAGAAAAATACATTCCCATAACTTCACTGATTTTCTTCCTGCAGGCTTAATAAGCCGAGACCTGGCAAGGAAAATCACGAGGTCTAAATCTGCCGCCAGTTCCTGGAGGAAAATGGTCAGGTTAACACGCATCTGCAGCTTGTTAGTACAATGTGCGCATTTGTTTTTTTAAGGATGAGCAGAATAAACTATCCACCAATTGCCACATTTTAAAATACAGACATACCTCTAAGAGTGCCCTTTTGGTATGATGCTCTTTAAAAATAAAAACAAATCTAATAAAACTGTAAAAAACAAACTTTATAAGATGGTTGATAATAGTCATGGAAATCTGGGAGGAAAATAAACTCACGGTTATCATTTCCATGTCACCCAATCAGCTAATGAGAGCTAGTAGAGGAGATAAAGTCTTGAGCTAATTGTTTTCACTTGAACCTTTTTTTCCCCCTGGTTATTTTAGCGCTTTCAACCTGCAATACCTGGGAAAACTGCTGCAATTTAATAAGGGCAAAAATGTTGGAGAAAAGTAAAGAAGGCCACAAGTGCCTCATTGATATTGGTCACAGTTACTCTTTGTTAATATAGAAACTCTTAAAACTGTGATGGTGTGCAGAGCATCAATATTAGAGCTATTCTTTTAAAATGATACTCTCATGTATCAATCATAGGTAAAAAACATTTGGGAACACTGAAGGACCATATTAAATGTGGCGGTCAGGGCACCAGTGTTATAAGAGGTATGCGTGTACGAGCTGTGGCTGGAAAGGTTAGGAAGAGGTCAGGCATGCAGGGCATTGTGGGGGAGTGAGGGAGGGTGCTCTTGACCTTTGTGAGGGTGATGTTGATGATCTGCGTGGTGCGGCGGCGTGCCGAGCGTGACTTTTTGGCCGAGTCGAGGGTGAGCTCCCCCAGGGAGGCGATGCTGCTCTCCAGCTTGGATTCGGCACGCACCATCATGGGGGTGAAGTAGAGCGTCTCTAGGGACTCCCCACTTAAGAGGCGGCGTTTCGCTGCCAGGCGCTCCGAGCTCCTCACCGGCGGGGTCGTCTTGTCTGTTGAGGTGGACGGTTTCCTACGTGGGGGGGCACAGTTCAAGCACACATCTCTTGGAGCTATATTGTTAAAGACCCACTTCCTGCAGGCCTGAACTCGTCATCCATAATCTGATCAAGACGTCATCTAGCACATGACCAACATTTTTCTTTTTGCCTTACTGATCTAGACCAAGGTGTTTTATTTATAAGGTTGTGCATTTTACTGACAAAAGACCTCAATAAAAAAAAAACACAACTGAGAACCACTTCTGCACTTCAATTTTACTAGGCTAAACACATCAGTTGCAGGTTAACTTAATTGGGTCAGCAGTAAACAAACAAGGAACTAAGATTTAATAATCCAGGGAAATTTGATTCCAATATGAGTCAATTCCAAAAGGAAGAAGTATTTCGAACAGATTACCTGGTAGAGTTGAGGGAGTCATCCAGACTGAGATCCAGGCTGTCTTTACTGGTTTCCTGTGTCTTTTCTGGGACATCAGAACATTCGGACACGTGGTTCTTTGTAGTGTTACTGCCAGCCTGGAACTTCTGCTCTCGCAGCTGCCTGTCTGCCAGGTCCACCTGCCAATCCCCAGACAATGTGTACTCGTCCATCCACAAATATTTTCATTTGCCATTCACAGATATTTTTGATAAAGCAGAAACTAATACTCGAGTTCTTTTTGAGAAAAAGTCTAAGAGACACAACTGAGATACACCGCTGTTCAACTGATCAGAACCAAGGGAATTTTCTATTAATAAGAATATAATCTTAGTGCCCAGGCATAAACACAAGACGGGTCAGAAGGAGATTGTAAAAATGAGAGCTGTACACGGGGAGAGAAGGGGCAAACTCTGGAAGCAGCACTGACCTGAGCCTGCAGACTGCTGACTTTGGAGCTCAATTTCTTGATGGAGAGCTGGGCCTGTTGCAGCTCTGTCACCAGCTGCTTCTGCTCGGCTTTCAAAGTGTTGTTCTCCTGCTGGCTCCCTTCCAGCTTCTTCTCCAGGGCCTGGATCTGCTCAGTGGCCTCCTGCAGCTGCTGCTTTTTGGCACCATAGTGAGTCTTGGCTTTCTCCACCTAGGGCAGTAATGACAGCAAAAGAACATTGAAGTGTTCCTCTTCTCAGAATGTAACCAGGATTATCGCACCTCTACTAAACACATTAGAAAGGGAGGACTGCTTTACTTCATTTCTGAAACAGGTTGCCTGAAATACTTCTTTATGAGCCTGCTCCCTAATGAGCAAAGAGAAAGGGTGGAGCTGGTATAGTACACACCTGTGCCTTGTAGTGCTCCAATGCCCCATCCTTATGGGTCAGCTGCTCCTGCAGCTCAGAGGTCTGCTTCTGTAGCTCTTCATTTTGCTCCTGTGGGCAACAGCACAAAGGCTTTTGCTGCAGTAAAGGTTGGTGATGAAAAACCATCAAAGACATTCTTTCATCAAAGGATCAGGATCACCCTTTCAGCACCTGTTCCAGGTCACACACTGGGGTACTGCTATTGCTATATAAAGCTTGATAAGAGTGCCATCTACTGGTCGACCAATTGCAACAACAACCAAGTTTTCTCTAGACGTCTCCCATCACAGTATTGAATTGATGCTTAGCTTTTGAGACCCTAGGAGATCAGACTAGAGCAGGTGGTCCCAACTGTGCAGAATCCAACATTTATTTAGATATTTTATGCCTTTTTGCTCAAGGCTGTGGAGGAGAAGAGATAAATTGGTCAAACTTAGCCTTAATTGGATCAATTTGAGCCTTCTCAAATTGTAGAACTGTATGTGACTGAAGGAGACACAGAAAGCTTACTGAATTTCCTGAGGACCAGAGCAGGGAACCCCTGGGATAGGTGGTGGTAACGCCACCATCAGTATTAAACCATGACCACTTTTCAAGGAATGGGCATCCAGCAGGTGTTTATGCACCTACCTTCACGTTGTTCTGTTCAGACTTGGCTGTGGCAAGTCTGTCCATCAGCTCATCTACCTGTGCAGGAAGACAAAAAAATGTCATTAAAACCTTAGGCTAAAATACATCTTTTGCACAACTACCTTATCAGCCATAAACGTGACAAAAGAAAATCTGCCTCAGAGAAACTTTAATTTTCAGATGGTCCAACCCATTGTTGAGTATTTAGATGATCATATGATTAAACAAGTTCCAACAATTTTTCATGGCAAAATAAGCATCAGACCCTACCACCATGATTGCGTACAATATATTGTATGGTGTCTTAATTCACACATTTACAGAAAACACATTGCATGATTCAGCAGCTTAAAAGAACATTAAAAAGGCACCTTGTATTTGTAAGCTTGTTTTCTGAAAATATCATTCAGTCCTCATACAGTAAAGTTAAATTTAAAAAGCAGCAGGAAAAAATTAGTTTAAATCAACTTCCATGCAAGCCAGCCAGCCAGCCAGGGAAATGGTCACAAAGACAGCATGTAAAGTCCATTGTTATAAAAGCCTTAAAAATCCATAACGATTAAAGACCAGAAAGAACAGGGCCAGCGTGCATCTGCTTAGGAGAATTGTACCTTTGATGTTTCTGAATCCAGAAACTTCTGCATATCCTCAACCTACATAACAGAGGAGCTAATTGAGATACAACTGTTTTTAAATGCCAAAACCATCCTTTAACATTGAAAATGAGTGTCATATTATAACAAAGCACTTGCAAGTACACAATAGGACATCACGATTTCCTGAATGTAGCATTTCAAATTATTAAGTTCATCTGGCAAAACTCTGCATTTATGAAACAATCCCAAAAACGTTGCTGCCAGAGTACAGAATTAGGATGTGAAACGTGAAAAATGTGAAAACGGATGAAGATCTACAGTAGGTGACTATTTTTTTTTTTGCCTACCAGGAAAACGAGAAATGACCGTACCTGAATAACCAACTTCTGCCTCTCGTCCTGGAACTTCTGCCTGTCACTCAGCACTTTCTTCTTGATGCTTTCGTACTTCTCCGTCAGGACGTCTTGGCGTTTCTTGCCTTCCAGGACATCTTCCTTCAGAGCTGCGATCTGTTTCTGGTACTCCGTTCGGACTTTCTCCAGGGCGAAGGAGTGGGACTCTCTCTCCACGGCCAGCTCGGCATCGAAACGGCGCGCTCCGAGGCTGGATTCGGAGCAGATCTCCAGGTTCTCGCTCGTCAGCTGGCTGTTGATCTGCTGCAGCTTGCAGACCTGCCCTTTGTGGGCGGCGTTCTCCTCCTGCAGTTTCTGGATGGCGCGGTCTTGCTCTGAAGTCATCTCTCTCAGTGGGCGGAGCGTGGACAGTTCTTCCTTGACCTGCTGCAAGTCGTCCTCCAAGGCAGCTACAGCCCTCTCTCTTTGCTCCAGTTCCTCCTGGTGTTTGGCCTGCGCCAGGCAGAGCTCAGCTTGCTGCTGCTGGCACTTTCGTTTAGCTGGTAGCAACTCGGCGATAAGAGTCTGGGCTTTTGTCAGCTCCAGACGTACATCGGACAGCTCTGCTTCAGCCTTGCTCAATTCCTTTCGTAAAGCTTCTTTTTCGGTGACCAGTTTCTCATTTTCAAGCTGAAATGAGGGGGAGGAAGCCGACAACATTTCGTTCTTCAGATTAACTATTGTTTCTTCTAGCTCCTTGCGCTGGGCCTCCTCTGCAGCAATTGCTCTGCATCTCAAGAAGTCTCTCTCCTCATTTTCCTGCTGCAGAGCATCAAGTTTCTTCTGGAAGGTGTCTGCTCTCTGTTCTCTTTCAGCAGCTAAAGCAGAGGCAGCAAGGACTTCTGCCTGAAGCTTATCTATGTTTTCTCGAAGCTGCTCGCGCTCATGTTCCTCACAGGCAGAAGCTTTGCTCCTCAGTTCATCCTTCTCTATTAATTGCACATGTGTGTCTTTCAAAGCCTTCAGCTCTGCTTGCAATTGTGCCACCGCAGATTGTCCCTCCGAGGCAAGCGAGGTCGCAGCTAGAAGTTCTGACTGCAATTTTTCGATCTTTTCCTCCAACGCGTTTTGCTGAGCTTCCTCAGTGGAAATAGCCTGGCTCCTCAAGTTATCCTTCTCCTTTATTTCACTGAGTAAGGCATTAAGTTTTAATTCTCTTTCAGAGGCAAGGGAAGAAGCCTTCAGAACTTGAGCCTCAAGCTGGGTCACTTTGTCTTCCAACACTCGGCGGCAAGATTCCTCTTCAGAAACAGCACGGCATCGTAATATGTCTTTCTCCCCCATCTCCTGCTGCAGGGCATCAATTTTGTTCTGTAAAGTCCTAGCCAGCTGTTCTTTTTCTGCAGCACAAGAGGTAGCAACTTGGACTTCTGTCTGGAGTCTTTCTATGGTTCCCTGCAACTCTTTTTGCTGAGCTTTCACTTTAGCAGCTTCCTGGCTTCTCAGGTCTTCTTGCTCTTTCAGCTTCTTGATTTCCTCCTGGAGTGAGGTGAGCTCCAGTTCCCTTTCAGAGACAAGGGACGAAGCCGCATTAACTTCTGAACGGAGCTGGGATATTGTCGCCTCCAGCTGTCTGCACTTGGATTCTTCGGCAGCTACTGCTTGGCAAGACAAGAGCTCTCTCTCTCTTTGTTTTTCTATATCCTGTTTTAAGGAATTAAGTTCCTTTTCTAGTGACTCCATTGTCCCTTGTTTCTCAGAAGCAAGTGATGAAGCAGCCAGGACGTCTCCACGGAGCTGCTCTATGGTGTTCTCTAGTTCTTTGCTTTGGATTTCCTTGGCGTCTGTCAACTTTGTTCTCTCATCATCCCGGTATTGTAACACCTGCAGTTTTCCATTTACATCCTGAAGTTCCTTTTTTAAATCTTCTAGCTCATTGTCTTTCTCTGAAATAAGGGAGGACGCAACAAGAGATTCTGCTTGGAGCTTTTGTAATTCTTCCACTGTAGCAACTACTTGATTTTTCAAGCAATCTCTCTCCTGTTGCTCTTCCAGTTTCAGCACATCCAGTTCTCTTTTTTGTTTCTCAATCTCTAGCTGTAAACTAGTCCTTTCTTCTTTTAAGGCAGTCTCACGGATTTCAAACAAGGAGCGAACCTCTTCCAGTTCTTTGGACAGTTTATCCACCTGTCTCTTCTGTTCACTGCAGATTGATTCTGAAGACTCCAAACATTGTTCTAAGGAGACCACTCTGTCTTGATGTTGATCCAGAAGCTGTGATGTCTGAGCTTCAAAGGCTGAAGTCTTTTCTACCACCAGCCTTTGAGCTTCTGCCAATTCCTTTTCCAATGCAGAGATATGTTGCTTTTGCTCTGCACAAGCTTGCTCTAGTTCTAAAACCCTTGATTGTAGTGACTTGATTTCCTCCTCCCTCTTTTCCAGTAGAGCCTGTATAGCAGAAGACCTCTCTTCTCCAGTCTGGATGCTCTGAAGAAAGGACTTGATCTCATTTTCCTTTGCAGTTAGTAGGGCTTTTAAGTGGACAACTTCTTTTTCTTTATCTTCTGCCTCCTGCTTATAAATCAAAGTTCCTTGCACTTCATCAGCTAAGCGTTTCTTGAGTTCCCCAAGCACCAAGCTCTCTTTCTGCAGATGGAGAATACATTCTTGTTGGGTCTTTAGTTCCTCTTGTTTCAAGAGCAGTTCTGCCTGTAAGGCTTCCAGTTTTGATTCCTTCTGTTTTAAAGTTGCCCGGACATCATTTAACTCCTGACTCAGAGTAGAGAGTTGATTCTGGTGTTCTTCAATGGTTGACTGAAGATGAACGTCTGCGTTCTCTTTTGCCTTTTTGACAGTTTCTAGTTCCAACAAGGATTGCTCAGTTTTGCTGATAAGCCTTTCAATTTCCTCCTTTTTTGCTGCCAGTTCCTGGATCTTGGTTTCTTCCGTCAGAGCCAGCTTACCTTCAAGAGCTCCCACCTCAGAATTCAGCTTCTGAATTGCCTGTTCTTTCTCCTTGATAACGAAATATGCTTGATCTCGCTCTGTGGTCAGTTTTGTTGTCACAACAATGCCTTCTTCCCTGAGGTTTTCCAGACTGGATTCTGCTGTCAATTTTCCCTGCTTCTCTTTCAAAAGCTCCTTTTGGACAAGCTCCAACTCAGCAGACATTCTCTGGTTCTTACTTGCCAGATCCTGGACCTCCTCTCCCATCTGGGAGATCCTCTGTAGATCAGTAACACGAGTTTCTTCAAACCTTTTCCTCTCAGCTTCCAATTCAGCTCGCAGATTTACCACAGTCTCCTCCAGAGCAGCTAGCTGATGATGGAGTTTATTATTCTCTTCAGCTATGCTTGATTGATGGGCCAGCTTTCCTTTATAATCGTGAAGGGTCCTCTCTGTATCTTGAAGTCTTGTTGTCAAAGATTCAACTGTTTGAATATGACTGGATCGTTCAGCTTCATTCTCAAACTCCAGGCTCTGGCACTTGGAGCGCAGCTCAGTGACAGCAGCCTCCAAAGCAGCGACTTTCACCTCCAGGACCTGCTTCTCTTCCCTCAGCTCCGAGATAAGACTCTGGTGAGTCCTCTGATGATCTTCGAGTGTGAGGATCTGCTGTCCAAGTTGTTCAATTTCTTCTTCTTTTGCCTTTTGAAAATGATGGTATTCAGCCAAAGCAGCATCTCTCTCTCTTGCAGCCGTCACAGATGCCTCTTGCAAGGAATTCTCTCTGCGAGAGCTTTCTTGCCTCTCCAAGTTCCATTGCTGGGCATTGGACACAGCTTCCTCTTCTTTCAGTCTTAGAGCATCACCAAGATCATCTACCTGTTTGTTCAATCCATCGATAGTCTCCCGCGCAGCTTGCTCCTGCTTCTCCATTTCTTTCACCTCAAGCTCTCTCTGGTGCACGATATCACTCAGTTTAGCAATCTCCATATTTAAAGTCTCGATCTGGTTAGTAAGTTGCTCTTGTCGTTCTCTTGAGGTTCTCTCTAGCGTTTCCTTCTCACACTTGAGGTCCGAGAGGGTCTGCTGCAGCCCAGAGATGACCCCATCTAGATGGGATTTCTCATTTTCAAACTTGATTCTTTCAGTATTCAGCTCCATCTGAGTCTGCGATTTCTCCTCTTCCAGCCTAGCGATAACATCTTCAAGCTGGGACACCTTAACAGCAAGGTCAGCCACCTCCTGTCTCAAACTCTCCATCTGTCGGGGGGAAAGCAGAAATTATCCGATCCATTTATATTACCGCCATTAACATGAAACTTCAGACTTGGAAAAGCATTATAAATCATGTAAAAATCTGGACAGCATTTTAAGAATTAAAGCTTTCATAAATGTTTGTGAGTGCCCTTCACCCTATTAGGTAAGCACTAAAAAAAAAAACATACCTTCAACACATCTCCCATGACTTCTCCTTCTTCCCTATGTTGAGACTGTGCCTTACTGAGCTGGTCTTCAAGTAAGGAGATTTTCCCTTGAAGAATCAGAATTTGTTCAGACAAATCCTCCTGAAAGAAGGGAGATATAAAACAGTTTTTTTTCAGCCTCATGAATTAGCTAGACCAAACATGAACATTAAGTTACTGCAACACACATCTCAGCGAAGTGGAAGTATAGTCCAGATTTCCCTTGTTAAGAGTTTCAACTCTCAAGCATTCCAATTTCACACACAAAAAACGTGAGGGAACAAAAAACTGGACTCCGCTCTAACCTTATTTGCGATGGCCTGGTTGAGCTCGCTCTCCAGGGAAACTCGTCTGGACTCCCATTCTTTTACAGAGATCTCTTGCTCATCACTCAGCTTGTCCACGGCTGCTTGGGCCTTCGTGAGTCGATCCAGCACATCACGCATCTGTGCGGAGAAAAAAAAATGCCAATTATTACATTTTTGTTATACTGGTTCAAACCACACTGTCTACACTTCCCAATTTGTAGACGAAGAATACACATTCATCGTCCTCAACGTTCATTAAATGAAAACAAGAATAAAACTTTAAAAGATGACTACTACTAAATATGCAGAAGACAGATTATCAGCTTCGTTCCTATAAAAATGTGGAGAGAGCCTCCCTTTCCAAATGCCGCAGCTGCAAGAGATCATTATGTTGAGGCTTTTTTATAACCTACTTGGAAAGACAGATTTCCGTTTTCTTCCGTCAGCTGGTCAATCTTCCTCTCCATCTGGCCTTTGTTGGTTTTCAGATCCTGGCACTGCTTTAGGATGTCTTGCAACCTCTTCAGCAGACTAGTAAGTAAGAGGAAATGGTGTATGAGCGAAGAAGTTGCAGAGAAATATACTCAAAACAAAATGACTTTTTGTTCCATCTCATCCTGTTCTCTTTACCTTTCATTTTTGATCCTCAGATCCTCCAGCTCATTGGACTCTTGACTTTGCTCATTGCTCTGTCTCATTAGCCTCTGAACTCTCTGCTGCAGAAGGGACAGCTGGGTCTCTAAAATATTTAAGTAAGATGGTTTTAATGTAATCCTTTAATCTCTTTTCAAAACTCCATCTAATGTGATTATCCAATATTACCCACTCCTCAAAATTCTAAATGTTTAACCAGCAGTTATCAGATATGAGAGGGTTCTCTTTGCTAACAAATTTAGAGACTAAACCACAATTTACCCACATAAATTAAGCCTCTGAACTGAGGTGTATCTCCATTTAGCTATAAGTGATACAGTCAGGTTCTTGTAATGCTGACAGCTTAATGCTTGCTTAATTTTGGGGTTTCTTGATATTGGTACATACTGTTTCAAAATCCTCAGGCAGGCTCATATCTGATTTAAATCCTGTACCAATTCACAGTTGCTTAACTCTACAAAATATGGATGAAATTTGACCCAAGTTTGGTCAAAATCCTCTCTTACATTTTTATTCCAGGTCAAACAGAGAAGCAGAAATAACAATACTGGAAGCGGAAGGTCAGTTAGCTATCAATATCCAACAATATGGCTATGACGTGGTGTTTCAATCTTTTCTCCTACGTTTACTGTATGCATTTATTTGTGAAGAAAAGCTTGTTAAGAACAGACAAAGATTACGATATAAGCTCCATACAAGATGTAATTTGACAGAAGCTTAGGCTCACATGACCCATGACCCTCAGCATTTCTTTTGTGGTTGTTATTCATATTTTCAACCACTGGCAAACTTGTTGCATTCACATTTCATTATTCAACTCTTCTGATTTACAGAGACGAACTTGCCCTGGGTACCAACAGATAATGTAAAAACCTCGTTGTTTTGTCCCAGACTTGCCTTGGGTTGAAAAGATTAATTTGAAATACCTGGTTGCTGTGGTCTTGCACAGGTAGATGCAAGACCACAGCAATCAGATACCACTACTTTTCAAATCTGATCCTTGAATGGTCTTATTAAATTAGTACCTCTCTCAGTGATGATCTTATTACTGTTGGCTAATTCCAGCTCCAACTCGTCTCTCATATTCCTCTCCTCAGCTAGCTGTTTACGCAATTTGCGCAGCTGGAACTGAGGTGTCTTCAGTATGTCCTGGATGGGAGAGCTGAGGGACAAAACAAACAGCAACTTTCATTGCATCATTTGTAGTTTTTAGCTGCTAATGAACTAAAGTAACTGAAACAAGTTGCTCTACATTTCCAAACAGGAAAAAAGAAAAGGAGAGAAATCAGTGGATTTTTTTTGAATGTCTACGGAATGAAAAATTAAAAACAAAGGCTACCTCACTGAGCTTGAAGCCACAGTCTGAAGGTCCACAAACTGTACTTCAGGCTTCCTTTTCCTTGTGAAAACAGGGGAATCCTCATCACTGATACTGGAGAGGCTGGAAACACTGGACAGAGCAAACTTGACTGGAAAGAGAGCAAATGCAGAATGTTGTTGTGGGGACGTAGAAAATGAATCTAAACACTTTGAATCGACACAACCATGAAACAGAATTACAATTTCATGAGGAAATATAACATGCAGTTCAGTTATCCGTAAAAGCTCGACTGGATCAATAAATTAGGGTGACTGAGCATTTCTTACAGGAAAATGACCAATTAAAATTGAGTTTCTTTTCACACAGGCATCAGTCTTATGCTGTAAAGTACACTCAACCCATAGTCTGGTAACAGACTACTGCTGAGCTTCTGGCTCAGTATATGGTGTACAGAAATGGACCCACTCTCCGTGAGCAATCACGCAGCACACACTGACCTTTTCTCTTAAGAAAATTCTCCAGGTTGTCATTCAAAGAAAGACTGTCCTCATTATCGAGAACAAAGCGAAGGACAGATGCTAACTCAGCCTGATAAGAGAGAGATACACAGGATCAAAAGACATGAAAACAAAGAAGAATACCAGTCTCAACGGGACCATTCTAAGTCATTTTATGAAGCAACTTACTATGGTAGGTGTTACCATTAGAATGATTGCAGTATTGTATGGAACGTGTTTCACATTGGTTATTTAGTGTTTTAACACTAATTCTTAGTAATTAATAATTGCTTACTAATTATAAGACTGCAGCTTGGCACTTATTCAAGTGATAAATACGCTTGAGGGACAACGACAGTGCACCAATTAGTATGAAAATGCCCTACACTGTATCCATCCCGGAGACTGAACTTAATGTTCCCAGAAGTGTTTTAATGAGATTGTGATGAATCCCAATTATGAGCACAGTTTTTACAGCTCTTGCATTTGAAGATATTTTAATTTTAGAATGGGTCATTTTCCCCGGCAGGATTATTACCTGTGTCTTGTAGTTCAGGTTCTCAAATCCCTGCAGACTGGTGCACATGTTGGAGTAGTACAGGAGAAGAACCACCACCTACATAAAGAATATAATAAAAGGCAGAAACAAGAGGATGTTGGTTGATTCATCTAGACTGCTTGGTATGTAATAATGAATTGACCCAAGGATATCATCCAGCTGTTTCTTGAAGACCGCCAGCATACCAGCTTCAACAACAAGGCTGTGTAACTTGTTCCACATTCACACAACCCTTTATTTGTAATATACTTACATTGCTTTAAACCCCCAAAAGAAGCAAATGTAAAAAATAATAAGACTGGCAAATACTACTCTCCTTTATATAATGGATTACCTTTGACAACTCCACTTCTAGATTGTGTCCATTCAAAACATTCTGCCATGAGACGATGGCTCCCTGATCAGGTTTGTACTTGCAGTGACCTTTTGAAGGGAAAATGAGAAAGACCTATGAGGTTTCAGGTGTTACAGCCCTGGGAAGATCCAA